TCGTTCCTCACGTTCCCGTCGTTCCTCACGTTCCCGTCGTTCCTCACGTTCCCGTCGTTCCTCACGTTCCCGTCGTTCCTCACGTTCCCGTCGTTTCTCACGGTTTTAGCAGCCGCCGCCGCCACCACCGCCTGTCAATATGGCATGGCTACTATTGCTCGGACTAGTCCTGGCATCGGTTCCAGCTGTGGCCGGAGACGATGACTTGGCAGACTTTTCCAACAACCTAGCAACGGACATCGGACCGTTGCTAGCCCTATTCGGCGATGCTATGACGCGTCAATACCTCAGCGAGAGCATTACGTTCCTCGACTACCTCATATTTGCCCTCGGTCCAATCGGTATCCTTACTGCCATAGTCTCCGTCGCCCGACTCTGCGGTCACTCTACGTTACGCGCATTCATAGGGCGCTCACAGGAAGGGGAGTCTACCGTCGAGGCAGAGCTGTGCACATCGACTAGTCGCGATGTATGCGAGCTCTTCACTAAAGGGGGGATCACCCGGGTTATCGGAAGAGCAAATATTTTGGAACTCATCTATTTTCCTCCGATAACGGACCCCACGATCCGATCGAATTCCCATCGGCCTGCTCCTCTGCCATCTGATGCACTTCCGTCTAACACTCTTCCACCTGATGCCCTTTTATACGAGTCTCGCCCGTCTATTACTGATATTGGTACAACGCCCCTCGGTAGTCATATCGAGGGAGCGATATCAGCGATACCGCTCAAGGGCGGCTTCGAGCTAGTTCAATTCCAGCAATTCGTTCGAAAACATGATTGGTGCGACAGTGAGGAGAAAACCAACGGCTGGCGTCAAGTAAGTGGCCATGACTATGAGGATCGATACAGGCTAGCTCCGCGGCCAAATCTGTCTCTTAATGTCGGTATCAAGAAGCAGCCCGACTGGGTGTTTTATACAGTAGCAGCTGTCGGCGTCTTGCTTCAATCGTTCATCATAGCCTTTACTGCTATGGGTACTTGGGCGTACGATTGGAACATACGCTCAGCGGGCTCGTCCGCGTCACAGAACTACGCGCCAAGTATGTTCATCATCGGAACTTGCCTTTTAGCTGTTGGCATGTGCTCCTGCGCAGCGTTGATCGGGCAAACGACCAAGGAGATCCAGTTCCGCCGCGATAGTTTTTCACAGACAAGTGGCCGCCTTATCTGGCTACAGCCCGGCCCGACTGTCGTGGGTGACCAGAGCTTCGATGCGTTCGCTTACTTGGATAGCCAAGAAAAGCCTCTTCAACACTGGACCTCGTCTCGAAAAGAACCCAAGCCGGAATTCGAAACTTTCACATTTCTGGCTGTGGCCGTGACTTTGGTGGGATACTTCATGCAGTTCATCGGACTACGCGGCATGAAAGCTTGGGTTTCGCTCGCGCAGCTGGCCGTGACCGTCATCATGAGTATGCTTCGGGGGCTTTTACGCATTCAACGACTAGGGAGGACGGACAATCGGCTCGGCCATATGCCTGATATGGTCTCTGGCCACGAGCTGGACTGGTTGGCATACGAACTAGCTGTGCGTGAAAGACCTGGCGACCACAGCACCACCACCTCAGGCGGTCCATACTGGCTTCTGACGGGGAACTCTCATCCAGCACACATGCAGACACGCCCCGGTCACCCTCACAAAACCGCCTCGGTCTGCTCGAATACCAGCTCAGCTCCTGGGCCATACGATCGACGTTCCTGTCGCGGAGGCCTGGTCAAACAAGCCGAGACCTCGGTGTCCGGAGATGCAGGTCCACGTCAAGTTGACTGGGCGCATCTCCTCCAAGTCCGAGCTTGTCTTGCACTCATAACAGGGCGCGATGGACCCCTTTTTCATGGGAGCCAAGAGTGGCGAGAACAAGCTGTCGCAGTCCGCAAACGAGCATCGGCCTTGTGTGCTGCCTTAAGCACTGTGACGGAAAAGCTGTTACGAGGCCAGCAGCAGCAGGGCCAATCTCTGCTGCTTTACATGGACTTTGTTGCGGCCCCCCAAAGTCTCGGACAGTGCAATGGAAGTTTCGAAAGCGGAAAGGTGTTTGTGAAAGTCCAAAGGACACATGGGCCTTGGAGTATCGATTCGAGTCAGATTGAGGCCATTCTGGGCACATACGTATGGTCATTGGCGAATGATACGCGATTGCATTATTCCGACGACTTCGGCAATACAAGGAGCCAGCTCCACTGCCAGGACAGAAGCCGAATAATATCTGGCAATTTCGCAGGCGAGCAGGGTAATGTTGACAGACTGGGTGAGATACAGCTTTGGGCGGGCGCCGACATAAATCCAGTCCAGGAGACTAGCCTGGCATTATGCGAAGGTGTCACACACAGTCTTATCGATCTTTGGGTGCCGCAAGGCAAGCCAAGATATCAACCGGGCGCTGACTGCTGGAGGCTTGCAAATGGCGACGATAACGCCAATCGCAACCGGTGGCCACATCCTTCGTACATGAGGTTCATGGGGTGGGCTGCGATTTTGAAAGCACTTCGGGCACATCCGGCAGTCACCATCCCTGAGCGGGGCAGGATTCGAGTTCAGACTGTGCGTACGGTCCTCTCGGTGGCTGATTTATGCACTCAAGAGCTCTTCGCAGCGCTGGTTCGGTCATTGACGGAACTCGTCACCTTTGCGGATACTGGAGTCGTCGAAAGGGCTGGGGTCGCGAGTCTGGATAACCCAACTATCAACGCTATTGTAGAGCCATTTGTTGAGAATGGTCTTGGAAGGCGCTCAGACGCCTTGTTGTCAGTCTTGCCGGGATACTGGGACGAAGTGCGACCGAAAGCAAGCGTGCTGCTGAATAGTCTCGTCGCGACCGCGAGGTCTCATCGCCGAGACAAGGGCTGGGACAAGGCAGCAACCTTGCTACGTTGGGGCTGTCAGCAGTTCTCTCACAGCGCCGACTTGGAAAACCACCAGACCGAGCCTCATTTCATCCAAGTGTTGCGTGAAACTGCAGAGCTATATCGATGGGCGCTCGCAGTTGAAGGGGATCAAGAGCGACATGACTTTGGAGTCGAGGGGATCCAGTGGTTACATCGAACATATCTCCTGTCCACTGACTCGGAGCGACCCGGTCGAGGACTGGTTGCCGAGGCCCTTGATCCTTATCTGGAGGTTTTGGAGGGGCTTGCAGAACAGACGCCGTGGACCAGAGACAAGCTCATGGAAGCATTCCGAGAGCGAGACAGACCCACGGCGCTCCTACTTCTGACCCTCGCCCAATCTGACGGCTTTGGAGATGTCGAAATGGAGGCAGCGCTTCCCCTCGCCGCGCGCAACAAATGGCCCGAGGTCATCGGCACTATCTTAGAATGCAAACCGATCGTTGACGGTCGGGACGAGAACGGCCGAACAGCTGTTTCGTACTGCGCGGAGCTCGGCTGGATCGACTATTTGGAGAAGCTGATTGAGATGAAAGCCTTCATCGACCAGGCCGATAACGATCTGAGATCGCCGCTTCATTGGGCAGCTGGATCGGGCCAACAGGATATCGTCCAGTACCTCCTTCAGTCTGGCCACGTCGACCTGATGCGACAAGACTTGCTCGGCCAAACGCCATTATCGCATGCGGCCAAAGCTGGACACGTACCTGCGATGGCCCTCTTGCTGCGCAGAGGTGCCAACAGCGAGTCTAGGGACAAAGACGGCCGTACGGCACTCTCTTTGGCTGCGGGCGCAGGGCATCATCAGGCCGTGGTAGAGTTGGCAAACAAAAAAGCCAACATTCTGTCTGAAGACGATGCTGGCCGCCAGCCAATACACTGGGCTTGCAAGAGCGGCAACGTTGATACAATAGCCTTCCTCATCGAACAGGGGGTTGACGTAGCGGCTAGGGACAAGTCCAGGTCAACGCCGCTGTCCTGGGCTGCGAGTGCCGGAAACCTAGGGGCGGTAGAGTTGTTGCTTGGGCAGGGGGCGGCGATAGACACGAAGGATGGCGAAGACCGGACACCAATCTCTCTTGCCGCAGGCAATGGCCACCTCGACGTTGTCGGGTATCTTCTCTCGAGGGGCGCCGATATCACGATATATGATCGTGGAGGCGGCGGCGTGCCGCTGTCGTGGGCTGCAAGAAACGGCCACGCCCGCGTGGTCGAGCTCCTGATCGAACATGGGGGCAAGGTCAACCGCACCGAGTGGGCAGGGATGGGATCACCACTGACGCAGGCCGCCCTCGCCGGTCATGAGGAAGTCATCGATGTCCTTCTCCACGCCGGCGCCGAGCCCGACCAGACCGTGAGCGAAGACAGCACGGCGCTGACCCTGGCCGCGCGAGCCGGACACCTGGCCGTCGTGCGGAAGCTTGTCGAACGAGGCCATGCGGCAGTAAATCACTTGAACGAGCAGGGCCACTCGCCATTGATCGAGGCAGTCACGGCCGGACACGAGTCCGTAGTGGAATACCTGATCGAGCACGGCGCTAAATGCGACCACCACGATGAAATGGGCCGCGCGCCGCTGTATTTCGCAGCGGCGCGTGGGCGCACAGCCGTTGCCCTGCGGCTGCTCAAGGAAGGCGTCGATGTAAATCGGGTCAATTTTAGCCACGAAACGGCCCTCTCTGTCGCCGTCGAGAGGGGGCATACCGAGGTGGCGGAACTGCTTAGATCATGGGCGAATAAGCCATAATTCAATCGTTGCTCTCGTTGCTCTCGTTGCTGTCGTTGCTCTCGTTGCTGTCGTTGCTCTCGTTGCTCTCGTTGCTCTCGTTGCTCTCGTTGCTCTCGTTGCTCTCGTTGCTCTCGTTGCTCTCGGATAGCAGCCGACTTGCAAGCAGTGGTAAAAGAAGGCAAGAAATGGTTTCAGTTCAATCATCACTTCATTGCGTCTAAGCATGACTCGGGGCATGTCCTCTGAGTACAGCTAATCCACCGACTTTCTCATGCTTCGGGATATAGCCACCAATCCCTCCCTGACGTTCTTTTATGAGCCCGCAATTCCCAGTCCAACGCGCTGGCCACTGCTCGGCTGTCCACTGGCATATGCTGGACCGCCTGGACCGCTCATGGTCGCCGCGCCGCCTGTTCCTGTCCGCTCCCTCATCCGCCGACCTTCCATCAAGCCTCTCAAGCCGCGTTTCTGCAGGCCAATGACACTGCTCAGCTCACCGTTCCAAATGAACCGCTCGCCCTCACTGCCTCCAACTTCTGACCCCCATTCAGATCCACTGCGACTAGTAGACGCAGAAATTTCGCCGCTGTGTGGGCGACCCGACTGGACGTTGGTGTTGATGCTCAGACCTCCAGCCGCGGCAGCCAGGTCAGACGAGAAGGATTCGTTTGCGGTCGTGCCGCCCAGAGAAAAGTCCGAGGTCGAGGTTGGCGACCCGATTGGATCAAGGCTCCCAACGAAAAAGTTGGGGTTGAGAGACCCATCGATACCACGGCCCCCGCCGGCCGCCATGGCCGTCGCATTGAACACCGCCGCCGCATTCCTGCTATCGAGCAGGGCGTGAAGACGCTCGACAACGGCTTCGAGGAGTCCGTCCACGCGATATGGCCGCGCGATCTGGAGAAGCGAACATAAAATCTGGGGCGTGCAGAGAGGAGAAGACGGTGGCGGTAGCGAGCTCGTGTAGAGGAAATGAAGCAGTGCTTGAACGGTCAGGTACGTATGCGGCAGATAGACGCATCGAGGGCGAAGGTTTGGCGGCAATGAGCGAGGCGTCGGCGCAGTGTTAGTGGTGGCGGGATTGATGTCTTCTCCTTGGCCCGCCGCTGTTCCGGAGCTGCCAGGCGCCGGGTTGGTGGACAAAGACGTGCTGGATGCCGACGTCGACAGCATGGATCCGCTATTTATGGACGAGCCCTCCGGCGTGTTCTTCGAGTTGGGAGTGATGGTCAAGGCCGATGCCCTCAGTGGATTGCTTGAGAGACCAGAACGCAGCGTGAAGCCGTCGCTGCCATCCTGCGACGCCGTCCCTTCCCTCAGCAGCTGAACGAAATATGGACCCCATCTCCTCGCGACAATCCTCGAATTGACTGGTATGCGCTCGCCACCGATGCACAAGATGTCCATGTCGGAGAGTTCTCGCATTGCCAGCGCTTTCTCGCCAAGCTCCTCACTCGCTCGAGAGTGGAAGCGGCCGCCCGCAGTGTACCCTGCCTTGCGTGTGAGGCTAAGGCCTGGACCAGAGTAAGGGCTGCTCGCAGAGATAAAGCCGGACAGTGGGCTGGTTTTGCGCGGGTTGTCGTAGAACCCAAAGGCCTCCAGCTCCACCATGCAGACATTCGAGAAGTTGATGCGGCGATGGTTGTAGTCGTCGACAAGGCTGCGTTTTCGGTTCCCGAGAATGACAAAGGTGTTGCGACGATTCCACAGGACTCCCCTGTTCCAGCTTCCTTGGCTGAAGACACTCCCACCTGCGTCTATGCGGCTCCAGGTAAGGGTCCTCAGGTCTAATGCCCAGAGGGCGTACTCTTGCTTCGAAGAGGTGAGATACGTCCCGCTCACCACGAAATGGGTGTCAATCACGCCGCCATTGGGAAATCGAAGCCCAGGCGGTGAATACGTGCCCGACATCGGCCGTTCCGTCAAAGTCCCGTCCGAGGCGCGGATCTGAAGCTCGAGCTTGACATCCAAAAAGTTATAGTTGGAGTAGATCAACATGGACGAGCCTGGTTCTCGCGCCTCTTGGCTGATGCCGCCGTCTGCTCGTGAGGCGTTCTGTGCCAGCTTTCCGATTCTGGATGTCACAGATGGCGGGAGTGGAGCCGCGACGCTTCGATACGCACCACAGCTCTTTCCTAGCGGCTGAGTTGACGTCCATTTGAGGCTGCGGAGGTTGAAGACGCTGATCTGCTCAATGTAATGGTTTGCGCCGTCCTGACCACCCACAATGACCATCTCCGCGCCACCCGAGCCGTCAATATTGATACCGATGCGGCCTTCGTTTGGATTGCCCGTCGACGGATTGTGTTGAAGTGCGGATAGCGGTGCCCGAGTCGAGGCAAAGGATGCCGAGGATGGCAGGATGCAAGCGCAATGCGCATAACGGCCCTGCGGAGCATCCTGGGCTGGCAAATACGTCCACTTCTTCGACGAAACATCGTAGGTGTAGATGTCAGACATGACGGTTACTTCGGGCTGCTGCTGGTCGGCAGACGCAGATTGGTTGGGTGCGGGCGACATGCCTCCGTAGCAAACCATCTTCGTGTCCCCAAGGGGACACATGGAGTGGAAGTACCGCGGGGGTGGTATATCGCCAGATGTCTCGAGCTTAGTCCAGTGCCTGCGAATAAGGTCGAGCTCGTACAAATCTGCAGTCAACGGTGCCGGGCGGCTTCGAGACAGTATCCTGCCGCCGAAAACGTAGAGCTTGTCTCCTAGAATCGTGGTAGTGGCGCCCACCAGAGGGGGGGGTTCGCGTCCGGTCGTTCGGTGCACATTGCACATGAGTCCTGATAAGTGCGCAGAAGACCCTTGGGATGGCCCCCCAACAGGCGTAGCAGTAGCCTGCGACCTCGTTTGGGTGACGGCTGGTGACGCGGCAGCAGATGGCGGGCCATTGCTCCGAGGCGTCAGCCCATCCCGCGCTTCTTCCACTCCCTCCTGCCTAACAGAGCTAGCGAGACTGCTCATGCTGCTGTTCATGTCTTGTGCGTATTGGTCTTGCCCGCCATATATCTGCCCGGAGGCTGTCGAGCTGGTCGAATCCATCGTACTCGTCCGGCTGTCCATGTTGGGCTCGGCTGGACGAGTTCGCGTGTCTTGGCCGGCCGATTGGGGTGCGATTGGAGTGGCGGGGCTGGGCTGAGGAGGAGTTTGGGGTAGAGGTTTGGCGAGGCTATGCTTCAGGCTCAGCTGTCTTGCATTCTGAGCTTCGAAGTTGGGCGAGAATGTCGTTCCCTGTGAGGGCTGGTAGGTGGAGCTGCGTTTGTTGCCGCCCGCGATGATCGTGGATTCGTTGAAGCCAAGCGCGGAGCTCTTCCTGGGAAGCCTGGGCTTTGGGGTCGGCTGGACACCTCGATACACACCGGAAAAGGTGTCGGGGCTGTAGCTTTCGGTTGCCGATCGAGGGGCATTCGACTCGGATTCCGACAAGGGGGATTTGCTTTGTCGAGGCGAGTCCTGTAGATTGGTCAGTCCCGCCGGTTGGGCCATGACGTTGTCAAACGCTGCGCCCGAGGCGCGACTGGTGACGTGATAGAGCACGAAGGCTGGAAAGTGGCCAGGAAGGATGGTGGTCAAGGAATTCGCAAGGCCTGGCTTGAGATGAATCTGGGATTCGTCCTCATGCCTGCCGCCGCCATCGCAGGTCGCGCCTTGCTGAGTCTGTTCCGCACGTCCACCGACGGGGACAGGCTGGGTAGACTCAAGTAGGTAGGTCGACTTGACCTTCCGACTCCGCAGGACTGCTTTGTAGAGGGCCCCCGTAGAAAACCACGGTACCTTGAACAAGTGCCCGGTGTTGGGTCCGGGGAGGAGCAGGACAAGGTTTGCGCAAACAGGGTGCCAAGGCCTGAATGAGGAGAGCAGGGTCCGTGGACGGCGACAACGGGTTCAGGGCATGGGTGAGCAAGGAAAGACTGGGGACGAACAAGGGGAGCCGCGCAAGTCCAGCATGACATGACATGGACTTATGGGTGAAGACGCAGGACGTGGAAAGCAGGCGAATATTGCAGGGGAGGGCAGGCGAGGCTGGGTACGGGGCACACACCTAATGTCGGTCCGCTGAGGCAATAGTCTGACGGAGCCCGCACGTTGACCGCGGATTAGTGCGCATGCAGCAGGATTGCAGTGGTGGTCCCGCAGCAAAGCAGACACGAAGGCCAGGCGTTCTGAGAGAGCTGCGCAGGATGTGCGGTGCTCAGCGTGCGCGGGTGCGACAATCCACGGACGGCCTAGGAAGTTTGGCGGGGGGGCGCGTGCGAAGCGAGGAGGCACTCGAGCGTCGAGAGGATCGAGACGGCGGCACGGCGAAGGTCGAGGGCGTCCGTGCTGAGCTTGGCTAGATGGCGAGCTGCGGTCCGGCTGACCGGCGCACGTCTTGTCGTCTCGGCAAGCCCTGGTTCCTCGGCGTCGTCAAGGCAGAGGCCCAAGATACGGCAAAGTGTCCGAATCGGGGGTCTGCGGACGGGCGGGTCGCGGCTCCAGGCACCACGGCGGGGGAGTAAGAAACGGGCGAAGGTCGCTGCGCACCGACGGTCGTGGAGCGTAAGGAATACGCGTACTCGTCGGTGTGTACGGAGTATGCGTGCGCGACTAGGAACCGGTGCGTCGCTCGGACGGTGGCTCGGTTGGGTCGCGATGCGACTCGCAGTGGGAGCGGGCGGTGGATGCGAGAGGCTGAGAGAGGAAGTCGAAGGTGGACGGCCGGCGTGGTCAGGAGAGAATGAGGAGCGTGTTCCGGCGCGCGTGGGTGCTGGGGTGCGGTGCTAACGTTAAGTGGAACCGGCGCTGGCGCACGGCGCACGCACAGACGCCTGGCGAGTCGAGGATCGGGCGACGATGACGCGGGAGGATTATCGCTTCCTACTGTTCCAGGCGGGATGGACGGATGAAAGAGGGGGACGGTAATGCCCCGCGCGGGCGACGTCGTTGAGAATGGCGAGGGCCTGGTATTGCGAGGGAGGATGAAGGAGAAGAAGAAAGCTGCACGCGCAGGCAGGAGATGCAGTTGAGCGCAAGTACGAAGCAGTCACTCATGCCCTTCGCAGAGGCAGGCAGGCACTTTCCGCGAGCCTATTGGAGCCGTAGGGCCAGTGCAACACGGCAAGAGACGGGTCGGGATGCACCTTCCTCAACGTTAAGCGCCCAGGCAATGCACATTTGCGGAAGGACCTCCAGGGCAGGGCACGAGCGGCCCAGCAAGGCAAGGTGACGGACTGCAGGCGCTGCATGACAGGCACCGCCAAACGCCAAACTTGGACGTGGCACCAACCTCAGCCCCTTCATTCGAGCTTTTGCAAGGGGACCAACCACCGCTTCATCCGCACCAAAACAGTGCTTGCTTACTCGTACTCGGTACTAGTTGGTATCTGCGTGGCGAGTCTAGTTGCTGCAGCTCTCGAAGCCCTATTCTGTGTCCCTGTCGCCTGACTCCTCGGCCCCTCCGTGGACACAGAATACTACGGCCAAGCTGCGTGGCCTGGAGTACCAACTAACGCACGGCACGACCATCCTGCCTGCAGCTTCCATCCCTCATTCGTACTGTGCTTTGCGCACACCGTCGGACAGCGTTACTTCGGATTGAGGGGCCAGCCCTGGCGCGTTAATTGATTGGGCCATCGTGGAGCAGGGCTGGACGGACGCACCAAGAACGCGTATTGGCATCTTCCATTCAGACTTCGAGAACGCTCCAGGCCCCCTTTTGTCGTCTTCCAGTTTCAGCCCCGACGTTGCAGATCTCGACAGGACCGTCATGACTCGGCCGCCGCAGTCACGATTATCGCAAGCGAGCACAGTGCATTCGGACCGTTCGAAACGAAACAAGAACGAGGCTTGCTGTCAGTCGCCCTACAGTGCTGTACCTGGCTAACTTGCAGGGACCAGGAGGTACCCGGTTCCTCGGAACCCGCCCACATGGGCTTCTCTCCACTTCTGCGCCGCATCACGTCCATGCGTGTTCGAGATTGATGACAGCCGCCGGCGGCATTACCTCACCGGGAATACTACTTGCCCATACAAGTAACATGGTGTATACGCTGTAGTGTGGGGTATAGCTGGACTTGAAGAGGCAGATCCAGGCCATTCGCTCCCATTCTATTTCAAGCAAGACGGGCAGTCGTCGTGGACACGAAACAAGCTGCATGTTTGTGGCTAATTTGGTATTATCATCATTACCGCGACCGAGGCCAGTACATGTCGACCCCGATCGGACTCGTTCCCGTACCAGTGGCGTTCGGACGCGGCGGAACGTCCGTCAGCCGTACCTTTCCCTCCTCTTTCTGTCGGCGCTCTTTTCACACATTTTGCTACTTCTTCAACTAAGCCTGGGGCAGAGCCGTGTAGCGCAGGTAAGGCTTAATGGTGCGGAAGTTGGGGAACAGCTCCTTGGCCTCGGGGTCCTTGACGCTGTTGGCAACAATGACATCCTGACCAGGGAGCCAGTCGATGGGGGTGGCGATCTTGTACTTGTCACCGGCCTGGAGCGAGTCAACAACTCGCAGGACCTCGGAAGCGTTGCGGCCAGTCGAGGCAGGGTAAGAGATGATGGTACGGATCGTGCGCTTGGGGTCGATGAAGAAGACGGAGCGGATGGTGAGGGGCAGCGCCTTGTGGTCGATGTTGGTGGGATCCTGGTAGTCGATCCTGCGTGCCATCTTGTCAGTTGCCAATGGCTCCCCCCTTCAGCTACGGCACGGAAACTTACATGTCATAGAGGTTGGCGACCGTACGGTCGTAGTCGGCAATGATGGGGAAGTTCACCTGCCCACCAGTCACCTCGGCGATGTCCTTGATCCAGCCCTCGTGGCGCTCGGTCGAGTCGGCCGACAGGCCGAGCAGCTTGACGCCGCGCTTGGTGAACTCGGGCTCGAGCTTGGCGAAGGCCCCCAACTCGGTGGTGCAGACAGGAGTGTAGTCCTGGGGGTGAGAGAAGAAGACGACCCAGCTGTCAGCAGCGAACTCCTTGAAGTCGATCTTGCCCTTGCTGGAATCAGCGACGAAGGTGGGGGCCTCGGTGCCAAGACGGAGGGGACCTTTGGCAGCCATTGTGATGATGGTGGTTGGTTGCAGGTATGTTGAAGCTGTTGACTTGACAAGCTGATAGGGGTGCTGTACACAGGAGTCGAGGATTACGAAGGAAGAGGAGGGCCGTCCCTGAGGGGAGGGGCAACCAGGATCACTTTATATGCCTCGTCTACGGCGGCAAGTGGGCGGCGGCTTCGAGACATGCAGGAGGCATGAGCTCGCCAATACGTGTCAATCGACCCAGGGGCGTCAGGCAAAGGCCAGAAGACGCAATTGCTAAGCCTGCGGGAGGCGTCGCCGCGTCCACAAAACGGAGCTTGGCCTCAACTTTGCCCCTCCATTCCGGGCGGCCAACCCCTCCGCTAGCCTCCCATGCTCCCAGCCGGGTTGCCCCTCGACCGCTCCATCCGGGGAGCTCGCCTTCGGCGACCAGCCGTGGCGGAGCTGAGGGCGTAGGTGGAAGTTTGACGGCTACAGCTTTCCTGGGGCGTGAGCCTCGCGGAAGCATCTTGTGCCAGCTTGAAAGTCGAGACTGACTTTTTCCTCTACATCACAGGCCGTTCCTCACTTGGGCAGTTCGTCGACGCGTCTGGTTTCGGCACCTGGATGGAGCCTCCGATTGAGCCCCAAAGGTCAGACAGGCTGTTTCCCGTCGTTCCTCGAGGCACGCACAGCGCGCCCCGAGACCCTGAGTGCTAGCCCAAGAGCCGGCGATGGCGTGCTGCACCAGGTGCGCCATTGGCCGGAGCTCTGGGATGCTGTCATCCAGGCCGGGCTGACGCAATTGGGGATGCGGGCGGCGCTGGCGGAATGCGGGACTTTGGCACTGAACGGGGGCGCTAGGGTGGTTGGCAGGCGCCGGCTCGTCGCCGGTTGCCCATCCCCAGCACGCAATCAGCCCCGACCTTCCGTGTGAGTGAGCCTGAGGGGGCCCCGAATGCGTCCAGATATGGTGTTATGACAGATCAGCTTGGCGCAATGGCGTGGTCGAGGCGGGGGCAGACTCGCCCCAGCTTTCTGTATCCAGGGGTGGCGCTCACTGAGACCCTCAAAAGTCTCACATAAGATGTGACCCCGGTGCCCAAGGCTGGTCAGCCTTCGCTCGGCAGTCGAGCGAGGGCGATGAATTGGGATTGGGGTTCCCCGAGTGCCTAAAACTTACGCGGCAAGGCCACCGATGGCCCGAGACCCCGCCGTGACAGGGACGCGGCTGCGAGTTGTGATGAGTTTAGGGTAGCCGCATGATATTCATCAGAGCTGAGAATGCGTCTTGCTCAGCTTGTGTACTGCCCGAAGACGATAGATATCCGCAATGGATAGCCCGGATTTTACAGCCTATATGTTCTGAGCTGTCGTATCGAATTGGGATCTGCGCAAGTGATGGTGATGGTATGACAAGCATGTGTAACGTCGCAGTCTGTCCGATCCCTCGTCGTAGCCTAGCAACAAAACTCCAAAACGAGCAAATGCCTATTCAAGCACACAGCCCGCCAAGCAATCGTGACAGATCTTGCATGACAGCTCTGCAAAGTAACCCTCTGATCACTAATACGTACGCACGCACACCCTTAAACACAGAAGGGACAAAAAGCCGACAGAAGAAGGATGAAGTACCCCCAGCAGCGCAAGTGTCGTAGCGTCTGCAGCGGCCAAAAAAAAAAAGAGAGAGAGCAAAAACGGCAGCACAACGAGCAAAAAAGATTAAACACGCGATCGCGCCAGGAGTCGAACCTGGAATCTCTAGAGAGCTCAGTGTACTTTTTTTCAAGAGACTGACAAAGATCAATCCTTGACCGAAATCTAGCGCCTTAGCCATTAGGCCACGCGACCGTGCGGGTAGGCGATGACAAAAATAGGTGCCGAAGTGGTTTATGTGCGTGTGCGTGTGCGTCTGCTGGCCCTCTGCGGCCCCTCCTGTTGCGCTTGAAGAGGGGCGTTTATTCGTCGTTGGCAGCTGGGTTTTGCTGCTGGAGTTGGGGGTCTCGTCTTTTTTTGGTGTGCGGATTTCTGTGGGTGCGGGTGAGGTGGGCGGTGGATGGGCTTTGATGGGGATGATGAGTGGGCTTCCTTGAGGTCCTGGTTGGGTTGAAGTGTGGTGCGGCGACTTTGATCCACTGGAGCTGCCCTGGCGGCAGCACCGAACCCCACTGTAGCTTCGGCGGGGCTGCATGCCCGCAAAGCTTCCATCCAAGCTTTCAATGGGCGAGAGCTTCAGGGCTGGGGGCGAAATCATGCACTCTTTCTGACATGCTCGCCGATTTGTCATTGAGACTCGGGAGCAAGGCTATTGTTTGATTCACCCTCGATGCGGTGATTGAGGGTCGTGTGCAACGGGAGTCATATCGGTGATACTCTGCATGTGTCCAGCTTGTGCCGTTCCTGGAGAAGAAGTGAACCTCGGAAGGTTTGCAAGCATGGCCAGGGCAAGTCAAGGACCGTCCGTAAAACGATAAAGCTAAGGGCACAAGACAGGAAGGGTTGAGCTTATGGAAGCTTCAAGCCTTGACGCGGAAGAGATCATTGATGTGTCCGAGCCAAACATCCACCCACACGCAGGCATTCTCGAGCAGCTCTGCCACCAGGCCTTTGGGTCAAGTCTTGTGGACAAGACTTGCCGAGCAGCAAGTCTGAGTGTAAGCCAATTGCCACCACAGACTCGTTTCATCCTTCAAGATAGAGAAGTCAGATAAAAAGGCAAACGGCGCAACTACCCGCGCAACGTCCCAAGGCATGTCTCACGCGTCTCCGATGCCAGCTCCAATACCTGCTTGATCACGTCAAGACTAATCCCATAAGGCATTCAGGAGACAGCCCAAGTTTGTGGTCGTAACATCGCATTGGTAATGCCATGGTGGACCTAAGCCAAATGACGGAGTCGCAGTCTGTTCGCCATGCCTGCCTCCCTTTGCCGCGTCCCACAATGCCTCACCATCAAAGCCTTTCGCGAAGACGACGAAGACTGTCGCAACTCAATCAGCTGAGCGTGGCTCAGCAGAGTAATGCCATTACATGCTCCAAGTCCAGTGTCCAGCCTCCCAATGGCCTTGATGTGTTGACAGAACCGACCAGAACCAATCTGTAGATTGAGAGATGGGGAGGTTCATTTGAGAAGGATGACAACACACGGCTGTTTTCCTGCCTTTCCGTCCGCTTTCGAAAGCCTTTGTGTAGACTACATTAGTCCATGTCCATTACCAAGATCGTAGCCTTGGTTTGCACATGCCCTGACCGTGACCACGGACACATCAAGACTCGGCCGGCTCATGGCTTGTGAGTCCACACATGCCACAAGGCTGCAAGGCCACGGCATTGCTTCGCCAGTTCCATCCGAAACCACGGTGCTTAGTTTGCGCGGAAGCTAGGAAGCGGAACTCATGCTCCTACCCGACGAGCTGTGGGGCGGCCTCAGGGCCAGAACGATGATGAATGCAAGACCTGCCCGAACAATAGACCTGCGGCCGCACGCATCGCACGTTAAGCAGTGATTCGCAGCATGCGAGGTGCTGGCCTTCGCATCCCCAGCCATTGGGTATATAACCTCGCACCTCCGCCCAACCCTTGTGGTGCTGCAGCGAACTCCTTTCCTCCTCCCAGAGGACCTCGCCGCAAGACTCAATCGCTGTCTCGCAACACGACCTCGCAAGCCTTGCGCTCACTGTTCATCTCTTCAGTGCCTTGCATTGTGTCTCTTGGGTGAGTGTGCCTGCGTTTGGCTGGATGAACTTGAGTGAACAGTCCACATCTAACATGGCCTTTGAGATTCACAGGTCTTGACCGCAGACGCGCCCATCTCTCGTCTTTTGGCATCACCGGCAACAATCGTGGCCTCTCTCTTCTGTATGGTGGCTTCCCCTGCAGGTCTATCGCCAATAGCATGACTAACAACATTACAGCAATGGCTTCCAACTCTCAGAACGAAGCAGCGCAGGAGGCTGAACACGACCTTGCGTCGCAGCGAATTTTGGCCGAACTCCTCACCCAAATTCGAACGGACCAGCCACGCGTCGCAGACTCGGAGGCCAGCACCCACCAGAATGGAAGTTTCTGCCCGGGTTGCATGCCTTTGGAGGTTCACCGCGGCATGATCCGTAGAATTAAGGAGGCCCTGAATGCTGATCTGCTGGAGTTCCAAGCCATGCTCCATGCCCTGATCCAAGGCATAGTTCAAGACGTGGGCAGAGTGCCATGCCCTCTTGGCAAGATGTTCATAGAACAGGACCCTGCGAATCCTCTTGCCTGGAGGGATGACGGCCGCGTGTTGGAACTGCATGGCGGAGGAGGAGCAACGCAAGTACATTGAGGCAGTCAAAGAGGACGTACTGGCTGGTCGCTTCTAAATGACACGGCACTCGCTGCCATGGCTTGCTCTGTCGAGGGTGGGCTGACTTGTGTCGCTTCCTCTCACGAGCCTTAGTGGGCATTGAGGGCTGACTTTGGGGATCATGGGGTCATTGGGCTTTCTTTTTGGAGGATTCGAGTTTGCAAGGCAGTCCAGACATCCGCTGCGACACTAAGACAACCAACTTGCTGCTCACATTTGGAGGCTTTGGCCTCTCATGCCTCTTCCGCCTTGTCGTGACATTTGTATCCCCTCTTTGATTCCATCGTGTCAATTGCGTCCCTTAATCCCCTATGCCTTCCATAGCCCTTGGCCTCTGGTACAATTTCCCCCTCGTATGCCTTGCGCGCTGGCCACACTGAGTAATTGAGGCTTGTTGTCTGCGGCGCTGCGCAGCGAAGTTATGCCGCTCCTGTCTCTCAGTGTCTGTCGCTTTGCCCGCCAACGCAGAGCGCCTCTCCAGCAGCCCGTCAAGTCTTAAGGGTGGCTAGACATCCCGGCGCTACAGGCCGACGGGACCATTGTTGGAGCACCAGGCGACGTCGTCTCATGCTCTGCATGGATTGGTCTCACTGATGCCTTTGGCATTCCCTACCCTTCAGGCCCATTTGTGCCGCCCAAGGGATCAATTACTCGTACGCCGCACGAGTGGGCCTGAGCTCAACTGGCTCTGCGACAGTCCCAGACAGTCCTCTTACTAACTTGGCTATGCTTCCGCCCGCGGGCGTGTTATTTCGTGCGCAGCGGCAATGTAATGACAAGAATACGAGATTCGGTCCGAGTAGATGTCCAATAGCATGGTCGTGCATGACTTCAAGATTGAAGGTGTAGTAGGCTACCCTGTCCGGCGATGTCCGTGAATACTCCAGATCGCGCCATACGAGGACCATGCATAGTAATGCGCAATGTAAATTGGCAACAGCTAGTCACGGGTGCTACATTCTCGATCAGGCGGGCTCAATCTTAAGGCTTGTCAGTGAGCTTCAGCGGGATGAAGGCAACAGAATGTCGATGATTGTTCCTCGCGGGGCCCCTGTCTTGTTTGCTCCTGAGTCAAGACTCCGCTAAAATGCAGTACAAGCCGACATGTAAAAGGCTCGTCGGAGCCACCAGACCGCGAGCCTGCGCATTGTGATCCAGTACAGGTAGAGCTCGCCCTGAAATTCTTCTACTGACCACATTTCGAGCTTCTTGACAGAATCATGTTCCATCGGATACTTGCCAGTCTCTTGGTAGCCGCGGCCATTGTCCAGGCTGTCCGAGCGAGCAAAAACACGAACGCGGATGTCTCCGGTAAGGCTCTTCCGACAAGCTAATGCAATCAAGTAGCTTATATATTTGTGTTTACCTAGTGTACGGGGATGAAGTAGGCATCAAGCGATTTGCGTGGGTGACAAGCCATCTCCAAAAAGGAGATAGGCTTGCTCGCTCGGGGGCGCCCGACTTCGGAGGCGAGGACACCGACCAGTACTTGTCAGGTCGAGGTCTCCAATTTCTCAAGTCTCAAGGCATCACCCACGTCATCAGCGTCAATTCAGCGGCCAAATTTAAGACCATGGAAAGAGCCCTGGCGAAAGGCGGCATCGCATATACGCCACTGCCTGTCAAGGACCGGGGCGTACCGTCTCTTGGGGATTATGAGAAGGCGTGGAACGCGTTCAAGGCACATCGGACCGGTGCCACTCTTGTCTGGTGCGGCTACGGCCATGGCCGGACGGGTGCGATGATTACTGCTCTGCAGATGTTTGCGGAGCACGAGGGTCCAAGGCCGCACCTTTTCACACATGCTGACTTTCAGGCCAACATTGTCGAAAATGATGGACAGCGCAACAGCCTCCTGGCATTGCAGAAAATGCTTTTCGAAAGACGCCCGAAGTAAGAGTTGTGAGAAAACGAAGGCTGTGGTCAACGAGGAGGATGAGCAGGGATCGGAAGCGGCATTTCGGTCCGGTGAAACTTCTTATGCCGAGGGTCCTGACGAAGCTGCGACTTCGCCGACTGATTGTACTCTATCTGCATCTTCGTTAGACAAGAAAACGACTAAGCCGTCGTGGCAAGCCTCCTTGGTCAGTTACTGTAAGCGGATTTGGCCGCGGCCAGAAAACAGTTGTGTTGTTTGCTCCAATATGGGCAGACGGGGGACAATGACGTAGAAAATTGTACCGTTATGCCTCATAGGGCATGCGTTGAATCGCTTTGAATGGCACAACTCCGAGAGACTGTCTTCCCGAGCCTTGTCCCCTTCGAGAGCGGGTGGTGTGAGGAGCGGCAGGCCATGTCGCACGCGCCATGCTCCCAACACTCACTGGAACATCCAGGGGTCTGTTGACCTGTCCCATTGCTGAGCCCACAGACACCAGCTGAAAGAAAATTGGCAACCAGCTCACACAGTTGCAGTTGCGTCTCGTGGCCTCTTGGCTCAGGTGATGAAGACATGGATTGAGTCTCTGAGCTTCATCCATGTCATGCCACGCAGGCGTCTCAGCCAGTTGTCTCTCGTTAAACGAACCAACACCAGCTACGGCCGACTAATGACTGCCGGGTTGGCTCTGCGTAGACTGCCCCACATGATGGTGGGTGGTTGTGGGCACAACCTTGACTCAACCCCTGGAGCAACCCTCCTTATCACAAAATAATGATTCGAGGTCCCAACGAATCAGAACTCAGTTCGCTCATTCCTCCGTGGCGCAATTGGCTAGCGCGTCTGACTGTTAATCAGGAGGTTGGAAGTTCGAGCCTTCCCGGGGGAGATGCGATATCTTTTTGAGTTGTGTCGTGATGGTGGCACGAAGTTGTAATGACTTTGTGCTGCCACTCTTTTTTTTTCTGGAACGGGCAAGTGTCAGCGTGCGCTCCGGGCTTTATCCGACAAGCTTTTCTTTTGCGTCTTACACCAATTGGGGTGGCGGGAGCTGGGCTTGCTGGTTGTCTTGGGCCATGGCTTGTGGTGATGCTTACACGTGCTTGGGCCATGGACAACCGGCAGCACTGTGAAGAGGTTCCAGGCGCAACTTGTACCTTCACTACGTAGAGACATATGGAAAAAACTTTGAGACGCAAACAATTACACAGCCCTAAACTGATGCCTTGTGCCGTTTCAGACCAAATATCGAGCAATTGGTGATGTCCTCGTACTGAGTGGGCCGGCGCCGGGTGCCCGGAATTGTGGGCCCAAGTCAGTCCGGCTGCGATTATGTCAGCCGTGCACCAGTCCGCCAATCACGCAGCTAGCTTCCGTTGCTGGCAGGGAGCAGGCAGAGCTGTGCCTGACGTGGACGTGGAAGCCGTCGTGCCTGCTGCTCGTGCTCGCGCCAAAGCCCGTCAGTCATCACATCCCTCGCATCGCATTGCATCATCACCTCCTCCCTATCAATCCGTGTACACCACCCGCATCCCGTTCTCGGCTCCTGGGCGCTGCTTCATACGCCCGTTGCCACGTTAATTACAGCCTCGCTCGAGGTCCGCAAGCCTTGCCCGAGCTGGTGCCTCGCCTGCCCTTCCGGAAGCCTCCTCCGTCACAACAAGCCACCATCACGATGCCTGGCCTCGTCTCGGCGACCGGCGTCCTGGCCTTTCTGGCCGACGAAGAGCCCGAGCTCAAAGTCTTTGCCCTGCAGACGCTCAACGATGATATCGACACCGTTTGGACCGAGGTGGCCGGAGCTCTGAGCCAAATGTGCGTTTTGCCACAAGCCCCTTCCGCAAGTCTTGGCCGTCAAGCCAAGGGCTTCAGCCTCAAGAGCCTCAAGACAAGGCAAAGCTAACCCGCGCTCTGCAGTGAGGCCTTGTACGAAGACGACACTTTCCCCGAGCGCCAGCTGGCTGCCCTCGTCCTGGCCAAGGTCTACTACCACCTGCAGGCCTACAACGATAGCATGGTCTACGCCCTCGCCGCCGGTGACCTCTTCAAGCTCGACGCGCCCGGCGAGTTCGAGGAGACCATCATCTCCAAGTGCGTCGATCAGTATATTGCCGTCACCGCCTCCAAGCACGCCAAGCCTCAGGCCTCCAAGAACGCCGACCTGCCTGAGCTCACAACTACCTTCTCCAACGCTTCCGATGGCGCCGTCATGTCCCCGACGACACCCTTTTCGCAGACGACCCTCCCGCCCAAGTCTCTTCTCTCCCGCGCGTCCATCGACAACACCATTTTCGATGCCACCTTCCAGCCTCTGACCAAGCAAGGCCGTTCGGCGTCAATCGCCCAACTCCCCGACAGCGCCACCGAGGCCTCCCTGCAGCGTGTCATCGAACGCCTCTTTGACAGCTGCCTGAAGCAGGGGCGCTACAGGCAAGTTGTCGGCATCGCCGTCGAAGCCAAGAACCTCGATATCTTGCGCCGGGTCATTAAGCGTGCCAGCGAGGACGAGAAGCGAGCAAAGACAAAGTCGCAAGACGCTCCGGGTCCTGCCGAAGAGCTGATGGAATACTCCTTGGGCATCTGCATGGACATTGTGCAGGAGCGTGGCTTCCGCACCGAGATTCTCCGCCTCATCCTCGACCTGCTCAACGATATACCGAACCCAGACTACTTCGCCATTGCGAGGTGTGTCGTTTACCTCAACTCGGACGAGGAGGCGTCACGCATGCTGCGCACGCTTGTTGACAACGGCGATCGCACATCAATCGCCAATGCCTACCAAATCGCCTTCGACTTGTACGACAACGGCACACAAGAGTTCCTCGGCAAGGTGCTAGATTCCCTGCCCTCGGGGAAGCAGCTGGAGAAGGCAGAAGAGGAGGTGACTGAGGATTCTAACAAGACCACCTCGGAAGACGCCCCCTTGTTGGAGAACCAGCAGGAGGCACCCGAAGAAGCTCTGCCTGAAGGCGTCGCCAAGGTTTACCGCAATATTCGATCCATCCTGGACGGCTCCAAGACGATCCGCCTCAACCGCGAATTCCTCTACCGCAACAACCACACGGACCTGAGCATTCTCAACAAGGTCCGCGACAGCCTCGAGGGCCGCAACTCCATCTTCCACACGGCCGTCACCTTTTGCAATGCGTTCATGAACCAAGGCACCACCAACGACAAATTCTTCCGGGACAACCTCGACTGGCTCGGCAAGGCCGTCAACTGGTCCAAATTCACCGCCACTGCCGCCCTGGGCGTGATTCACCGCGGGAACCTGTCGCAGTCCCGCAAGCTGTTGGAGCCGTATCTGCCCAGAGCGGGTGGACTGGGCAGCGGCTCCATCTTTAGCCAGGGTGGTGCCCTGTACGCCTACGGCCTCATCCACGCCAACCACGGCGCCGACGCGCTCGACTACCTCAAGACGCAGTTCACTCAGGCTGAGGAGGAGGTTGTCCAGCATGGAGGCGCTCTCGGCCTGGGTATCGCCGGTATGGCGACTGGCAACACCGAGATCTTTGAGAAGCTCAAGGAAATCCTTTTCCAGGATTCGGCGCTCAATGGTGAGGCCGTTGGCCTCTCCATGGGTCTCATCATGCTCGGCACAGGCAACGCCAAGGCACTCGAGGACATGATTACCTATGCCCATGATACGACCCACGAGAAGATTGTCCGCGGCGTCGCCATGGGCATGGCGCTCATCATGTACGGCCGACAGGAAGGTGCCGATGTTGTCATCGAGGGCCTTCTCAACGACCCCGACCCGACGCTCCGATATGGTGGCATCATGACTGTTGCCCTGGCTTACTGCGGCACCGGCAGCAACAAGGCGATTCGTAAGCTCCTGCACACCGCCGTCAGCGACGTCAACGACGATGTTCGTCGCATCGCCGTCATGAGTCTGGGCTTCATCCTCTTCCGCAAGCCCGGCAGCGTGCCACGCATGGTTGAGCTGCTCTCCGAGTCGTACAACCCTCACGTCCGCTACGGCTCTGCCATGGCCCTGGGTATCTCCTGCGCTGGCACTGGCCTCGATGAGGCCATCGACTTGCTGGAGCCCATGATGAAGGACCCGACGGACTTCGTCCGACAGGGTGCCCTTATCTCGCTGGCTATGATCATGGTTCAGCAGAATGAGGTGATGAACCCCAAGGTCTCATCCATCCGCAAGACGCTCAAGAAGGTCGTTGGTGACCGCCACGAAGACGCGATGACCAAGTTCGGCGCCGCCCTTGCCCTTGGCATCATCGACGCCGGCGGCCGCAACTGCACCATTGGGCTCCAGACTCAGACGGGTAACCTCAACATGGCGGGCATCGTCGGCATGGCTGTCTTCACCCAGTACTGGTACTGGTTCCCCTTTACTCACTTCCTGTCACTGAGCTTCTCGCCCACAGCCATGATCGGCCTTGACCACGACCTCGAAATGCCCGACTTCAAGTTCCACTGCGCGACGCGGCAGAGCTTGTTCGACTACCCGCCTGAGCAGGAGGTCAAGACTGAGGAGGGCCCTGCTCTGATTGCCACGGCCATTCTCTCGACGACGGCGCAGGCGAAGCGAAGAGCGCAGAAGAAGGAGCGTGCCCAGCGTCGCGAGAGTATGGACATCGACCCGACCCCCAGCAAGGCTGGAGACAAGATGGAGGTCGACGAGGAGAAGAAGAAGGACGAGCCCAAGGAGAAGAAGGAAGGTGAGGAGAAGGAGGCGGCTACGCCCACCGACTCGAAGAAGAAGCCGGAGAAGGAGAAGATTGGCTACGACATGGAGAACATGAGCCGTGTCCTGCCCGGGCAGCTCAAGTACATCAGCTTCCCCGCTGGACGGTACAAGCCTGTCAAGAAGGTGAGCCAGCTCATTTCAACCCTTTGCATGAACAGGTCTGAAGCTAACTACGTAAAGCCCACGGGTGGGCCCCTGCTCCTCGACGACACACAGCCCGATGAGCCCAAGTCTCTCATCGAGGAGAAATTGAAGAAGGTGACGACGGAGCGCGCTCCCGTCGCCGGCCAGCCCAGCGCCGCTCGCGCAAGCCGAGCCGCCGCGAACCGGTCGCTGTTGGAGAGCCTCGCGGCGGACCACGGCCGCTCGCCGCACGGGAGCAACGCCATGCTGGACATGTTCCGCCAGCAGCAGGGCCGCTCGCCGTTTGGCCTCGTGGATCCGCAGACGCCCGGCGGCGACGCCGGCATGGGCTCCGGCGCCGCGGCGGCGGCGGGCGTCCTGACGGCGGTGGACGAGGACGCCGAGGGCGACGAGGAGGCGCAGGTGCCGGGCGAGTTTGAGTACTTTACCGACGCCGAGGACGACGAGGAGTAGTGGCAGCAGCAGTAGAGGCGATGTACACCGTGTTTCCATACGTGTAAAGTAGAGCAGACACTAGACGGACGGTGGCCGTGGCCGTGGCATTGGAATTGGAACTGACCCGGGCCTGACGATAGGCTCGGGCTGTCAACTCTTAAATGTTGTTACTACGCATCACTTTTGAACGTGTCTTCAACGCGATTGCTCGGCAGGAGACGTGCCATTCTCTACCGTGCATGTCCCTGTAATTGTATTAATGCATAGATGGATAGTATTGCTACTGGACGTCTCTCTGTCTGTACCAGCGCCGCTTCGCTCACTTGGAATGGTCCAATCCTCTCGGCGACATGGCCGCTTGTTTGCTCTGTGCTCGCGCCAATCCCAAACGCCAATAAATCGAAACGACAAAGTATGCTCAATGCACCAGCCCGACAGGTTGTGCGACGGCTGTGATATAAATACAGTACTGGACGTGCGGCTCCCCCGCCATGCTAAAACTGGGAGGGACAGAAAAGCCGCTCAACCGTCGTTTTTGTTCTTGGGAGCCTTTTGATCCGAATTTGAGGGAGGGCTGGGCGCCGAGGAGCAGTCGACGCACACCTGAATGCGGTGCCACGCGGTGGCGAGGTTACCCCTCAGGTTCCACGTCGCGGCATGGCTCTCGGGCTGCGTGTTGTACGTGTCGTCGGTGGCCTTGACCATGACGGTTGTGCACTTCTTGTTGCCCTGAGTCGCGGCTGGTGGGCTATCAACCTCGCCTGACCCTACTTGCTCAGAGCTTCCGACCTTTTCTGGCTCTTGAAAGGTCCCCAACGGGACCGCGGTGTCGAACCTCCATCTCTTCCACGACCACGCTCCGTGGCCCTGGCAGGGTGACGGGGAGCCGTCCTTGCCGACGCAGTCGGGCAAGAGGTAGGCTTGGGACCAAGACTTGCCACTGTCCATGGACACGTCCACACGGATGATGGAGCGTCCTCCTCCAGAATACGCGTAGCCACCAAGCGTGACCTTTTTTGCCGTCTCATCGGCCTGGCCCTGTGCATCGTTCCGAGCGGCCTTTGTCCAGCCCCCGGTCTTGACCTCTGTAATGGCGCTCTGTACAGGCAGTTCCTGAATTGCGGGAGCGGCGTCCCAGTCGACCTTGGTCTCGTTGGGGCCGAAGCACTTGTAGTCTTTGCGTTGCCACTGGCTGGTGCTCTCTTCGTCGCTTAGGGTGATCTGGTTGAGCCACTTGACGGACCGGGCGGCGACATGGCCGGGAACGATGGATCGTAGTGGATAGCCGTGGTCGCGTGGCAGTGGCTGCCCGTTCATCGAGTACGCGAGTAACACGTCGCCTTGGGGGTCAACGGCCTTTTTGATAGGGATAGATGCGGCGTATGCTTCGAGGCCGGCAAAATGGACGTGTTTGGCCTCACTCTCGCCGCTCAAAGCCTCAGACACTTCAAATCCAGCATCGGCCAGAACGTCGGATAGCAAGACGCCCTCCCACGTGGCGTTCGAAATAGCCCCGGCAGTCCATTGAAGGCCGTTGGTAGATCTGCCAGAGCCCTGGGTCATGTGTTTCCTGCGGTTGCCAGAACACTGCAGGACGGCAGTGATGGTGTGGCTCGGGAATCTGGACTTGAGGTCCTGAAGAGTGTACTGCTTGGTGGTCCCATCGACGAGCTCGACAGTGAGGACGTACTTGTCGGCAGCCGGCTCGTCTATCGTGGGCACCCACATGTGATTGCGGACATAGAAGAGCTCATTGGGAGTGAGGAACTGGGAACTCAATGCTTCGCCCGGCGTCTCGGCATTCCGTGGCTTGGCCGTCTTGGTGATGAGTGACGGGTCTCGTTGAGGGTCGTCGGCAAAAGGATCCTCAATCTCATCCTGGGCAGGCAGGCCGTCAATGAGGTCGGCTTGGTCGATGTAGCCGATGAGGTACTGCGCAAGGATATCGTAGACGTATTGATTCTTGTGGATGCTGAAGATGTTCCAGTAGGGGTCGATGGAGCCGCCAGCGGCACGCAGGATGACCTGACCGCCGGGATGGGCAGGGACCCAGTCAGTGATGTCGTAGACCTTGTCCTCGTGGATGACCCAAGGGTTGTCCGAGTCGGCCCCGTGCTTGCGGACCTCTGAGATGCGGAAGCGTGGCAGGTCCGGGTCGCGGTTGTCGGCGGCAGTGGAGCTGGGGCCGGAAGGCGACTTGGTGAAGACGGGGCCCGGGTCCGGGTCCGAGTGGGCGGCGGCGGCAGCAGAAAAGGCCGAGGCAACGGCGGAGGCCGGGGAGTCAAAGGATGTCGGAGATGTGGAGGAGAGATGCAGTAGCGCCAACGCAGATACGAGTCCCGCGAGCCCGGCTGCCGCCACGGCACGTCGAGGCGAAGCGGGTCCCGATACCCGTTTGGCAGTTGCCGCTGCCGTCCGCTGGTTGCCGCCCCCTCGGCCCTCAGCGGGAGACACGCGTCTTGGGACAGATGTGTTGAAGGCCCGGCATCTCGACAGCTCAGGGGCACGCCGGGACAACGGGCCAGGCAACGTCGGCGGCTGTGCGAGCAGGCGGCGTTGCAGACCGAGGGCGTGCTGAAGTCGTGGCTTCATCGCTAAACGGACGGCTCCGGCCTGCAATGGGACGGGACGCGTTGTGCAGACGAAAAGGAAACGACAAGACGGATGATTGGGTTTCGTCGTCAATGAACCATGGCGGAAGTAAAGAAAGGGTGCTGGCGACGTCGGCGGCGGTGTGCAGTGCGTGTATGTCGTACAAGACCAGACCGAGACACGAGGCGTGTGTCTGTGCCTGACGGGTGGCGTGTTACACGGGCAGGCGACGGATGGACGGGTGAGAGGCGACGCAACCTCGCGTCGATGTCGAGTCGGCAGTCGCTCGTCACTGAGTGATGATGGAAGAGAGGCGAGTTGTGCAAAAGTGAAGGAGCGACGGATGTCTGCGAGATGGGGTGAGAGGCGGGTGACACGCGGAAAAGGTCAGACAAGGATGGGTGCCGGAGTGGATTCGGTGGATCGTATTACTTGTGGTGGTGGTGGTGCTGGCGATGCTGTCGGCAGCTGGCCGGGTTCTGACTCGGTCGGGTAGGCAGGTGGTTGCTGCTGCAGAACCGAAACATGCGTCTGCGGCGGGCGGTGGAGAGCGGGGGAAAGAAAAGAAGTGAAGCCATCGTGGGCGAGACGGCGCAGCCAAATGGCATTTTGCGTGGCCATATTTAATTGTTAGGCCAGCTCTCGTCCTGACGATGGATGGATCGATGGGAAGGAGCGACTACACCGACGGTTGCCGTGTCGAGCCAGGCCGGCCAGTGCGCGCGCGCCAAACGACGTCACCTGGACACGCCAGGGACGCACCTTCTCCAGCACATCTCTTCAGGTCACCTGCCACTGGAGAAACGGCCAGAGATACCAAGTACGTTCCGCGAACAAGCTGCAGCGCCCAACGGCCTCGGGCTGAGGTACTTCGCTCCTAACAGAGAAATGCCCACCTGCCGTGTGCTGGAATCCAATTAATTACAGGGCTCTGCACTGCCCTGCACTGCGCTGGACCTACACGTAGAGACGGCACACCTCCAGCTCGCATCTTCATCCTCCAACTTCCCCAGGTTTTCCAGGTTGTCCCTGGCCCCCCTCCCCTGAAGCACCAGCCGCCCAATTCCATCCTTTCCCCATTTCGCTAAACGGACGAGAAAAACACACACCGTCCAACCTGTGCTGGCATCGGAGCCGATTGGTCGCCCGGTTCTCGTCCGCGCCGCGCGCATCTCGACGCCTCCCCCAAGTTCCCCAAGCCTGCATTCCCCTTACCTAACGCCGAGATTTTCTCCGCCTATCTCGTGCCGCGTCTCCATGCACGTCCGCGCGGTTGTGCATGCGCGCGCATCGCCCAGCGCATCTGAGCCCTGTCGTTCCCCGTGCTTCGCACAAAGGTACTGTCAGAGCACACGGCTTGCAATCTCGGTTCAGGGTTGACGACGGCTGTCGGGCCGGACAGGGGTGCACGTCGGGCGGCCAGTTCATGTTGACACTTCAGTATCAAGCGAGTAGTGCTATTTCTCAGAGCCAGCTTTTGCTAGCTGTAGAGCGACAGCAACGATGTACAGGCAGCGCGGTGCTATAAGTCGTAAAATATGGCTCTACGAATATGGCACTTCTATCAACAACTGCCGTCATGCGGCGGATGAACCGAACGTCTTCGTTCCCGACACCTGCCTGCCAGGTTTGTCTGCAGCTGCGTCAAAGGCCGACGCCCTCTTTTATATTGACGACGCTCACATGCTACCGCACACCGACTCATACCTCACGAACCGTCCCCCCTATGAGCCCGTTGGACGACACGCTGTTCTTGTCCCGCATCTTGGACGCTGTCTCCGCGCCCAGCACCGGCACCCGGTACTCAAACTTTTTACCCGCAGCCGCCGTCCTGCCGTCGGGCAGCGCGTATGGGAACGGCAGGTACTCGGGCAGCAGCCCCAGCTGGCGCAGCACCGTGCCCTGGTCCCACGAGATGTGCTCGTGGTAGAGCCTGTCGCCGCGGATGTTGACCACGGCCGTGAACGGAACCTCGGCCTTGAGACCCGTGGGCGGAACTCCGGGAAGACTAAATGATGTGGGATGAAGATGGTAAGCCATCGATATTTTTTCTCCGCGGAATAGCAGCAGAGTTGTTATGAGGAGGGATGTCACTCACAGCCAGTCAATCTCCTGGTCGTGGGTGAACTTGAAGATGAACTCGTCAATCACCCGGTCGATGCCGACAGTGCGACTAATAAGCTCGAGCTCTGTGTCGGCCGAGTTGTTGAAGATGAAGTTGTCCCGGTAAAACGCAGACAGGTGGTCCCGCCCGATGCCGCCCGTCAACTGCCACAATCCCGCCAGAGTCAGTCATCCGTTGTTCATCTCGTCAGCTTACACGTAGGGGCGCCGCTTACCGTAGGCACGTGGTTCACGTATGGCTCCTGCACCATGGTGCTCATGGTGTGCTCCACGGAGCGGTCGGCGAACTCGTAGTACGTGTGCTCGTCCCAGATGGCCTCGAGGTCAAAGTACGGGCCCCCGACGAGGGGCTTGAGGAAGGTGAGGCTGCGCGAGTGGGCGACGGACTCGGCGTTGGCGGAGAAGTCGGGCTGGAACGGTACGGCGAAGCGCTTTGACGGGGCCGTCGGGTAGTAGTGGACTTTGACTGATGAAGTCGTGTCCTGGCGTTTGCCGGGAGAGCGGCCGGCCAGGTGCTGCAGTATGGGAATGGGGGCCGACTCGAGTGCCACCTTGTCGTCGGCGTATACGACGCCGGCGACAATCGTGGCAAAGTGCGATAAAGACGGCGCGATGAGGTTCCACGCCTCAAAGTCATACGCTGCGCAGTCAGCGACTTGGTTGCGTGACTTGATGGTGAATCATTCTTACCAACGAGGCCAATCTTGCTTTGCCCATCGCATTCTTCGCACGCAGCCAACGCCTTCAACGCGGCATCCAGCGCATCGCGCGCGTTACTACCATCGCCCTTCACTGCGGAAGTCTGGATCTCGACGACTGCATACCCCTCCTCGGCCCACTTGAGCAGCGGCCACGGCACGCCTTCGACGATGCCCAGCCGGTTGTCCGAGGCCGAGTCCGGCGTGAGCACCACCAGGCCCGGGCCGTGGCCGCGCCGGGACAGCGGGCGGAGCAGGTGCACCCTGGGCCGGAGCTCCGACAGCCGCGGGGCCGGGAGCGGAGGCGGCGGCTTGGAGATGTCTGCGTACATTGGGCTCTCGGGCGGGCGGGATTGACGGCGCTGTGGATATCCTGCCGGTTTCGACTTTGATGGAGGTCCCTTTGTTACGAGTATGACTGAGGTGATTGCGCGCTGGTCTGAGCGCAAATGTATTTCGGCTTGGGCGGCAGCTACGATGACACTGGAAGCTTAGCCGGCGCGAATGCAGGCTGTGCCCCTTCCGTAGCAGCAGCGTTGGAGAGTCGGAGTTAGTTAAGGCGAAGATGGCGTCTGGGCCGGCCCCCGCTCCATCTTGCGTGGGCAGAATCCCCCACGCCGCCCGGTAATATCTGGCGGCCGATCTTCCATTCTTGGGCTCCATGTCGGGGATACTGCCGGCGTGCGAGGCGCCTTTTCTTGAGCGGCTCGCCGGCGACTCACCAGTTGAACTCTCCAAGATTTAGCCTCTGACAATACGGCAAGCAGCAGCCGGCCGAACAGAACAAGCCAAAGCTGCCCGACGGCGCCGGTCCAATGCTCGCCGCGCCCGGGTGCGGGCTGTGCCCGAGAGCTCCCGTCAATGCGCCTTTCTCTCAGAAACGTTTTTGTAGCGATTCTTCGTCGCACAGACAAACCGACCGTGCACCGGTCCAGGTAACTCAGACCCTGGAAATCCCTACCGCGTCTGTACTGGTGAGTGCAACAGCGCAAGATTCCAGGGAGATGAAGATGCGGGTAGATAAGCGCACGGGCCTACACATAAGCCCTGCGCGACAGCAATCAACTGGCAATAAATCGAACATGTAGCGTTTAAATAGCAAACCAACATGGATCGCCCTTGAGTCACGGTAGGCTTCGCGCACGTCACAGCGCGCGCTTCGGCATTGCGGTCTGGTGTTCCTGAAACGCTGGGCCTTGCCCGTGCACCCGTTCAAACAGCCTTGAACTCTAACGCCCAGAAGCAGCGGGATCGAAGCCAGGGTCACCGTAGCTCGATAGAACCATTTTTCCACGGTTTGCCATATGGCTGCGAGTAATTGAGTTTGCCGTCTCCTGAAACCGTGCCGTCTTTAGGTCACCCGGATTCTCCCAGGCAGGCAGGCAGGCACACAACAGAAATATCACATCCCATCTCCCCAGAGAATTGATATCCCTACTGCTTCTCGACCATCAACACTGTATACAAATCGACTTTCTTACTTGATACATTTTCATTCTTTGTGGACTCAAGCAAGATGCACCTCACTATCGCCAAGGCCGTCACCAGCATTACTCTGCTTTTGCTTCCTGGTGTGATGGCACTGCCTGCTAACCCACTTGGCAACATCCTAGGTACGTGGCCTTTTTATCTTTCCTTCGAACATGTACAGGTCAACACCTAACGCTTCCTCTACAGGAGGAGGAGGGGGCCTCTCTTCAATGTTGGAAACCGGAACGGATCACCTCAGGTACACGGCTCCTACGGGTAAATCCGGGACAGCAGCCAAGGAAGGACCATACGATGGGGCACGTGAAGCTCATCGCCAGGCTCATGTCGCCATCGACAACGGCTTGAATCCTGCAGATGCCCCCTCCCATGGCAGTCCCTTGCTCGATGGCATTCTTAGCGCTGTTGCCCCCGCACAGGCGGGAAAGCCGGCCCGGTAATGGCCAAATATATTTTGATTTTAAGGGTGGAGGTGAGGCATGTAGGCGAAGTAGAGGATGAGACGATGTGGTTTGTGTAGTCTTGGAAACATATACTGTATTTGCGGTCTTGAGAGCTCAACTACTATTTACCTCGTTCACCGCATTTACGGGCTTTCCCGTCTACATGTACGCTAGACGCGGATAGGCAGCCCTTCTCTGCCGTACGGAACGCCTGGTAAGTAGCGGCGGTCGCAAACACCATGAACATAACTCGGTGGCTCGTATGGAAGTGGTCGCGAATACTTAGCCCGTTATAGACGTCGTCGACCCCCATGCGCGCGGCTTTCCTGCTCTAGAGGATCTCGGCAAGGGCATCCTCATCGATTAGGGCCCTACGCGCAGTTGACCAGGCTCAACAAGGGCGACTGTCGCTGTTAGGGAGGTAGCGCCCCGGTCCCTGCTGGGGGTTGGAGGTGGCCGAAGTCGTCGATGGAGTGGATTCTTGTCCAACCCACGCTTCAAGGAAATTGGCATTCCACCAATCTAGGCATTTACAGCAAGCTTAGGAGCGACGCTATGCGCGTCGTGGGATAGGATGAGGATTGCGCTGCGCCTGGACCGTCGCAGTCAAATGGCGGCGGGCTTGCCCACGGCGCAGTTTCAGGGCTGAAACTGCACGAAGGAATCGACGCTTGCCTCCGGCATTCGCCCGTCCCTGATCCGCCGGCAATTGGCGCAACGACATCTGCTGCATTTTGCAGTAAGCTTGACCTGCTCCGTAATTGGCGTCCTCGCTTACGCTGTACTTAGCCGCTCCCCGCATCCCCATGGCCGCGCCATGGCAGCTGGCCCTTTGAGCATCCCGGGGAGGGAGGCCGATCACCACGTGAATGGAGTGCAAGACTCTTGAGTGGCAAGCCGCGGATACCCTCGGTCTGCGATTGGTCGTAGTTTATTATTTGTCGTTGTTGGTGCTAGTTAGTAACAGTTTCATATTTAGTTCCTCATTGCATCAATCCCATTCTGAACAATCACCGATCTTTCATCATGAAAGATGTGGTCACAAGTGTCATGGCTTTGCCCAAGTCATCAAAAAGGCGCGTGATCCGAGCTTGCGTGTGTACACTGTCGTCTTCATTACCAAGCGCCACAGGAGAACCTCGAGCCTAGAGACAACCGAGGTTCGTGGAAGTTACATGCAGAAATGAACATAGCCAGGACCACCAGCATCGTGCACAAACACCTCCGAAAGCGCATCCAACCCTAGCAAACCTTCTTTTTGGTTCCATATCGCTCAGCCGCGGCCCTCGCTGTGCTCGAGAACAGTCACAGCCTTGACCAGGCTCGCAATCGTCGCCAACTTCAAGTTGACGCTGGCGGCGCCATCCGGCCTGTGGGTGAGCAACAACTGTATATCGTTGGCCAGGAGCAGTTCGATGAGGGCCTGGATTTCTCGGCGAGCTTCGACGCGCAGTGCAGCAATGCCTTTTCGCGCTTCAAAGACGGGCCTCTCACCTACAGGCGCTGCATTCATGGGCCGCCTAAAGGCTCCGGTATGAGTCGCAGTCTGGGCGGCGCCGCGAGCCATGGGCCTTCTTACTCTGGGAACTGGCTTTGGACTGCGTTGATGTATAGACCTGGTTAGGAAGCAAGCTCGTGACAGAAGGGGGAAGACGGGGTGGTCCGAGTACATACGGCGGCGCGGGCTCGCTCTCGGCCTCCGACTCAGATTCATTGTCTGAGAATGACTGCGAGTCGAGCGAGCCGGACTCAGAACCGCTCATGGTGCGTGATCTCTCGGGCGCTGGGGAAGTCTCGGGTGGCTCAGGCATAGGGCCTGTGTCCTCGGGCTGGAACGCCGCCGGCGCCGCGCGGGCGCGCTCCTGGGGAGGTATGGGTGTTGCCAGAGGGGCGGGCGGACCTGGGCGCGCACCGTAGCGTGGTGCTTGGAACCGACGACGCATGGTTGTGTCGCGGCCAAGGTTGGAATCTGACATGGAACCAGACTTATTCATTAGAAGGTAAGATGAAGTAAGGCCTGAGCTGAGCAGGGGTGAGAGACAGAGATAGAGAGACAGATGGAGAAGGAAGAGGATTATAGGAGAGAGAAAGAGCAAGACAGATAGCTGGGACAAAAGAAGAAGTGTTGAGGATGGAGAGCTCAATTTATACGCAGGGGCTGTTCAAAGGGGCGCAAAAAAGAGGACCAGGTCAAAGAACATGTCCCACGGTACCCGATCTCCCAGATAGTGTGTAAGCGAACAGCAAACAGAACTAATCGCTTAGATGGGGAGGCATTCATGGTTGTGTGTAGGCGAAGCCACCTGCTTCATCCTGTTCACGGCGCCGTTCACTGGTACGCCAGGTAGGAATGAACATCAATCTGCAGAACATTGTTTGGCCGACTTCTGGGACGGGTCAAAGCTCTATGACCAGAACTGCCCCTTTGTGAAACTTCTGCGAGTCTACTGCTCGTGAGGTAGGCATTGCGGCGTCTTGGAGGGAGGAACGGTGGTCGCGGTGCGGGCACTCGGCTGCCGGGATACGGTCGGCTACGCGTGGAATGGCCTTACGAACCATGCGAAGTAAGAGACCGCGGTTGGGAAGGTATAAGGGTCTACCTATTTGCAAAGGTGATAAGGTGTAGCTACATAGGTGGCCTACGGATTGCTCTCGCCGCTTTCATCGCGATCGTCGGTCTCGTCGCAGCTTGAGGCGCTACGGTCGTCGCGATCGGAGCTCTTGTTATGGGCGTTTTACTCTGGTCGTGGTGATTACTCGTGTTGCGGTAGTCGCGGTCGCTACTCTCGTTCCTCTCGTTCCTACCGCTACCTTCTTTACTTTCGTTGCTTTCGTCGCTGTCGTTGCCGCTTTTGCTGACGCCTGTTGCCGCTGTCGCCGCCGCAATCAATTTCTGTTGCTGCTCTCTTTTACCCCGTTAAAATCCTCTCGATAGACGGTGATTTTCCTGTGTTCCATCCCCGAGGCGCAAAATACAGCGTGTGGTCCTACTCGACTTTCGTGTGCTGTGGCCTCGCACACCGGGCAACAAGGGTGGTCGCGACAAACATACCTATTTGTCTTAATGGAGAACATTGGCATGGCATCTATGCCCTTAAGACTCCTCCGACATGCAAGTCTTGCAGATGACCAAGACCTTGGTGGGCTCTCTACTGTTGGGGTCGGCATCGCGCCAGAGTATGCCCTTTTTGGACTTCTCCGAGTCCCGGGTTCCCTGCGTCAAGTCTTTGAAGCCAGACTTAGCTTAGGACTCATGTCCCTTCTGAGTTCCTGCCGTCGCAACGTTATGGGCATACTGCAAGACTTCTGGGTCTTGCGACGCGAAGAGTGTCGCGAATCCTACCATGGATGAGTCCCGGTTGTATTGTACAATTGGTGGGGGTCGAAGCTTGAAGCGACTCATATTAGTGCACAGGGGGAAGAGCGGTCACAAAAGAAGAGGAAGAGGGAAAAAAAGAAAAGAGGGAGAAGAGTTGGAAAGCCAAAAAAGAAGTGAGTGGACGTTGCTCGCAGAGCGGTGCAAAAAATATCACATTGAGACGTTGAAACTCCCCCGGGAAGGCTCGAACTTCCAACCTCCTGATTAACAGTCAGACGCGCTAGCCAATTGCGCCACGGAGGACGTTTCTCAATTGTTGAAGAAAGCCAACGTTAATTCGGCATATATCGGACGGTGTGGTGGGCTGGTGAGACCCCCTTGTTCGGTGGCGGATGTTTTGCTGAATCGGGCCTGGCGACTGGCACCCAACTGTGGGTACTGCATTGCCAAAGCGGGTCCAGCAAGAAAAACCCACTCCAGTCCCACCTCAGTTCCATTAGCCGAGCCACACAACGTGGACGGGCTTAATGTGACTCCATTCAATGGTGGGTGCACTTCTTCTCAGAATGTGTTCGATGTCTACCCGAGAGCCTCTCAACAGACTCATTGATCACTATGAATAAAAGACAAGAGACAATGGTCCTTTGAGGAATGCTTGAGTTGTTTCAGCTTCAATGCCCGCTGTGTTGGCAAAGTTTAAACTTGTCGCCACGGCAACTCGCACACGGACCTGCGATGTGAACGATCATAAAGTTCAGACAATCGATTGCGGGCAATGGATATGCGGCAGCACGCTTGTGTCATTGTTTGAAATGGGCATACCAGCGAACAGGTCATCGCAACCATTCGAGTTCGTAATCCGAAGCGAAATGTGACAATGACCACAACACACACTAGCTGCGCCTCTCGTCAAGCTCCTCTCACCATACGGCAATGTGAGATCGCTCGAAAGAAATGACATACAATCTATCGCGACCAGTCACATGGCTCACGAAGTCGGTAGTTCTGCTCCGAAATGGCCCGCGTCGTAATGTTACTCTTGGCGGAGGCGGTGAGCTTATAGGGCAAATATCGCCAGCAATCTTGTACATACGACCATACCTACTAGAAAGCACGGGATCCCGTCCGCTCTCCCATAGTTAAGCTGGTAAGGGGCAGATTAGTAGTTGGGTCGGTGACGACCAGCGAACACCGGCTGTTGTATGTTTTTTTGCTCTTCTCACCTTTGATTGACAACCCGGATCATAAGTTGATTTGCGTCTTGCATCAAGCACATACGACCATAGCCATAAGAAAATTCGGGATCCCGTCCGCTCTCCCATAGACAAGCTTATGAGCGGCAGATCAGTAGTTGGGTCGGTGACGACCAGCGAACACCGGCTGTTGTATGTTTTTTTTTTTGAACTTTTTTGGGTGTTGTACTCCTCGGATTTGCATGGCCCGTGATCCTGCAATTTCTTCGAGGCTTCCATGTCCCCGCGCCACTCCTCAGTAGTGATATTTACGGACTCGGCACGTGGTCCAAGGAATGAGGATGCTTATTTTATTTTCGCAGTCGCAGCCTGGCACCCTGGAGGGTACCGTGTTCCACTTCACTGTGGAGAGAGTGTTTGAGACTGCCTACGTTTAGAACCAGTGAGCTTCTTCAGCATCTCTCGCACGTCGACCTCCGCCTCTCTCAACTTCTCGCGCAGCTCCTCGTCAGTACATCCTCCGGGGAGCTCCCAAGGCGCAATCCGTCCTGCAAGCGTCTCGAGCCAATGGTTGAGATTCCACACGTCCGGGTCGAACCCGTGTGCCGGCGTCGCCACGCCCCTCTCCCTGAGACGCCCTAGGTACGAGTCGTAGAAGACTTGCGGCCAGTCCCCAGCATTACCGATGTAGTCGTTCAGGAACTCCTCTACTGGGGAGAAGAAGCCCGCAAACTCAAAGTCCACGAGTCCGGTGATGCGCGGCGGTGTACCCGACACGAGAACGTTGCGTGGGGAGAGGTCGTAGTGCGTCAGCACAAACTCGCCGGCAGGAATGCCGTCGCCGGCGAGCTCGAGATGTGGCAGCGTCTCAGAGATGAACGCTCGGAGGGGTTGCGCGATTGTCCTGTTTGGCGCATATGTAGCGGAAGTCTCTAGCTCGCGTAGCTTGTCCTCTAGCCTGAGCTTGTAGTACGCGTTGGCGCTTGTAACGGGCTCGTCGGTCTTGATGCCTTCTTGGAGGATGTCTCGAATGGTCAAAGATGAGCCATCCAAGCGCGGGACAGTATGCGACCCTGGGTCGCCATGCGGAAGTAGAACGTTGCCACAATACTGTTGAGGAGGCACATTCTGGCGCAAGGACGCGACGATGTCGCCCAACTGCCCGCCGAGCTGGGCAAGCGTCGCCTGATCCAGATCATCGACTGCGACAGGGTTTCCGGGGACCTGCGACATCAAGATCCATCCGCCATGCTCTAGGTTGTCGACGCCCGGAGGCAGACTGAGCGAGCAAGCGCCCTGCTTGAAGCGTGTGTCAATGGTGACTTTCGTCCCGTCCTCGGACCAAGCGAGAGCTCGTGGCGTCGGAACGTCGGGACAGTACTTCTCGAGGAGCTGGAAACAGGCCACCTCGTTCTGTACTTTGTTTGCGCCAAAGAAGCGACCGTTGACTTTTAACACGGCGCGCTGAGGAGCGCTCTCTGATGGTGAATGGCGGAGCTCGAGGAAGTAGATTCTGTTGTTGTACGATTTGCCGGAGTCGAGCTGGGTTACGGAGGCAAGCTCAGAGGACGGGAACGCACAGGCGACAATGGCTTCAATCTCATGGCGGTGGACGCGCACACCTGCTGTGGGATGGTGTGGTGGCGTCGGTGGCCGGCCGTGGTCCAGATCCTGCTCCATCTCTGGCGAGTAAACAGTGTATTGTCGGTTGGCTTTAAATGGAAGACTCCCAAAAAACACCTCTCTGTTGCGTTCGTGGAGTTGCGAAAGGTTTTAATGATTGAGCTTAAGCCCAGGACAAATGATCGCCGGGTGAGTCATCGGGCAGTCGCACCGCTGCAATGCGAGAGACAAACGCTCGGGGTTCAGCAATGAATGGTCGATATAAGTGCTTTCGTTCAGCGGAATCAGATGTCATTAATACAGCCGGCGAACGGCAAGGCTGTGTCTGTGCCTCGCCTTTTACTTTACTCGCTTCTTCAACACACGGATAAACTTGCACGGCATGGAGCGTCCCGACGAGAAAGCCACCATGTCGGAAATGGCGAAGGACAAACCAATTCTATTCCCTGCCAGCGGGCTCATTTCTCCGGCTTTCGCCGACCACATCCTCAGGTCCATCCGCCTCAATGGCCCGGTTCTGGAGGCCATGGGTGTCTTCGGTCCTGGAGTGCGCCATCTTGAACTCAAGCTCGACGAAAATCTTGGCCTGACTGTGCCTGGCATGCCCTCCCGCCACATGTTCGATAAGATGTCAGAAGCCGAAATTGCCGCCGCCAAAGCGAAAGTCTGGGCCCCCGCGGAGGCCAGGAAGAGCAGCACTGGGGAGATCAGGGTCACCGACAAGATGCTCATTGAGCTGATGGGACTCCTGCTGCCGCACCTCGGAACCGTTCACGTGGCCTACCAGATGCTTCACGACTATGTCTCAGTGCTGCTGACTCACGGCGAGGGAAAATGATGGTCTGCCCTCTCCGTTTACTGGACGGTTTATTCCTGTCATGAGCGGGCAAAAGCCGACATCAGAACTCTCCGGGAGTTTCCATCGGCCGGGGTTGTACCAGGACAAGACCCCCTGAAAGCGTGGCTTCCTCAGCTGGCAGCCAGAATGTCTGGCTTGGGCAACGCACGCCACTACAAGCGCCCCGGAGAAGCGTGGGCAGGCCAGGGCCAGCTGTCGCGCCACTGCCCTCTCTGGGCGGGAATGATCTCCATCGCTCTTAGACTGGCAAAGGAAAGCAAGGTTGGCAGGGCTGGGGCAGCTGGTGACCTCGCCGACGTGCTGGCAAAGATGGCCAATCTAGCGCAGAGTCATGGCTATATATACGCCATTGAAGAGAAGGTCAATGAGTTCTGGAGGCATGCCCATTCCGAGAACACCAGTTCCAACTCGGAAAGCGCCTCGGAGAGTGATGGCCTGGGTGACGACGACATGGAGTAGGGCAAAGCCCGTGCTCGCTTTCCGTAAGGCACCGGGAGAGGAGAATCACCAGGGTTTCTCTCAGAGATCAGAGCCCTGCTGGGTATTGAGCCAAAAGGTCTTTACCTTAATTAGATCACCCACTTTGATAAGCCTTGAACTCTCTGCATGCGACTGGAGGCGGTTACGCTACCGAATGACCATGGATGCGTCCAACGCGAGATCTTCGGGCTTCCATGAGGATCTACTCAAACCATGCTAACTATGGCCTTAAAATCCAGAGCACATTTCAAGCCATGAATCGCGGACTGCCAGGACAATGGCCGCAGTACATGTATAGACCGACGCAAATATGGCAAGTGAGTCAGGTAGCTTCAGTAGCAGGGACGACTCATATAGCAACTTAATAGATGCTAGTATTGCGGTCGTCGCGATCGTAGCTCTCAATACGGTCGCTTGCTGCTGAGTCATCAGGTTGGGAGGTGTGAGATCCACCTCGGAGCGTCGTCGCTTTGGGCTGGGAGACGTTTCAGTCGCGAACGCCATAGTCGCTCTTGTCGATGCTCTCGCTCCTACCGTTTCTTTCGTTTCTTTCGTTTCTTTCCTCATTAAACGAGGCCTGCTTGTGCACCTAACCAGTTGCACCGTTGCAAAGAGGAAGATTCAATAATAACCTTCGTAATGATATTGCTTTAAAGATTCTGCAAGTCCTAGCCCCAATGCCATCCACCCCCAAGATATGCAGTGCCCATAAGCTCAACGCGCCGTGCTGTGTATTTATATCGGAACCGTGACCAAAGAACCCGCTCGCAATGCCATGCATGCATCCCCCAACCAACTCAAGGCGAGACATCCCCCTCCCCTCCCGCTGCGTCCTTGGCCGGCTCGGCCCTCAGCTGTCCCTCGTAGGGATCCGGGTCGCTTTCCTCCGTCGCGAGCTCGGCGTCGGCATCGCTGGAGTGGTCCTGCTCGCTCGTCTCCACGTCATCCGTCGGGGACGTGGCTGTCCCGCGCGGGGACTCCACGTGAGGCGCCCACGGGACGGCGACGGTTGGCTTAAGCTTGGCTCCGTTGACTTCGCCGCCTCCGATGGACCGGGAGAAGTTGTACCCAGTGAATCCATGTGTGTCGCGTAGCGGCGAGACTGCTGTAAAGAGCGCCCGGTGCTGCGGGACGTGGACATGGCTCCTCGCCGCCCGCTTCAGCTTCGGTTTGCGAAGTGTCATGGGTGAGCTGTCGCGGCTACGTCGCCTGGCCATCTCCAGGCGCTCCTCCTCGGCCGTGTCGTCATCAGTAATGTTGCTGTCAAAGGCGAGGCGTCCGTCTGCCATGGTCTGGACACTCCCGCCCGACCTGCGCCGTTGCCGTCTGGGCGGGTATCCTGCCGTTGCCGGAGGTATCGAGCCTGGCTTGCCTGAAATAGATACGGGCATATTGACGCGCATGTTGGAAATACCCGAGCTGAGTTGTCGCAGGTCCCTTTGGCTCTCGGAAAACACGACTCTGGTACGCAGACGATGTACCGCGCGATCCAGAGCCAGTTCGATTGCGCACCGGTCCCTGATCCTGCTGAGCTTCGGCCACGTCGCCCGCTCGCCGAGAACAGACGACCTCAGCATAAAGTCGGAGGTCGGGTTGCTCATGAGTCGGGGGAGGTCGTGCATGGTAATCTCGGGCAAGATGGTAATGTCGCCCGAGTACTTTTGGCTGAGGATGCTTCGGCACTTGGTCATGAGATTGGGGAACAAGCCAATTTCGGCCATGAACTGAAGTCTATGCAGGGCCTCATCTTTGGCCAGCGAGGCGATGGTAGAAGGCCAGTCAAAGTCGTCCGCAGTCGCTGCGGTCTTGTTTGCTCTACCCTCGGGGGAGAGATAGTCTTCTTTGGAGAGGAAAGGAACCACGTGGGGGTTGACTTGGGAGACGATGAAATGGTTGACGTTGAACATCTCTGCAAGGCGGGTCATGGGCAGGTCGTTGTCGACGGAGCCGTCGATGAAGCGCTGCGGCGTAGGGTTCCAAGGGAGATGCTCGCCGGTGATGGGGTCCTTGACGAGGAGGGGCGAAGAGGTGAAGACGAGTGGGACGGAGCATGACGCCGCAACAGCAGACCATATCATGACGTTGGGCGCGGTGACGTAGTTGAGGAGTCGAGGCAGCTCATAGATGGACGCCGTCGACACGCAAATGTTGAGGATGCGGCGAGTCCGGTTGTAGGCTTCCTGGAACGTCAGATCGCCCGTCAAGCCGCGCATGACCCTGGTGAGGTTGGTGATGTCTGACCAGCTGCCTTCGGTCAGGAGACGGCGGATGTGGTCGAGAACACCAAGCTGGCTGTCCTCGGCTTCAAAGACGCCAAGGTCGCCCTGCGGAAACTCCCTGATCAAGGCGGGAATCTCCTCGTCGGTCCGCGTGCACATGACAGCGCAGACGATGCTCCCGGCACTGGCCCCCGATATGATTCGCGGTAGCAGCTGCGCTTCGAACAGGGCCTTGAGGACGCCTATGTGTGTCATGCCAAAGGTGCCTCCGCCGGAGAGCAGGAGGGCGCTGCGGCCAAAGCTCTGGCGGGAGAAGAGCATGCCCTCGAGCAGATCCTTGGACTGGACGCCCTGATCCATGGCGCTCTGCGCGACGATGGCGTCGATGGTCTGGATGGCGGAATCGACGTATCGCTCAATGAGCTTCTTGGTGCCGACGTACGAATGGCGGTACAGGTCGACGTTGCCCATGCCGCCGAGGTCTCGAGACAGGGCGGTCCGGACGATATGCATCATGGCGCGGATGTCGCATCGCCGACGGGCGTCGTCGAGGGCCTGCAGCCTGTTCTGTATGAGCTGCGGGTTATAGTCTCCGGACAGGGAGTCGGCCTTCCAGGCATCGTTGCCCTCGAGCGTGTCGAGCTCTTGGGCGGCGGCCTGCCATTGCTTGTGGGAGTCGGCCGTCTTCATGTGGGAGCACAAGACGCTTTTTCTTTCGTCGCGGGCCTTTGCCTTTTCTCGCTGCTCGACTGTCATGCCATCCTTCCAGTTGAGGAAGAGGTCGCTGGCGCTCCTGCATGTTCGCGACAGTCTGCCAGCAAGGCCGGCGGGTTGCGGCGCGGGCTTGGAGAGTCGCCGGCTGGGTGTCTTGGCCCGAGACGACAGGTCCCCCCGTTGTGGGCTATGCGCCAAGGGGGCGCTGCTCGGCGGCAACAGCAGGTCGGGCATGGTGACTGTCGAGTAAGGAATATCGCTGGTTGTGGTGCCCTTTCAATCCATATCGAGGAGCCACGAGCGAGATGAGATGGTGGTCTCGTTGACCGTCGTATGTCGCCGGGTCTGGGCTCGTCGAGGTCGGCTTCGAAGGGGACCGGTGCTTTGTAGGTTACGACGACAGGGACAGCGTGGTTGTCGGGCGCCGGGAGCCGCCGGCGGTGTCGGCCTGTCGTCGTCGGAGATGCTGGAAATGTTTGTGATGGCTCGAGGGTCTCGAGTGGGATGGTCGGCGACGTGTCCGTAGGTATTCGCGGGAGCAAAGACTAAATGGAGTCTCAGGGATGAGGGTCGAGGAGGGTAATCCGACGTCGTCATAAGAAAACGAGCCGCTTGGTGCTGTTGTTGCGCATCAGGGAAATAGACTCGAGGAGAGTTGGGCCGCCGCCTTGGTCTTGGTAGGTAATGGTGGTGGTGGTGGATCCCTCGTCGAACAAAACATGGATGGTGGAGGGCCAGGCGAGGCGAGGCGAGGCATGTGAGACGGACGGGCAGTCTGCTGACCGCTATAATAAACGAGGGGCCCCGCCCCCGCGGGGTGGAGGGAGGAGCAGATGACGCTGTGCAGCGCGAGAGATGGTGCAGGTGCTGCTGTAACCCCAGCTTTTTCCGGTGCGCGGAGGTGTGTGGAGGGGTCCGGCCTCCACTGGGCTGGGCTGGCTGGCTGGGACTCGCCTGGGCCGCTCCGCCCGGCTTCCACCATCCCGTCCATTCCAATTGGAAAGCCAGGCAGCCAGCCCAGGGCTACAGCCCACCGCAGCGCGGCCCTCCAGTGAGGTACAGTTACCCGCTCTCAGGGGGGCCTGGCCCAGGCCATCCCGTCGTGAATCGCGATGACCAAGAGTTGGCTGCAATTGGGCTTCGTGGCCCCATCCTCGCCCACCAGCTCTGACCGTGTCACACACCATCCATGGATCCAGTCCCTCAGCTCAAGCACAGCCGGTGATGCAGGCTTCTGCTTCCGGCGCTGACGCCGCCGATATTGCTGCTGAGTGTCCCGCTGCGCGACCACGGCAGCCAAACGTCGTCGTCCCGACATGCACACGCAGACGCACGCCTCATGCAGGTTCCGGTCGCCCTCCATCACCGTCCGTCCGTCTGCTCAGCCCTCAGCTGGTACAAGACAATGCAGCCCTCGCATGCGGCGGGCGGGCCACGGGCACACCCGCCGCCATCGAGCATCACATCACATCACTCAGCTCGCGGCAGATCCTGACATGTGAAGTGCGGCTCGTCTAGATACGACGCACAACGACGCCACAGCTCCAGAGCCCGGGACAGCGTGCTCCGTGTAGTGAGTGAGCGAGTAACGTACCTTGCGCAAGTGGTTCACAGACCCCCGGTTGACCACGGCCGAGAGAGTCGAGACCGCAGCCGGGCGGCCGGGCTCGCGGCCACGGCGGGATCGTCGCCCGTTCGCTCCGCTTCATTGCGTCATGGAGCCAGCGAGCTAGGGGGCCTCAGGTGCCAGGGACTTGCGATCGGTGCTGCACTTGGGGGAAAGGTACGACCTCATTTCTTGGATCCGTTCAATCTGAGTGAGGGGGCTGCCTGTATTTGCAGGGCCCAACAAAATTCCTCAGGAATTGCAACATGAGGGTAGCCTTGCATGTGCTTTTACGCCATCACTCCGATACAGCTGCTCCTTCTCTGGCGCCTCCCGCGCCATCTAACAAGCCACTCTTGTCGCGATGGCGCAGTCACAACGCCCAGTCCTCCACTTTACTACAGGCTCAATGCCTCCCCAACACCAGGCTCCGTGTCATGCAGTGCCAAAGACGAAGGAAAGAACGCATGTGAAAGAAGGAAAAGACCTCCGCCATCACCCTACCGCCCAACAGGCTCGTACCCCTTGGCCATGTATAACGGCCAGGGAAAGCAGAAGACGCTGGCGCCGAGGACGCAAGACTGAGAGGACAATTGGCATCCGCACAAGGTCTGTCGACGGCCCAGGTGCTTGATGCGAAAGATGGAAGTCTCCCAACCAAGCAAGAGTGGGTTGATGCGTCCTACCACCCGGCTCCTGAGGACGGTGCATCCGCGCGAATGCCCTCGCCCACTGGTACGGCCGGGCAAGCACGCGTCGTCAATCGCACGGCTGCGGACAGCTGTTCTCATCTGCCTGCCCCTGACAGTCCGATCATGCCTCGCCCATCCTGCAATCCTGCAGTCTCTCAAGCTTCCAGTCCGTCCGATCATCTCCTGCCTGCGTATAATGTGACCGATCAAGCTGACCACGACGCGGTCAATCACTCCTCCCACGTCCCACTATCTGGAGTTCCCTTCACGCCTTCTCCGCCTCCCAATCCCCTAGTCTTTCGATCTACAGATCCCTCATCCGACCATTTCTCTGCACGCGAACGGCTAACCGCACGACGCTGCCAATCTATTCTCACGCTCCTACCCCTGATCACGGCTTGTCCGTTTTCCGGTCTGTCTTACAGTCCTCCAGTCTTCAACTGTAAGTCGCCCCATTCAATTGTTCCCTGTACGGGCATACCTAGACCAGCCAAGCTGATCTTGCCAACCGCAGGATCCCTGCCCATACGCGACCTAATTTTCAACCATGGCGTCGGCTCCCCTTGCCAATTCGACCTCCGATGATTGCCCGTTTATGCACCTGTGTAAGGTTGCCACTCGTTGGATCGATGATGGTCCGTTGAGCGAACTGCTACGCAAGCAGAATTGGGAGGATTTAAAACAATCGATCTCTGATGGATGCAAGGCAGCATAGGAGCTGTTCATCGACTCAAGATCAATGAGACAGGCCATAGGCCTAGTCGAAAGTGATGGGTTCTCCATCACTTCTTCCATAGGGAGGACTTCCCTCATCTGAGCCGGTATCGGAGCCTTCGCTCTCGGAGCTGCTCTCCCTTCCAGGCAAGTCAGAAGCCCAGTAGAAGAACTCGATGAGTCTCTTGTCGAGGTCCCTCTGGCAGGAATGCTCCTTGATATGCGCCATGACGTTCCGAGCGGCTGTCTTTGGGGCCGGGGGTGCAGGACCGCCTAGCCCTTCCCAAACGATGGCCATTGACATGAGGCCAGTCACTAGACCAGCTGAGTGGCCTTCGAATAGCTCTCCCGGTTCCGCAGTATAGAAGACGGGTTCTCCGTCCTCATCCACAGAGGTGAGCGGTTTCTGCGGGCGGAGGCCTAATACTTCCTCCTTCATACGTTGCTTTTCTTCGTCTGTCATCCGCGCGAACTTCTGGTGGGTCGGCATCCCAGGAACCGACAGACCTAGGTTATGGTCCGGTTGGATGGCAAGGCCTTCTTCTTTCGGGCCTAGGACGCCAAGGTACTTCAACACTGGAAAGTTCTTCATGGCCGAGTGGCTGAATACAAGCTTTGCGGTTGGTGTCACCATCTCACCCTCTGTGGTGAAGAGGATGGAGTTGAGCTCGTCAGAAAAGCCCGGCACCTCCATGATATCTTGCATGCCGCCACCCAGTCCCTCCAGGGCTCTTTTGGCGGAAAACACTGGATTCCACAAAGGCCCAGCCACCTCGTCAACCACACCAAAGATGGACTTGGGTCCGTTGGTGGTGTCATCGAAGAGGCCCTCAGGGTCTTGGATGTCGGCATCAGTCAGGTTGCGTTGGCTCCAAACAAGCCTGTCTCAACAAGGCAGCGTGGCATCACAGGCGCGGGAGAGCCTTGTGGCCTCGGAGGGGCTCCTTCGATCGATGTATTCAGTCGGGTTATTCAAGCGCTGGCGTCATCGGGTTATTCGTGGCTCAGGTGCTGACGTTGGCCTGGGGCAGTTAAAGCTTCCGGACATGCAAGGAAAAGCTCGTCAAGGTGCAAAACACCGCCCATAACTGTTCTCCCAGGCAAAGCAGGCAGTCCAGGTCCTCGTGGTCAGGGGGGAGGTCCATCGTACCTAAGCACACGATCGTCGTCTTCATGTCCTCCTTGCGGGCAATCGTGTGCAGCAGTTTTGTGCCGTTGGGATTGTGGATTGACGTCAGGTGAGCACTGGCTCGTTTCGCCAGATTCCGACTTTGCGCGACATAAACCCGAATGTCGTGCGGATCGGGCTTTTGTCTTTCCTTGCGTCTTCCTCTCCTTGCGTTTCTTCCCTTGCTTTCTGTGCGACGAGATTGCCTTCCGCACCATACCACATCAGCATTCTTGGCACGACGAGATTGTCCTTCCGTGCGCGTGTAAAAGAAAGGCAAGGCCTCCGCCGTCACTCTACCGCTAATTTGTGGCATGCCGCATTTGCCTCTCTCGGCGGGCTTGGCATCTAGTCTGGTGTCCAAATAGAAAACAGGTCGTGTCCAAATAGCTGCTCTCATCGACATCAGCGAGAGTATCGACAGTAGCGACTATAACGACCGCGAACTTTTCCCAGTCCTAAGCGGCGACGCTCCGAGATAGATCTCACAGCTCCCAACCTGATGGCTCAGCAGCAAGCGACCGTAGTAAGAACTACGATCGCGATAATCGCGACGACCGTAACAGTAGCGTCAATCGAGGCAGGCCGCGACCATGTCAAGTCCTTCCAGCAAAGATAGGCAGCGCCGGCCAGTCGCCGCGCAACTATACGCAGCCCCGAACTGTAACGGTAGGCGACCACCCATGGAACTGACCAGTTGCATCTTTGTCAATAGTAGGAAAACACATATACCAAAGGGGGTGTTCATAGTGGTGCCATGGGCGCGGCGGCGTTTTGCCGTACAAACGAAATACAAGGGGCTCGCACATTCCATGCCGTTATGCCGCGGCGGGAAGAATTCGCTCATTCATGAAAGTTTTGGCGCTAACATGGAGCTATGAAAGCGCGCCGTGTTGGGCTGTCGTTTAAGAGGTCTTGCGTTCGGGTCTTCTCCTTGATGCTTCAGAAGTCCCAGCGCAACCATTTCACTACTGAAACTTGTGAACTCGGCCGTCCGGATAACGATGCCGTTTGCGAGTCTCTATTCCAATGTGAATCAAGCGCGCGACTATGCCCATCCCACGTTTCTATCCTGGTATAGATTCGAACGTGCAACAAGCTAGGTAACTTATTCTATAGCTGCCCCCTCCGTGAGTGCGCCTCTGCCTTTTGCCTCCGAATCTCGGTGCTGCTAATCTTGGCGGCTATCCTCGCCGCCTCAGCCTCCTTCTTGTCTGCGCTCCCCTCACCTCCCTCGCCATCGTCGTCGTCGTCTTCATCGTCGCGCTCGCCGAGCACGTCAATCTCGTAGACGTCGAGGGGGTGCCACTGGCGCTGGGCCCTCCTGTCATTGATTGCGGCCGCGCCGCCGCGCGTCTCGGCCGACACGACGATGGCGTCGACGCCCTCCTCCCATATGGGCGGGCCGAAGGGGTCGCGCAGGTCGACGCAGCGGACGAGGATGGCGCCGTTGCGGAACGAGCCCTGGAGCTCCCTCGGCGTCGGCGCGTCCTCCGCTGTGCCTACCTGGCCCTTGGGAGGGGCTGGTACCGCTGATGGACTGACGGCTGTGTCGGTGATGCGCAGGTCTGCGGTAGAGGGCTCGCCCAGGACCGTAGCGAGGAACTGCAGCGTCGAGCGCGAGCGCACCTCCCACGACTGCAGCTCTTCGGCGTACTTTTTCCGCTTCAGCAGCTCGTCGCTCGAGACGCCGACAATGAAGATGCACGGCGGGGCGTCCTTGTCGTCCTCGATCATGGGCACGCGTAGGAGCAGGGCTGCGGCGTGGAGGAGGAGTTTGTGCCCCGGATGGAGGTGGTCAAAGGTGCCTCCGATGCAAAGGGATCGGTAGCCCTCGACGGCGTCTTGTGTTGCTGCTGCTGCCGCTACGGGAACGCCGTCGAGAAGTGTTGGAGCCGTACTCTGGGTGCTGTTCACGCCATGTTGCTTGCCTTGACCTTGACCCGCAGTCGCGCCGTCTGCTGATTGCGAGGGGATGCAGAAGCTCAGCCCGCCCTTGACGGCGACAATCTGCTTCTGGAGAACAGTGCGTCCGCTGCCCGTGGCGAGGTCCAGGTAGGCAGCAACCAGCTCGTAGCCGGGCTCGCCGCTCGGGTGAAACACCGTCTTCCAAGGCCCCGTCGTGGCGGCAAAGGTAGCGAGGTCGGGGACGGTCGTGCAGGTGAGTGAGTAGCGGCGATCCCGTCCCTGCATTTGCGCCTGCTCGAGGTACCACGAGGCCTTGCGCCCGCGTTCGTGGTCGACGAGGACTATGCGCGCGTCGACGGTGCCGGGATCGTCGCCGGCGAGGTCCGTCGCGATGCCATGCTCGGCGCAGATGGACGCGACGAGAGTGTACAGGCGCGCGAGGAGCGTCTGCGAGGGCGACCACCGGACGGAGCGCCGCTTCGGGGCGGCAGCGGGGCCGGCGAGGACGGGAGAGGCGACGGCGACGGCAAGCACGGGGGCTGGCGGTAGTGGGGAGGAAGTCGACGTTGCCGAGGAGCAGGCCAGCTTGTGCTCGTCGCTGAGACGTGTGAGGACGGTGGAAAGCGGGAGGTGGTAGGCGGCGCGGAGGGCGGCTCTGCTGGCCGGGCGGGGAGGCGACGGGAGGAGAAGGAGCGACGGCAGGGCGGCGCCGGTGCCTGTGCCTGGTGATGAGGTCGGAGCCATGGCGAGTGAGCGTTCTGGCTTGTGCGTATGTCGCGCAGATGTCGAGGCGTCTCGGTGTTCGACGTGTGAGCTGACGACTGGTGAAGCGCTCTGTTGGAGGTGGCGGACCGCTCCGAGAGTAGAAGCACTCGTGGATTAGGCGATCATGATCCGAGGGTGTGGTTGTGCAGTTATGACGAGAGAAGCGTCGCTCAACGGAAAGCTGGGCACGGCGCGACGGATGACAGGAGACGGGTGAGATGATGTGAGTTGTGAGGCACAAGTGTAGGTGTCTGTCGAATGTCGACCGAGGTCCGGCAGCTGCAGCTGGTGTGGGGTTGCCGCAGTTGGGTCAATCAGTGGGATGATGGTCGTTTACCCCGCTGTCGTCATGAGCCAGTGAATGCTCACCTCAACTTCTTCCAACCAGCTCTACATAATACACCGAGCTCTGGCATGGCGCATGACTTCATGGCCACGACTACGATGAGCGAACGCACGGGTCTCCGCGTCCATGAGCCAAGTTTCTCTTCTAGTTGATCTCGTGACAATATCAGGCTACGCTACGCTCTCAGTTACTTTCTACTCGTCTGGTCGTCGCTGCACACTACAATGCGAATCAACAATGTCGACGACGCGTCTCCGGTCTCGCGGGCGGTCAAACACTTGAGCGTGATCGATGTCCGGAAAGACAATGACCTCGACCTTTTTGTACGCCGCGCCGTCCTCCGTCTCCTCTTCTCCCTCGAGGTAGTCGGCCACGGCCGCCGCATCGACAATCAGGTCCCTGCCCGATAGCGTCACGGCGGCCCTGCGGTGCCCGCCGCCCAGCAGGTCCTTTTTCCAGACGATATTCTCCCGCCAAAAGAAGTGGCGGCCGAGGCAATGCGCGACGCCCGGATCGGTGCTGGCAAAGTACCACAGCTGCCACTCGTTGGCCGAGCGGGGCTGCCGCCGGGTGAAGTTGTAGGCGACGTCGGGGAGGTGCAGCATTACGGATACGGGGTCGATGAGAACCACAGACGGCACGCGTGCCTCCATCTCCGGGCACGAGAGCACGTGCGTGGTGAGCACCGAGCCGTACGAGTGCGACACGAGCGCAAACTGGTCCCACGCGGGGCCGTGCCGCGCCAGGACCAGAGTCAGCTGGCGCAGGAACTCGGCCTTGGAGGGCGGAGGCGCGGCGAGGCGGAAGGATATGGACATGAGCTCGGGGACTATGATGCCGCGCGCCGTCTTTGCGCCCCGCATCTCGGCGACGAAGCGCACGTAGGTCCACAGGCCGATGCCGATGCCGTGGAAGAAGACGACGGGCAGCTCCTTGTCGGCGACGGCGTCTTGCGTGTGAGGGCGGTACCAGTATCCCAGGCCGGGAGCAGCAGACCGGTGTCTTGCAAAGAGCTCCTGTGGCCGTGGCGGGAAGGTCTTGAGGGTGGCAGACGGCGATCGCGCGTAAAAGCGGAAGCCGTGCCATAGCATGGCGATGTGGGTGGCCTGGTCGATGAAAAAGACGATCACATACCAGGTGAGGCCGCGATACGTGGTGTTGATGTCGTCGAAAGTCAGGCGGAGACACCTGGCGGGGCCGCGGCCGGGGAGCAGCGGCTTGCCGAGACGGTCTTCGACGACGGCAATGTAGCCGTCGAGCTCCCGCTGGGCACGCGCATCGTCAACGACGTCGCCATGGGCCTCGGCGTCGAAGAAGGCCCAGAGGAAAAAGTCACGTAGGTTGTCGCGGCGAATGTCATCGAGCTCGGCGCCGAGGAACCACCAGCGGAGATACGACCCCGGGTCGTCGACGTTGCGCATGCACTCGTCGAAGAGGGCTCGGCGCTCATCGGACGTCAGGGGCTCCGGGTGGACGGCGGCACGGGTCAGGCGCCGGGCATAGGGGACCTGGACGGCGAGGTAGAAGAGGGCCTCGGCGGCGAGGAGGCCCAGCAGCGCGGCGGACACGCGCCAGCGCCATGGCGAGTCTTGGAATAGAGTGCTGACGGCGACGAGGGCGGCGGCGTAGACGAGCGGCGCGTAGCGGAAGAAGGCGATGAAGAGGCGGATGAGGAGCAATTCGGCGGCCGACGTTCCGATCATTGGGCCGTCGGGGCGCCGCTTGTCACGGCATGGGCGTGGCGCGGCGGCATAGAGTTGGTGGTGTTAGCTGCGGGCGTGTGGTTGGTGGTGTGGGCTGGGATATTTTATAAGTGCCGGTTGCTGTTGACTCGTTGAGCGTGGTGGTGTGTTGTTCGGACGTCTGTTGGGGGGAGGGTGGGTGTGACTGATGACGTACCTGCATCAACGCATCATCAGCAGCCACTCTGACGGCACTCCAGCGGGCAGAGGCGAGGCCGAGGCACTCTGCACCACCACCACCACCACGCCAATTACACGGGGGAGAGAACAAAAGCGCAAGATTTTCTCCCATTGTTTTGAGCGGTCAGGAAGGACGGTTCCTGACATTACTCTGCTTCAATTACTTGGTACCGCGGCGTTGATTCTCATCTGTGCGGCTGGGCCAGTGTAGGGTAACCAGTCGTTTTGTTGGATCCTCCCTCTTCCACACCACCAAACTTCTCTCACGCCATGAAACGGACATGAAATCACAGCCACATCACCCTGCAACACAAGGACGAATCCCCTGCCACCGCCTCATCCCGGGACGGGCCCTCTGTCCCCCGCATTTCTCTTCAATCGTCACCCCATCGTCCTCACTCCTTCGTCTCATCTTGGCGCACGGCAGTCATGGCGGACAAGTACATCCTGCGCATCACGGCCGGCCCCGCCTACGACGAGGCGACACACGTCGAGGTCCCCGTCAACCAACCAAAGCCCGTCAGCGTGGCCAGCGCCGCGGCCGACGTTGAGCTCTGCGTCCGGATACGCGACTACGAGGGCCTGCCGCGCGGGTCGCCTGCCTCGTCGCCGTACTTTGACGCCGAGCCGCACGCCTACAACCAGGACCAGTATAGCATCGCGCTGCGCTTCACCCCGAAGCGTCCTGCAGCCAATGGATCCACGAGTGGTGGCTCTACTGGCAAGGACGTGCAAGACGGCGGAGAGGGCTCCGACTCTGTGGGGGATGACGAGGAGGAGGATGAAGAGGAAGGAGACGAGAGCACCAGCGGCATCAGCGGCATGGACCTCCAGTTCGGCAACGACTTTGACCGCCCCATCCGCGACAGGCTGCCGCCCGGCTTCAACACCGCTTTGAACATTGTCCGGTGGTGGATCGACCCGGGCCTCGACGGCGACGCCTACGCGGACAAGCCGTACTTGTACGGCCCGGCGCTGAGCTCCTTTAACCGCCTGCACGTAGGAGCCGGCCACTACGACGAGGCGCGCGGCGGGCTGTGGTTCGACGAGGGCGGCGACAACGACGGGCTCGAGGCGCGTCGCGCGGCGGGAGCACCCGACGACGGCAAGGCGCGCATGAAGTGGGCGCTGCGCGACGCCAGCAAGGAGCGCTGGGTGTTTCAGTATGGCCGCACGTACGGCTTCGACTTTTTCAACCCGTACCTCGATTTCCGGAACCTGGCGCTGCGGCTGCCGGGCTTCCATTTGCCCATCATCAAGTACTGGGATGGGCAGGGCTTGAGGTGAGTTATCGCTGTTTCCCCCGGGGGTTTCTGCTGCTGCTGCTTCTGCGGCGGCTGCATCACGACTTTCCACCCTTTCTCTTCAATGTTGAACACTGCGTTTAACCTGGCATGCATTTTCTCCCCCTCTCCCAGGCGCTCACATCACCTCAGATATGTGCTGCGCAACAAGGCCACCGGCGAGGTGTACCTCGTCGTCGTCTTCACAATCTACCTCAAGGAGGACGTCGCCGAGGACGGGACCATCAGCCACGGCGCGGCGGAGCGGGCCGCCGTCGCGGGATCCAACGGCGGATCGTCGAGTGATGGGGCGGGCGGCGCTGAAGACGAGGAGGCGGCGCTGCGGGAGGCGAGGGAGAAGCTGGGCAAGACGCATATAGAGGAGACGAGCCCCGACGACGTCGACTAGATAAGGCTTGCGATTATGACGTGCATGTAGAGTAGTGTTTCCGGGTAGAAGAGCGGGGATTTGGCTTAGACACGAACTGTGATGGACCGCGGCTTTGGCCCTGGAAATATACGACGCAGCGAGACCAAATTTACGGGCCGCAAGGTCGGAATTCGCCATGGCAGGGACAGCAATATCAATGTATGTATGGGATTTTATTGAGTGCTATAGCGTCGGCCACGCGGCCTGCGTGACGCTTTTTCGTATGAGCAGTGCTATTCGTAGAGCTACCTTTGGCTACTTGTAGAGCCTGCCTTACCGTAGCAGCAACGAGAGCAACGAGAGCAACGTCAATAACGGTAGGAACAGTAACGAATTGCCAGCAGTAGGTAGAGCGCCGCTCTCTTGCCTGCACACTAGGAATCGCTGGCGTAGCATGGGGCCAGGGCGCGACCGAGAAACGAGTAGGACGGCGCTACAACTAGCAAAAGATGGCTCTACTAATAGCACTCCTTTTTCATATCGCTTGAGTACTTGTACAAGGCACGCCGCCCGGCAGGGCAAACCGCATCACTGCCGGTGACTTACACCACGGGCAGCGTGATCGGTTCACGATGCCAACCATGACGCAACGGCAGCCCGCGTACATGTGCCGGCATGGTCGGGCTTCATGCGCAATTCTGCACTCCTTTCAAATGCTGCCCGAGACGTTCACGAGCGCCGCGACGACCACTACTTATCCATAGGCACTTGACATTCACACAAAAGCGCGAGCGGTACGCAAAGAGCAGCCGACATGGCCTTGGGCGTCCAGACGCTGTCGAGCGGTACGAAGCAGATCCCGTACATGACCATGACGGACGCGGCAATGGCGTGCGCGGCGCCCATCCGAGCGACCGACTTTGACAAGTGTCGGGTGCCGGGCGGCGTGGACCTGTGGGAGCGGCAGGGCTTCTACTCGCCAGGGGTGTGCTTCGCCGGCTACGACCCGCTGTGCTCGCAGACTCGGCCGCCGAGTGAGGAGTGGCCGCTGCGAGTAGGCGAGACGGCGGTGCGATGCGTTCCCGAGTAAGTCACTGTCCTATCCACCGCCGGATGAAGGCGCAACGGCACAGTCAGTCATCTTGCGGCTAACCACAGCGCAGAGGGTACAAGTGCAACCGCGCGGACAAAGATCAGCGGTTCGCAACCCTGGAGTCTGGCGGAACAATCATCACGGTGCCGGCGTTTGAGGTTCGCTGGCGAAGCGAGGACCTCAAGGGAATGGGACAGAGCCAGCCAGTACCAACGACGACCGGTCCCAATAAGGGGGGCATGCCGACGGCAACTATGACGCTGTCAAACATGACGAAGAACGGCTCCGGCACGGGCTCCGGTGCCAGTGCAACGACGGTCCAGACAGAATCGAGCACCGGCACAGGGGATAACACTGGGAGCGCAGGCATTGAGTCTGGGGTCGTGGCAGGCATCGCAGTCGCTTGTGCGCTGGCTGCCTTTGCGCTGGCGATGGCCATTGTTTTCCTGCTCAGGTATCGACGGCGTCAACGACCGCAGGGAGCCGAAGCCGGCAGTAACAATGATGACCGAGAGCCCGGGCTGGCGCCGGCATCAGCCAGCGTTGCGGAGATGGATGGGGGAGCCATGGTTGTCGAGGTGGACGGGACGCCAGCGGGCCATCAACAGTGGTTGATTCCAAGCCCGCCCCCCGGCCATAGAAACCAGGAGCAGCGCAACGACCAGGATCACAGCGGCCCAGCGGAGCTAGAATCACGGTCGACGGAACTGCCGGCGTCGACGCTCGACGGCGGCGGCCAGCCGACAAGCCCCGTCGGGAGCGGGAGCGGAAGCGTCAGTGCGAGCGTGACTCCTGGCCCCGGCTGGCGGCATCCGCCCGTCGAGGTGGCCGCGGCGGGTGCGTTGTTTGAGCTACCGGGGTGATGCCGCGTCCATGGATGGTGTCGATGCAGATCTGGAAGAGGGCAGGGCCCTAGCGCGATGGGGATCGATCCAAAGGGCGCGGCTGACGGTGTCGGGTGCTGGCCCAGGCTCGCGAGCCGATGTTGGAACGGACGTGGGGTGCTGATGATTTCAGAGATGGGCCGCTCGACAGCGGGGGCGTGTCGGTGGACAGTGTTGGTGATTATCCGCTTGGAATCAACGTTGTGGCTCTCGTCTCGCGGTGGAGTCGACGGCGTCGTGATGTGGTGCCAACTGCGAAGCAGAAAAACGAGGCGCAAACTTGATGTCGGATCACGACATCCGCTGGCGGCTCTCGCACCAGACGGACCCGTGGTTCCATTGGCTTTGGGGGCACAGGCCCGCCCGCCGTCACCGGGAATAACGCACGCACATGGCCGCCCGTCTGACTGTCTCGGCCCGGCAGTGGAGGCTCGCGGCCAATGTCCGTTCCAGGCCCATGTGGCAGCGCCTCGCGCGGACTGGCGCCCCCTGAAGACTCTAGTTGCCCGGCCTTGGACCTGGGGTGCACTTGCCTTGATCCCGCACAAGGCAGCTTGGGGGGTAAGTACTAGGTAGGCAGGTGCTTGTGAACATCAGACGGAAGGCGAGACGGGCTGGCAGCGGCAAGTACGTATCGAACCAGCACAGAAAACACCGAATCGGCACTTGGCAGAAAAGAACATTCCAGGTCCCGACATGATATTTCATCTTCGATCCTCCTGGCGCCGACTTTGACTTTGCGGAGGCACGGCGGCTTCCCGCTGCTTATTCCCGCCAGACATGGGTGCGCCCAACGGCATGGATGACGGCCGCAAGGCCCCGGAACACCCCCTCCAACTTTCTCGCGCTCCCGCCCACCACATCCATCGACATCCCAGGGCCCGGCACCGCAGCCACCACCACCACCATGCACGCCTCAGCTCTCCCGCAGCACAGCCGGTTCGTCTGCTGCGGCGCCTTATCTCGCGTGCTTCCCATGGGTTGACCGAGCTTGTCGAGAGCGTCCCCAATGCTGCGTGGGGGCCGTTGGACGAGGAAACAACGGGCTTGGGGACCAACATCCATGCCTCCCTCCCTTTGATCGCCGTCGTCAACCTCCACCACCCCCCGCCAGCATCCACGCCCTTCTCCACGCCGCCGGCGCGGGGCTTCGGCTCATGGCACGCACTCCGGGCAAGCGCAGGAGAGAGATGCTTATTCCCGGCACGACGTCCGCCTCGCTGCCCTCTACATCTCTAAAACCCACCGAGGGCCGCTGCCTCGTTTGTTGGTGTGGCTGGCCCTCGGTTGTGCTGCACACACTCGCGACGCTCGCCGACTCGGTTGGCCCCCTCGCCCAGCTTGACGTGAGCCGCTCGCTTTCTCTTTGCCCTGTCTCCTGTCTGCACCCTCGAGACAGACCTAGATGAAGACTGCGCCATGACAGCGACGCGGCGGGCGCAGCATGATGCCCCTGGTCTGAATCCGGATCCTCACGGCGGCCTTGATGTCACCAATGGCGCTGCCCTATCGCCTTCGGACGTTGGTCTTCAGGACGAGAAGCGCCAACCGCCAAGGTCCCCAGACACAAGGCTGGACGCCGACTCGCCCATCGCCTACTTCTATCTCGACTTTGATACCCCCCTGCCCACGGTCCCTCCTCAACACCATGACCTGGGTCATGACCCTCCAGCCGATGGCGGCCGCGACGCCCTGCCGTCCTGCCCGGACCTTCGCCCGTACATCTCGCCGTTGCAATGGGGACCCGCGCGCAAGAACCTGCTCCTCGGTCTGGCATGTACCGCCACCTTCCTAACTGCCTACACAGCCGGTGCCTACTCTCCGCCTGCCAACATCATGGCCCATGACCTTGGCACAACGCGCATCGTCGTTCTGGTCGGCATCACCGTCTTCTGTCTCGGCTTCGCCATTGCCCCCATGGCCCTGGCTCCCATCTCCGAGATCTGGGGCCGCTATCCCGTCTTTGTCGTCGCCGGCATCATCTTCGTCGTCTTTCAGGCCGTATGTTCTGTTATGCCAGACGTCGCCGGCATGCTCATCGCTCGCTTCCTGGTCGGCGTTGGTGCATCCGTCTTCAGCTCCGTCGTTGGCGGACTCATTGCCGACCTGTGGGACAAGGAAGAGCGTAATACACCTATGGCTCTCTTCAGCGGCTGCGTCCTCGCCGGCACCGGCGCCGGACCCCTGGTTGCGACCGCCCTCATCGACGACATCGCCGACCCTACGATCGCCTGGAAATGGACTTTCTGGCACCAGGTCATCATGGATGCCATTCTCGTTCTCGCCATCGTCTTGTTCGGTAGTGAGAGCAGAGCCTCGGTCCTTCTGTCCCGCAAGGCCAAAGTCCTCAACGCCTGGTACGAGAAGCTGGAGCGACGGGGCGTCTACGGTTTGTGGATCGCCCAACCTTCCGACATGGTCGTCGCTGCCTCTGCGCGCTGTAGTATACAGACTTCGACTGCCGACACGAACCCGAGTCAGCCAGAGCTCAAGGATCTTAGCGGTGACGATGATCTCTCGTCGAGCAGCCGGCTGCAGCGGGTGCGATGGGTGGTACGGGCCGACGAAGAGCGGCCGGCCCTGCCCAAGCTCATTTCTCTTTCCGTTCGTCGGCCCTTTTACCTACTCCTGACGGAGCCCGTCGTCTTTTGGTTCTCCCTCTGGGCCGCCTTCTCTTGGGGTGTGCTTTACTTGTCCTTCTCCGTCGTTCCCTTCCTGTACAAGACGGATCTCGACCGCTCGAGCCGCGTCTACGTCTCCATGATGGTAGCCGCCGCCGTTGCCACGGCTGTCAGCATCGTCCAGGAGCACCTCCTGAAACACCCGCAGTGGCGCACGCACCCGGAAGACTCGTCGTTCCGCTACTCGGACTCGCGGCTTTGGGCTTTCATGCGCCGTAGATTCCCCGCCGAGGCGCCCGAGGCGCGGCTTTACTTTGCCTGCATCACCGCCATGATGCTTCCCGCCGGGTTGTTCGGCGGCTTCCTATGCCCCCGCGACATGGACGGCTACGCCGAGGCCGTCGGGCTGGGCTTCGCCCTCTGGGGCATCTACTCCGTCTACCTCGCCACCTTCAACTACCTCGCCGACACGTACCACATCTACGCCTCGTCGGCCCTCGCCGCCCAGAGCTTCTGCCGCAACGTCCTCGGAGGCGCCTTTCCCCTGCTGACGAGCGCTATGTTTACCAAGCTTGGGCTGCGCGGCGCGGGCGGCCTTCTTGGCGGTATCGCGACGGTCCTGACCGTGACACCTTGGGTTCTCGTATTCTGGGGGGAGAGGATCCGCGCGCGCAGCAAATTTGCCATTGTGAGTAAAGACAGCCTGGAGAACCCTGTGGTAGTGTATACTGATGGCGGCTGTAGTCTTTGCAACATAACGACTAATGTACCACGGCCGCGTGACAATGACGATGGTAGACAGCGCGTCTGCTGATTTATGTGCCTGAGAACGAACGGGGCGTGTTTGGGAAAATAGGCAGAAGCCTGTTGGGAACCGCGGGGCGGGACAAACTTGCATCGTATCATTGGGTACACATCACGAGGCATCTCAGCGATAGACTTGACTTTTTGGTTACTAGCTACATAGAATGGCATACAGTCCTTTCGACTTGGGTTATGTAGTTCTCTCTGTCGTATATACCGCTATATATTGCCGTTATTACTATCGTTCCTTTCGTTCCTTTCGTTCCTTTCGTTCCTTTCGTTCCTTTCGTTCCTTTCGTTCCTTTCGTTCCTTTCGTTCCTGTCGTTCCTTTCGTTCCTTTCGTTCCTTTCGTTCCTTTCGTTCCTTCGTTCCCGGTCCGACCAATCGTCGCGATCGTAGCTCTTAACACGGTCGTCGGTCGTCGGTCGTCACGGTCGTCGCGGTCATCGCAATCGTAGCTTTTATCACGATCGTTCCGATACGCGGTCGTCGCGATCGCCTTCGTTATAGTTCGCGATGTCCCGGCAATCGCGATCTTACTCTTATCGCGGTCGTCGCGGTCGTCGCGATCGTAGCTCTTGATATGGTCGTTACGGTCGTTACGGTTATCGGGATCGTAGCCTTTATCACGGTCGTTACCCTTGTCGCGGTCGCTGCTCTCGCTGCTCTCGTTTCTGAGAACGGGACTAGATACGATCGCATATATAGTCCTATTCATTGAAAGAGACCTACTGCAACTGACCATTTGCACTTTTGCAATTTCAGCGATAGACTTGACTCTTTGATTACTAGCTACAAGGAATGGCACGCAGTCCTTTAGACCCGGGCCTTGTGGTTCTCTCCCATCGTACAGCTTTCGGGCCGACTGTGCAAAACGAGACCCGAAACAGGAGAGGTAAAAAGCAAAACAGCAAAAACTCCATCAGCTACTGGAAAACCATGTTCATGGGTATCTTCTTGGCGTCCTTCGCGCCGGCACGCTCCTTGGCGCGCTTCTTGGTTTTGTCCTTCGGGGATCCACAGGAGCTCCTGTCGCCGGGGGAGGAGGACACGGCGCTGCGGTTCGACCTAACGCTGCCGGTGAGGCTCCCCCTGGCGCTGCCCTTGTGTGACAGGGACCTGATGCTGAGCTTCGGCTCCGACTTACCGGCCGTCGGCTCCACCAGCAGACTGCCGCGGCGGATCGGGGACGCGACAGCGACGTGCGGCTCCGGCTTGACGCTGCCGGTCGTGTCGGCGATGCTGGACGGGCGAGAAGCGTCTTTCTCGTTCTTTGGCTTGGGGGTAGCGGCGAGGTCCGAGGTCGCGTCGCTGGCGCAGCGCGGTGTGCCTTCTCGACTGTCGGTGCCGGACGGCGGTTCACCCGTGGGCACGGATCGTTCCTTGGTCTGCGGCAGGGGAGGGACGGGCGTGGCGGGCCGCGCGCGTGTGCTGAGGCTTTCGACGCGGACAGGGTAGGCGGACGGAGGCACCACGGCGCGGATGATGTTGGGCGGCGGTGGCATCACTGGTCCCTGAGGAAGGCCCTTGACCTTGAGGGGCAGGGGGCCCGCGCCGCCACCCTTAGTGACGAGAACGATGCCGCGCCCCTGACCGGCGTCCAGGTACGCGGCCTGGCCCGGGAGCAGTGGCCAAGCCGTCGAGGGAGCGACGCGGTACGAGTGCTCCTGAATACGCACCGTGCGGATGTCGGGGAAGAGGGTGGCGAGGAGCTGGTGCGAGTACTGCTCACCGAAGCCGACGAGGCGGAGGGAGTCGAGCCGGCCGCGCAGACGGGCTAGGTGGTTGCAAACGGATAGATACGCATCGGGACAGTAGCTTGTGTCGAGTGCGGGTTCTGGCTGCCGCGCAAGAGGGGCTGGGGGTTGGTTGATGGCCGTTTTGGCTCCGGTGCTGGTGCTGACTTTTGTTTGGGTTGAAGTGCTAGAGGTAATGGTTGCCTGTGAAGACTTCTTGGTCAGGCTGGATTTCCTCGTGGCATTGACGGCATGCCAATCAATGGCAGTGACGGTGCCGTCCTGATGCGGCTGGCTCTGTGGCTCGTCTAGCTTTGCCGGTCGAGCTGATGCCGCGACGTCGCGCCTCTCTTTTGTTGGTGATGCCGTCTTGCTGGATGAATGGCTGCTGGCGCTACTCGCCTTTGACTGTGCATCCGCGCCGGCGGCATGCGAACTATGATCGCTGGGCACCGCGGCCGGTCCGGCGCCGTCTGTCCTCTTGCCGTAGAAGCGCCGGCACATCAGCACCAGATTCTCCAGGGGCAGCGTTTCGTCGCGCTGCATCTGCGCGATTCCAAAGTCGTGAAGAAGAGAGCCGAGAGCATTCAGGCCGGGGCCCAGCTGAGAGCCCGCGGGGCCGAGCCCGAGGCGCGACATGTCCACCTCGAGGATGATACTGCGCATGTACACGCCATATTTGTTGAGCCACAGAGTCGCAAGCGGGTTGAGTCGCGGGCCGACAAAGGGTGATAGGACCACATGAAAGGTGCTTGTTGTGAGAACAGTGACGAGCACCTCGGCGTAGAGTGAGAAGGAGCTGCGCAGGCACGGCTCCAAGGGCCGGATGATGTTGGCGAAATGGGTCATTGACGATGCGTCCCAGAAGCTGCTGTTGAAGCTGGGATGGTGGTTTAGACTGATTGGCTTGGTGCCCGAGCGACGGGCGACGCCCTGCTCTCCCTGCCGGACAATGCGCACGAGATGTGTCCATATGCGAAAGCGTACATCTGTGGGCAGGCGCGTGAAGAGAGTAGACGTCTGGGTCGGGCGTTTGATCGTCTTTTCCGCGCCGGCATTGTCGGCCCAGAATCGTGTGAGATATCGCTCAAACTCGACCTGTGAGAGCCGCAGGCCTGGACGTCGCTGGTCCTCGTGCCGATATTTGTGGTAGACGACGTCGACAACCCTGTCCCAGGGTGGGAGGGCCGTCCCGCCGTCTGGCTGCGAAGAAGTCGCGGGAGTCGTTGGCGCAGCCATGCCTGCAAGTGTCCTTTCGATCGGTGTGATGGGCGTGATGGGCGTGGAAGCGGCCTGTCGCTGGCGGAGGCGGGCTATCTTGCCAGACATGGCCGAGTCGTCGCTCGACAGAGGCCCGTCGGGATGCTCGACCAGTTCCCAGTCGCCTTGGCCGGGCGGCACGATGTTAAGGTTCGGGCTGCTCCGCCGCGCTGCGTTATTGATGAGTAGGAGTCTCTTAATGGGGGAGCAGGAGAAGGGAGGGGATCGGGATTGACTGAACGGGACGGCGTTTACAGTTTAAGGTTGTCTTTGCATCCTGCATGGCGATGGATCGCGGGAACGCGCCGGCTGGCCACCGTGATCGTGCTCTGGCGTCTGTCGACGATCTCCGGAGTGGTGTAGGAAGAGGCATGAGTGCGTCACGGCTCGGGTCGTCGAGCTGTTCTTGGGTAAGAGGCCGTCGATGGGCGGGTGTCCATTTCAGAGTGGCTCGCAGCTGGCGAGGCGGCGGCATGTCACAGCGGGTGCCGAGCATCGTGACGACGTTTGCGCGACCGCTGGCGGCCACCTGTCGACTGGGTTTGAAGACGGTTCGAGTCTCGAAGCAAGCAGGAAGCAAAGGCTTCCACGTTTCACGTATGACGGCGCTCAGGCGCCTTTGTTGACCCTGCCTGCGCAGGTGCCACATGTGTGCTCGTTGGGACAACCGCGCGGCGGCGGCACGCAAAGAGGCGGCACGGCCATCGGTCGTCTAGGTATTGGCCGCCGGTGATGAGCGGACAGCTATCCTGATTTCTCTCGTTCATCTATCAAGCCGGATCGAATCTCACCATTTCGAGTGCAGATTGGCGGCGGCCATGGCGTTGGCCGTGGCGATGCGCCGCGCCCGCGGCCGTTGCTCGCGCATGTCTACCTCAGCACAGACGCGCCACGCTCGTCCTCGTACTCCACCTGCCACGCTCGACGGCTGCCATGCCCGAGTCTCGTAGCGTACATTTACCGTTCGAAAGGGTCCGTTACTTGGTCTTGTTCTTTTCCGCCTGCGCCCGCTCGTAGATCCAGTCGTTTAGGCCCTTTTTGTTCCTTGCGCGGCGTTAGCACGAATGGCCATCCGCAATGAAAGGGGCGGGATTTGCATCGGGGACCTGGAGTATTACCTGGCAATCTCAATAGCGTAAAATTGCATGCGAGGAACTGATGGCCTTAGCTCAGTCTTGTCTCAAAGCCGAATGAGAAACAAAGGCGACTCACCGAAAATGGTTGTGTCCTCCTCGTACTCGACCTTGGGATTGTTGCGCACCATGGTGCCAAAGTTGTAGTCTTCAATCGTCTTGTCGTAGGCCATCATAAACTTGCGCCACCGCTCCTTTCCCGTCTTGCTCTTCATTTCGTCTTCGTCGATGGTGGCCGCGGGATCAAACTCGGGGAAGTCGGTGGTGAGGTGCTCATAGATGTCGTCATCCATCTTGGTCAGGCGCAGAGTCGAGCCCTTGACCTTTTCGAGGATCGACCAGTACGTCTGCATGTGCTGAACGACTGCGGTGCGGTCAGCGGGGAAAGCTCGGTCAACGTGGCGCGGGGGTCGGGCAATGGCTACCTTTGACGGCGAATTGCTGCTCCATCTATCGGGCTCATGGTTAACGAAGAATCGAGAAGCGACGAAGCTCTGTTCGCACCTCTTCCATGTTGATGGCCTCCTCGGCGTTGAAGTCCTTGGGCACCGGGGCCCCGGACATGCTCTCCATGGGATCCATCTTGTCTTGCAGCTCCTCGGCGTCGCTGCTGTGCTATAGTTGTGAGTCGGTCGGCTTGTTCTTGCAGTGTCTCGACGTTTCGTTGTCGAGTTGAGGAATGACGGGGGTTGCCAAAAGTTCAAAACCTTGAGCTGGCGTGGGGCATGCCTTGAGCTGCATGCGGATATGGAGGGGCAATGACATCAAAAGCGTAACGTGCGCAGACGGCGATGGCACCGTACATTTGCACTGTGTAGGCACCAGACAGACGTCAAGTGTTGGTCGGAAACCGCAACTCCCAACATGTAGCCTACATGGGCAGCGAGTATAACTACAACAACTGGTGCAGCCTCAAGCTCTGTCACCATATAAAGTTCTCATACGCTCGTCTGCTTCAGCGTTTCTCGCAAATGTTTCACCTCCGCAACGACATCGTGCACGGTGACGGCTTGGGTGCCGGTTCAACACAAGACATCGTCCCGCGGCACGAGCCGTGTCGAGCCGCAGTCTCAGGCCGACCGAGACGCCTCTGCGATGAAACGGACACGCTTTGGTAAAGCCAGCCGCTGCGCGGATGCTGATGGAAAGCACTGCGATTGAGGGCGTTCTTGTGGCGGCTGCGTGCCCGGGCCAGACCTCACCATCGCCCCGCAACAATGGCCGCAGGACAATACCATAGTATGCATTCAAACATCCAAGCCACAAGCGATGGTCCCTGACGCCTCCATCCTAGGCTGGCGCGATAATGCCGCCACAGCCGCGGGTCGGGCAATCCCTCAGAGTATTCCTTCTCGAGATGCCGCCATGGTGACTTGTCACCAGTGCTCTCCTCCGACGGCTTTCTCTGCGTCGCCCATCATCAGCGTCCCAGCCTCATGAAGACATGACGACCGAGGCCAAGGCAGCGGCGGCCTCGCCGCCTCCGGCCGATGCTTCACTTCCCCTTGGGCCACCGGCGCCTGATCACGCCAAGGCATCGTTGGCCAGCCTCTTTGTCTTCACCAAAGCGTCACACCTGGCGACCCTGATTGCGGCGATCCTTGCTTCCACCGCGGCTGCTGGCCTTCGTACCGTCTTTGCAATATTTCTAGGTCGCATCTTTGACATATTTGCCGCCTTTGGCAGCGGCATCCGATCTGGAGACAGCTCTGTTCAGGGCGTTTCGGAATGGTGTCTGCTCTTGACCGGCCTCGGGCTCGGGAACTGGCTTGCCAGTGCCTCTCTGCTGTCGTTTTGGATCGCATTCGGAGAGCTTCAGGCAGAAAGCGCGCGCCGAAGCATTTTCAAGAGCCTCCTCTATCGTGACTTGGCTTGGTTCGACACATCCGAACGGGCCATGTCCAGTCTTCTAGTGACAGTTCAGACGTATGTCCGCACAAGTTGACCCCACTGATGAGTTTTCTCAGAATGCTGATCATCTATAGACAAACACGAGAACTTCAGCTCGCGACATCGCAGGTGTTTGGTCTCCTCATCTGCGATACTGTGTCCGCCCTCGCTTCGCTCGGTGTCGCTCTCTACCACTCGTGGAAGTTGACTCTTGTTCTCGTCGCTACGGTCCCGGTCTCAATCATCATCCTGTCCCATGCCACGAAGCGAATGGACCCTGCCATTCGGACACAAAAGACCCACCTGGAGACGGCCTCGAAGCTCACGTCCGCCTCCGTCTCCGCCATTAAGCTTGTCAAAGTCTACGACGGTTGTGACCGCAATGTTCAACAATACTACCGCGCGGTCAAGCGTGCGGCGGGTCAATATCTCATTCAGGCTCAGTGCAATGCGTTCCAGCTCGGCTACATTGCCTTCTGGGTTGTCTCCATGTTCGTGGTCGGATTCTGGTACGGCGTTGTGCTTGTGCAGTCCGGCCTCCCGGCAGGACATGTCTTGACCACCTTCTTCGCCATCCTGGCTTTGTTTCAGGGTGTTGAATCGGTCGCACCACATTGGCTGGTCCTTTCCAAAGGCATGGCCGCGGGCAACTTCCTCTCCGGCATCGGCAAGAAGTCGGACTCTGAGCCGCCACCTGCCAACGCTGTCAGCGCACATCCAAGACTCCGGCCCGGCCACAAGCTAGGCGGCATCGAGTTGAGAAACGTAAGTATCTCCGACGACTTTAACAAGACGCGACTGACCTAAATTTAGGTAAGCTTTGCGTATCCCTCGCGGCCGGAGAAGACGGTCCTGGAGCCGTCGAGCTTCATGTTCCCTGCCGGCCAAACCACCTTCGTCGTCGGCAAGAGTGGCTCGGGCAAGAGCACCGTGGCAAACTTAATTGCCAGATTGTACAAACCACTTACCGGGCAAATCTTGATTGATGGACGGCCGGCAGACGAGCTGGATCGCGACTGGCTGCGCGAAAACATTACGGTCATCCAGCAGACGAGCATCCTCTTCAACGACACGCTCTTCAACAATATTGCCCCGGCACACCCTGCCCCTGAACTGGTCCGCTACAAGGACGTCATTGATGCCTGCCAATTCGCTCTCCTTCAGTCATTGCTTGCGGAACTCCCGAACGGGCTCGACACTTTGGTGGGACCCGGAGGCTTCGACCTGAGTGGTGGACAGAAGCAAATGATAGCATTGGCCCGAGCCCGGCTCAGAGATCCCGCAGTCCTCGTTCTCGATGAGATCACGAGCGGCCTAGATAAGTTGAGGCGCGGCCTCGTCATGGATGGCATTAGAGAGTGGCGCAAAGACAAGACGACCATCATCATAACTCACGACATGGCGCAGATCGAAGAGAGCGAATACGTTTATGTCATGGAAGACGCTTCCATTGTCCAGCAAGGACCCAAGAGCGTTCTTTCCACTCGCAATAAGGGGGCGTTCGCCGTTCTATCGGGCGGGGCTGACGAAGACGAGGATGGTGACGACGACGATGACAACAACGTCGTAGTACAGAAAGGCGTTCAGTTCTCGAGATTCTCGACCAGCGACGCCCGAAGCTCGTCACCAACATCATGGTCTAAGTCATGCACTACGCTCAATGCCTCCAACGGCCCAGAGAGCTCAAGTCGAACGCTGCTCTACATACCGCCATCCATCTATTCCGAGTCCGCTTCGTCTTGGAACGGAGTCATATCCGGGCTCTGGGAACCACCCATGCCTCCTCAGAAACCTCAGCTCGCACGGCTGACGACACTCATAGAGTCTGACCTGCGTGATTTCTCGCAGTTCATCGACGACCAATTTTCACCTCCGGATCGTGAGCGGTCTAGGAGTCGCAGTGTGGGAATGCTGTCCCCTGTCTTGCTTGAGGGGTCAAGTCTGGACCCTTTTGCAGACAAAGACGACGACAATTTCCTATTTGGGGCTGCCAACCGGCGAAGTAACATATCAGTCCTCCGTCGCGTCACCACCCGAAAGCGTCTGGAGGAATCGACGAAGGCAAAGGAGCCTACGGACCAGTGCCCTCCCGGCTCGAGCCTGTCAGCAACGTTGAAAACACTTTGGCCTGCTTTAGGAGTCTTGCACAAGATTGTCTGTATACTTGGCTCACTCACCTGCCTCATTGGGTCTGCGGCTACACCGGCATTTGGCTTTTGCTTGGGACATCTTCTGAGTGCCATGTGGTCATCAGGTGATAAAGCTGCCGAGGGGAGAAAGTGGGCCTTGTACCTCCTCGCCATAGCCTTTGTGGATGGTATCTGTCGGGGTGGCGGTCGGTATCTCATGGAAATTGTCGCACAGGCATGGGTGGACAACATCAGGGTCGAGGCACTGAAGAGGATCCTCCAACAGCCAATATCGTGGTTTGACGACAAGAGCAACTCGCCGAGCCGCATCAGCGAGGCTCTCGAGCGGAGCCCAGAAGAGATGAGGAGCATCGTTGGACGGTTCGTTCCGATCGTCCTCACCGTCGCCGGAACCGTTTCGATAGCCGTCATTTGGGCCATGGCCACCTCCTGGCGGCTAACGCTCGTCGTGCTCGCGCCGTTGCCGGTCGTCTTCGGCGCGGTGAAAGGATACGCGGCGGTCAACACGAAGTGGGAGGCGAAGTGCAATGACGGTGCTGAAGACTCGAGCGCCCTGGCCACCGACATTCTCCTCAACCTTCGTGTCGTGCGATGTTTAACCATGGAGGACCACTTCACGCGCAAGTACGACGCGACGGTCAGGCGAACGCTCGGCCTCGGGCTGAGGCGCGCAGCGTACAGCGGCTGGCTTTTTGGCCTCTATCAGTCGATGGGCTACATGCTCGTTGCACTTATCTTCTACTACACCATGGTGCTCTTGGCAGGAGGTCTGAAGAGGGAGGTGACGCAGATGCTCCAGGTCGTCAATGTCCTGGTCTTCAGCATTGGCAACGCCTCGGACATTCTCAGTGGCATACCTCAGCTCACCATGGCTCAGGCTGCCGCGACGCAGCTCCTGAAGTATGCCAGCCTGCTCCTGGAGCGACGAGGCTGCGAGCAGTCCTCACGGAAGCTTCACAGCGGGCCTCTTCCCGTGAGAATGCGCAGGCTTACATTTGCCTACCCCCTTCAGCCCGAGGAACCAGTCCTCAGGCACGTATCCCTGGACATCAATTCTGGAGAGTGTACTGCCATTGTCGGCCAGTCAGGCTGCGGCAAGTCAACCGTCGTCTCTCTGCTCCTGGGTCTGTATGACCCTCCGCCGGGGCGTCGCGGCGGCGGATCAGCGCTCACGTTCTCCCATGTCCCGCACAGCGATGTCGATATGCAAAGTCTTCGCTCCTTTGTGGCCTACGTGCCGCAGTCCCCCTTCATCTTTCCCTCCAGCATAGCCGACAACATCACGTATGGCCTGGCGGCAGACTCGGAGCCACCGTCCGATCGCCTGGCCAGGGTCATGCACGCAGCACAGGCAGTCAATCTGCACGACTTTATCGCATCTCTTCCGCAGGGCTACGATACCATCGTCGGGGACGGGGGGCTGACGCTCTCGGGCGGACAAGCGCAACGGCTGTGCATTGCGCGGGCGCTCATTCGTCGCCCACGGCTTCTCGTCATGGACGAGCCCACGAGCGCTCTCGATGCCGAGAACGCGGCCGCCGTCCGTCAAATCATCGGAGACCTGGTCCGGGGCCGGTCAAGCCTGTGCAAGTCGCCGACAGAGATCAGTGCAATGCCCGACCAGGCCGACGAAATGGCCATTGTGCTTGTCACGCACAGTATAGACATGATGCACGTGGCAGACAAGATTATTGTTCTTGACGACGGAATCAAGGTTGAGGAGGGGACGAGCGTCGAGGAGTTGGCGCGGGCCAATGGTCCGTTCAGCCGTCTCATGAGCGGAGGAGTCTGGGTGGACGGCGATGATGCAACGAGGTAGCCAGGGAAGGGAGCCGGGATCGTACCGTGGTGCGTAGTGAGCTGGCTCTCACGGAAGCGACATTCCCACGGCTAATTTTCTTGGATGGGCTAGGAAATAATGACGATACATGGAATCATTGTACATGCAAATAGCACTGCCTGGAGCTCTGCGCTTCGGCCAGCTTCTGATGAACTTTCACCGTTTTCCAACAGTATAACCCATTCTACTCCTCGTTATCTGTTATTGCTCCCATTGCCCCCGTTGCTCCTGTTGGATACCTGCCACACTTCGGTCACCCGAAGCGCGAGGGACTTTTCGTTTCGCTGCAGGCTTGGTGCCGTCGCCTTCCCAAGGCTCGGGCGCTGCGGTCCCTGCCTTGCCCTTGACCTCGCCTTGGCCACGCCCCTGGCAGGAAATTCTCGATAAAAGGTGCTATTCGATGTCTGTGCCATCTTCTCGTCAACTCGCATAAAGACTGTTCCCTGGTTGTTCCTTCGTGTGTCATTCGTCTGACATGCCGCGCATCATGGGTGGTCTCGACAACTACATTAGTTTATCTCTACCAAATACATTGGCGTGCTGTCGATGCTTATGGACTCTTTGGACATGCAATTCTTGCATACGACCAGGACCTCCGTGTGGTTCTCGGGATCAGATCTGCACCTTGTCAGAGGTTGCATGTGCTGTAACTGCTAAGCACATGATTGGGCAGAAATCGTTGCCCGACAGATGGAAAGAGACCCCTTTGTTCAACTGAATGTTTGTACCTTGGCAAATAGAAAGACTCATTAGTGTATGCGAGGACTCAGGCAACACTGCGCCTGGATAACAACTGGCCCGGCGAACTTCATCAAGTGCTACGGCACCGCTGAAGTAAGCGGCCGCCAAGTCGCCAACGGGCGTGCTGCGGCAGGCGACGGAGCCATCGTCTCGACTGCAATGCAATCCTTCAATAGTTGCCAATCCCCGGCCGGCATAACAAGAGCAGTGTGCGTTATTAGTCCTCCGCAAAGACCTCGTCGCCTCCCCAGCCCGTCAGGGTGGCGCCCACGGGACGCGATCCGCCCTGGATCACCACCCACACTACGTCCTCGTCGCCTTCTTCGTTGCGGACCTGGTGCTCCGTCCAGGCCGGCACAAAGGCAAAGTCCCCCGGCCGCAGCGCGTGGCGTCGCAGGTGGTTGCCGTCCGCGCCCTCCTCGTCCGCGCTATCGCCGCCCTTTATGTCCTCGCCAGTGTCGCCGCTGCCGAAGCCTCCTTCGTTTACAACGAGGACGCCGGTGCCCGACACGGCGTAGATGATGGCATCTGGAACAGGTTACCACGACCGCGCGAGTTGAACAGAAGCCCAGCCTCGTCACGGGAACCTACCCCCGAATGTACATGGGCAGGCCCTGGGTTATAACGCGGGAGACAGCATACCTCCGAGCTTGAGGTTTCACATACCTTGTTCGCTGTTATGCTTCACGGGCGAGCACGATTTGGGGCGCGTCGTCACCACTATATGTTGCGTATCATCCATTAGCAACTAATTAACCTGCTCCAGCGTCCCCGCCAAGGCTAGGGGCTATTGGTTACCACCCACCAGAAGCGCACATCTTGTCGCACCGGCCCACGACGGCCGGTCGCGACGTGACGGGACCCTCGACGGTAGGGTGGCGCGGCGTCAACTGCTCCGCCCTGGTGATGTGCGTCTCGGCGGGCAGGATCATGGGCAGCAGCTCCGAGATGAGCGGTAACAGGGACGCCATGGGGCCGGGCATCCAGGATAGTGTGGAGGGAAGGGGGACGGAGGTGGGCTCTCCACCGGTGGCCCGGGACCTGACCTGGCCTGACCAAGGTCAATGATCAGGGGATTCGATGACGATGGTCGCGCACAGAGACGCACCCCTGTGGTGATCAACCACGAATGGTGCCTCTGTTGGGTGATTCGTGTGGCCCGGGAGCGCTACAGTATGTAGCCAAGGGAGATTCTGCCAGCTGCCGCTGGGTCGTAGCCAGCAGGGTGTCAAACACCCCCCCGGTGGCGTTGGATGCGGGCTGCCGTGCCGCCGTGCCCGGGTTACCTGCCGAATCGGTATCCGGGCCTCCTCGGGGTCGGAAGGTGGGCGAGCGAGGGGCCGGGTCCGTAGGCAAAGGATGCACGCCAGCGAGCAAGCAGGCAACAGGGCAAACTGCCAAGCAACAGGCAATCCAGCCGTGCAAACCAAGCAAGCAAGACGGGGACGCGTGGCGCCGTGTCTAGGACAGAAGAACAAGGTCTGCGAGGCGAGAGCCCGCGAGCTGCCCAAAGGAGGCGGGCGCGCCGAGCGAATGGATGGGTAACGATGGAGGCGACCCGATGGGCTCGATCGACGACACAGCACGCGGAACCGAGAGTCCTGGATCTAGACCCGTTGGTCCCCAATTGTGCATTGGCACTGGTGTGCAGGCTGTCAGGCGGGTGTGCCGTGCATAAGTCTGGTGTGTCGAGCTTGGTTTGAGATGCCAGATGGACAAATGCCGTGAAGGGTGCACGCCACGGCACCGTCCACGAGGCGCCGCCGATGGCGCTGAGCCCCGAGCTGTCAGGCGTCAGCCAGGGGCTAAGCGTGGTCGTGAGCACTTCAGCGGCGGTTAGACGGGTACTGTACTGTGTTCCACTCCCATGTAAGTTCGGTAGCGAGGCACGGGTCGAGGCAATGCATCATGGTTCATGCGTTGTGGGCACACGTCCACTGTCTTGATGTTGCTGCTGTTGCTGCCGCAGCTGTGCTCTCGGGCAACGAGCACGTCGGGCCTTGTTTCTTCTGCTGCACAACCAGGCATGTCTTCCAGGTTCGTCTAGCCGTGCTGCTGGCTGGCCCCACGTTCCCCCCCGTCCCGCGCATGTGAGACACGGCTCATGCCCATCGTCAGGTTGGGTCAGGAACCCGCAGCGTCGCATCTGAGCGACAGTGCAGCGGCACTGCTGCAACTCAAACTCAAACCTCCACTCGTCCCGCGGTAAAGGGAAGGTGGCCGAGTGGTTGTGAGCATGCCCGGCATGCGAAACGAAAAAAACCTCCGAGTGCAGCGCAGCTACCATCCCAACTCGGCAACCGGGAACGTCCGCGACCCAGACGTCAGGGACTTTTTGCCGTGGGCCAAGAGTGGCTATGCGCATGCCGTGTTGTGGTCCGTACGGTGCAGTGCCGTAATATCGCCTGTTTGCTTGCTGTTCAGCCCACCCACCATATGGGGTGATGCTGTTGAAACTGACCGTCGTTCATGTCACAGAGTATCATCGTCCACCAAGGGACCGCGCTACGGGGAGCCGTCGACCTCTCCAGTGACGCCGTACTTTGGCGATCCTGTCAGGCGACGGCTAGTCGTACGCCGACTTGGTCTGGCCCGGCTCGCTCGCGCGCCCTAGAGGACTATGCTCGGCCGAGTGAGCATCCTTGATCCGATCATTGTCTTGCGCAACTTGCAAAAGGCCCGTCACCTCTCTCAAAAAGCCGGACTCGTCGCTCCCACGTGCAGTCTTCATTGGCCCGCCTCCAAGATGCCCTCGCGAAGGTCAAGCCAACTGCTGCCGTCGTCGCCGATGGCAACGTGGCATGAGCGCAATCCGCAGTAACAATTACGGTACCTCGTACCAAGTTCACTCATTCATGAGCCATATTTGCGCTCGTGTACTAACGACACGATACTGTGCTGAGCTGGGCACGACGTCGGGCGCGGGTGGCTGGTGAGGGCGCGCGCGCAGAGCCTCCGCTATTGGTGACATCGCTGGATGTAACCTTAGGACCCTACATGGCCAGGGCCCCGCGATCTATTCCAGGCGGATGTTCGTCCAAACTGTTTCGTCCAAGGTGAAGCAGGGGCTTTTGCGGTGAGTCCTGGTTCACCTGAGCGCCTGGCTTAACCTGTCATGTCAATAACGCCGACGGATCCCTTCCTTCTGGAAGCTGTGGCGTGGCTGGGCGTGAGCCAGAAACTGGCGCTCGCCCAAACGGGAAGCTCGCTGGTCCTCGGAGCTGCTCCACAGGAACCTTGTCCTCCCGCGATGCTCCGCCCTTCTCTCGTCCGGGCGCCAATGGTTCAAGCTTGTGTCCTGCTGCGAGAAGAGTTCGGCTCTTGGCTTGGTCCATCGCGGGTCTGTGGATACAGCGCTGCTGGACTGCCTGCCTGGCCCAAGTACTTTTGTCTCTCGTTTGCTCTCGTGCATCAATAATACCGGTTTGCTACGGTTGGGGGTCCAACACGAGCGGCAGAGCCCAGCAGGGGATCTAGATCCATTTCAGATCCAGATGAAACTGTGGTCGTTTCGCGACTAGTCCTGCCAGGCCAAGGAGGTGGCGGCCACCATAATTGCGCACCGTCGTCGGCTCCTCGGACGCAGTAAATTGATCTGCAACGCCTCACTGCAACCATCCCCCCCAGAGTCTGGCGCCAACGGCACTGTGGCTGCTCTGCCCTGACCCTGTGCCCGAGGCTTGAGTTGGGATGGGCGGTATGCTCCGTCTTCCGTCTTCCGCCATCCGTCATCCGGGTCGACCTCGATACATTGTAAGTCGTACACACGAGTTCGGCAGGCCGATAGAGAATTGCGCACTAATACTCCGAGGTCTGCTTCCAACTGCCTCTGCCGATTCGTCGCAATGCGCCAACCGTGTGCCCGGGCCACACGACTGACTAGTTGTCAACTTCCCGTTCTGGAACTATATCGTCGCTGGCATAAGTTATTCCGCGTGCTATGGTCAAGATGCAACAGCTGGTGCCTCATGGCTTGCAGCCGCCATCAGACCATTCATTATTGGCACCTTGATTGGCACCATTCGCCCGTGGCTCTTACCGTCTGCCGAGAGTCCGTGACAGGACCGTGACGCTGTGTCCAAACAAGCTTTGTCAGGACTTCCCAATCGATCGATGAGCGGCGGTGAAAGCGGACGCAACTTTCAAGTGCCTAACAGATCCAATGAAATACGACGAACAAAGTCGTTCGATGTGACGATCACTGCCTTGGTCTGCAAGGCAGGGTATGGAGTCGACCGGCACAACGCCAGGATTCGGATTCCAAATTCCAGGACGACCTTGCTCGCATGAACACTTGCCGCGGCTAAACGAGCGGCCTCTCAGCTGCCGAGAAAACGGTTGCGGGTTGACCGCGAGTCGCGGACGTCGGCACTCTTGCCCGTAGCTTGCCGGCTTTCGTCTGTCCCTAGTGGTCGGATCAGCTTCTTCAGAGCAGCGTCACCCCTCACTGGCCGGGTTTACCCCAGTTGCTGGCCACTAAAGCTAGCAGCACATATGGGAGGGGCGACGAGGGGCTGGCTGGGGAGCAAGGGAAGATCACGGTCCCCTGGACACGGAGATGTGGAGGCAGCGTGCATGTCCAGCTCCCTGAGTGTTTGTGGGATCAGGAACCCCGGGCGTTAGGTGGATCGACGACTGCCGGCTGGGACGACGGTGTTGGTTGCAGGGACGGCGCGTCGAAAGTCAAACGGTTTCGTGCTGTCAACTTTTACATACCTTGTACAGTACTACCTTTCTCAACAGACACTTGTGTACGTCGCAATGACAAGTCTTTGGGCACTGGATGGCCTTGCTGTAGCTTTGGGTGTCGTCCAAGTCGACCACATGGCGGGGGGGTGCCGCCGTGGGTTTTTGACGAGGGAGGCGCGTTTGTTTGCAACGGTAGCTACGTTGGGGGTGGCCGGTGCAGGTGTGCAGGACGGGCTCCAAGCGGACGACCCTCGAAGCTGACCGTCGAGGTATCGTAAGGTTGATCAATGGGACGGTGAGAAGGTGTGCAGAGCCGGGTGGTCTGTGAGGCATGCCCGTCCATCGTCGCCGCGGGCCTGTGCCATGAAGATGCAAGAGTGCAGCGCAGGACGAGGTCGAGCGGTGAAATTTGATTCGACTTTCCTGAAAAGCCGGCGGGCGAGGGCGCCTGCCTCAAACGTGCTTGATGGCTGAGGTGACGGGTAACAGGTAACCTGGTTACCTCTAGTACTACCTAGGTACTGCACTGTACCTACCAAGGTAGGTATGTACCGCCCGTTGCATCTTGGGCTCGGAGGTACGACATAGGGTAATGTCACCTTCGTACCTTCCTCTGCTACTGCAATGCTCCATATGCCGCACAGGCAGAGGAAGGAGCCTCTGTGAACGAAAACGCAGGCGCAAACCACCCAACGCCCACGCCTCCCCCCCCGGAGTGTGGACACGCTGCCTCTCCATTGACGACCGCCTACTGACCCGGAACGTCGATTCCTCGCCCTCCTCGTCGACCTCACCTGGGCATGCAATACGGCATCGCTCAGCCCCCAAGTCCCGTGCTTCACGCAGACTCTTGTGCCTCGGCCAGGGCAAAATCCAGCTGACCCTGTTCTTGCGTCCAACAGAGCTGCACTTTCGCAACTTCGGCCAGGGATATCCTGGAGGCTTGGCGGCACTCCGGTGGCTGCATCACAGCACATGCAGATTTGCTCCGTGGCCGACGGTCGAATGGAGAGACGCAGCCAGAGATCCATGGCGAGTTGACCACGACTGTCGCTCGATAGCTGTCTTGCGCACCCGTTGCGACTCGGCCAACACGACCAGGGCAGCGCCGTTGGATGCGCTGAGACGGCGCCGCTTACGCCTTGCATACGCCGCCGACCAATTCTTTGTTCCTGCTACCCCGGCCAACCGCCCGCCTGCCGCCGAGCGACCAAGGCAACAGACTATCCAACATTGTCAGTGGGAAGAGAGACGCAGCCGGCGGCGTTGGCCTTTGACGGATCGCGGTAATGGGTTGTTCTTGGCCACGACCCGTTGCCGCTTCAAAAAGTCCCAGCTCCCAAAGTCCCTTGCCTGGACTGGCCTTGTCTGATCCTGCTACCACGACTAGCACAGCAGCAAACGGCTAATAGTCCCTCCACGCGACCCCACCAGCGGCGCGACTCTCTGGTACCGTCGGTGAAAGCGCCGGCGTGGCAGCGGAGCGCTAATAATAGAGAGAGCCGGCTTCAAACCCCCCTGCCTACCACGTACAGAACTGGTCGCATCCCGTCTCTGGTTCCATCCAGTCCAACGGGTAAAGACGACTTTGCCCCCCCGCGACGACGCCGCCCAAGCACGGCCGCACTAGGACGAATTAATTCTACTTCGTTCGCGCAGCACGAGTCGATCGAGCGGAGGAGCAGCAAGGAGGCGGCCGACGACCAAGCTCGAGCATTTCGTCATTCCTCCGACCGGGCTTCGCCGGCCCGCCAGGCGACCAATAGCTTTCTGTTCCTCGAGCCTCGCGAGCGCAGCACGCGTCGCTGGACCCCAGAACTGGAGGACCGCCGGCAGCTCCAGGCAGTCCGCAGACTCGCCCGGCTCCGCGGACCCCATGAGCTGGGTGGCGTTTCGGCCGCCGTCGCCTGCAAACTCACTTCATTCTCCTCCGACTTATCAACCCCAGGCGGGTTAAGCCTCCAGAGGCGGCGACTACAGGCGAACTAGGTCGGTCCCCTTCTTCACGCCGCGCGCCATTCCACCTTTCTTCACACACCGGTGTCGGCCAGCAACAGACCCAACACAACCTTGTCTTGACCCTGCAGCTGCGGTCCAAAGGCGACGACGGCACAGAGTGCGACTCACGGCGTGCGACTTGCGACTGCGGCTGCGACCGCGCCTGCATTTGCATTGTGCATGCGACTGTGCCTACCTACCTAGGTCTCCACTCTGAGCCTCCGGCATCTCCTGCCTCCTCCGCCAAGCGCGGCCTCCCAGTCGATATCACACGGGATCTTTGCTCTCGACCTCCCGTCCTTCACAGTAGTCTCAGACGTCATGGCTGGCTCCTCGTCGTCAATCGAAAAGCGACTTGCGGAGCCAGCATCCGACGACTCACCCTCAGGTGGCACCACGCAGCCGCCCCCAGAAGTCTCACCATTAAATCCGCCGACTTCGCCACCTGCGCAACGACCTTTGTCCCCATCGTCGGCACCTGTGTCGGCACCTTCGTCGGACCCTCCACTAATAACAGACGTTCTGCCCGTCGTTCCAACGTCGGTGACGACGTCGCCGTCCAACTACGGTCGCATCAACGCCGAGAACGAGAACAATCTGAGCCTCTTCGACGACCTGCCTAGCCGCCGCGCGAGACACCCGCGTCTCCAGTCAAGTTCACGCAGTATGTCGAGAGATTCGCAACTCTCGCAAGGCGCCGGTAAGCGACCTCGGGAGATACCGAAAGGTGTGTGAAATTGCGCTTGGGAATTCCCGGATCCCTTCCCTGGCTTCGGCCAAATGAATAGATTAGGCTTCGGCGACCGTCGCGCATGATTCGCATGACCTCCAAGATGAAAATCTCCTTCCCCTCACCTCTTTGGGCGTCTGACTTGGAACTGGACTGGTGGGCAGAGCGGCAGGGCTGACTTTGCGTCACAGGCGAGTCCGCAGCGCACCAGCAACGGCAGAAACAGGCGCATCATCGACAAGATCCCGACACGCGGCGGAAGAGGCAAAGAGCCACCCCAATGTCGTTATTGGCATTGCCCCCAGAGCTCGTCGACGCTATCCTGTCCAACCTGTCAGCTCAGGATCTCGCCTTCGTTTCAGCCACTTGCCGGGCGCTACGAAAGCACGCCATATCCGACTTCCACTGGCATAGGCTGGTCCAGCGCAACGTGCCTGGCCAAGCCGTGACCAGGCCCGGCCCCTGCTCGAGCTATCGCGAACTCTATGTGGCCCACGACCGGGTCTGGTTCCTACCCAAATACAAGATCTGGTTCTGCGACAGGGACCTGATGGGCAAGCTGATCATAACGCGTTTCGATCAGCGGCGCGGCTGCATAGAGGGGTATCAGCTGCTCGCAGTCAGCAGCCGGAGCACGTTTCAACACTGGTCAGCGGACAGCCAGGTTATAATCCATGGTTTCGAGCCGCAGGTCAAACTGCACCTCGACAAGCCTGTGGTGCAGTTCCGTGTCCGAGACAGGCAGGAGGACGGAGGTTTTTCGTCGCGACCCGGCGCTAACCGCTTCGCCGACGAGATGCCCATGACACTAGAGGAGCGCATGGGCGCCATGTTCAGCAACTTTTTGCTAACGCGGCCCCTGGACCCCGAGACGGCCGAGGAGAAGCTCGAGGCCGATTACCCGTACGACAACATCTGGCCGCCGCCGACGATCCCGGCCCGCCACCACGTGTCCGGCGCCCGCTCCGGCCAGGGCGTCGTCAACCTTTCTCCCGACGACCGGCCCCGGTCTAAGTGGCAGGTCTCGGACCAGACCTTCCGTATTCGGCAGTGGATGGAGATGGCCGGCACGCCGGTGCCGCCGAGGCTCCTGGGCCAAGCCGTCCGTGGGCCGCCAGATCTGGGCCTGACAGGCGTCCACATCGGCGAGGAGATAATCACCTACTCGACCCTCGACCCCGTGCTGTACACGCCGACGCCGACCAAGCCGTGGCGGGGAATCTGGGTCGGCGACTACAGCGGCCACGGCTGCGAGTTTCTGCTCATCAACCAGCCAGACGACCCGCCCGCCACCGATGCCGAGCTGGGTCTGGTCCGAGACGAGGACGAGGCGGATGAGGCGTGGGAGAAAAGGCGGGCCGAAGCGCGAATGTATCGCGGCCGCCTCGAGGCGATCAAGCTGACGGGCGACCCGAATGTGCCTCGCGGCGAGTACACATTCGTGGCTGACGACCTGGGCCCCAAGGGATTTGTCGGCGTGGCAGCGGACGAGCCCTTTGTCGGTGCCAGAGTGGTCCACAGCCAGGGCCATATCGCAGGCACCGGCTTTGTGCGAGGTGAGTCTCGGCGAAGACATCGTTCTGCTGGTGACGAATCACTGATCGTGTTGGCGCACATGCAGACAAGTACATTGAGAGCCAGCTTCTGCTCCTCTCCCCAAACAGGTTGGCGCAGTACTGGGTCGGGTTTGGGCACATCAGCTTCTTCGAGAGGGTCCACATTGACGACTTTCTGGTGCCGTGAGGGGTGGCCGGAGCGTCAAAGGGGGTGGCATAGGAAAATTGAGGGTGACGATGGCTCTGCCCGCGCCTCATGGCCCCTGGTCTGTGAGACTAGTTCAGCATCTGCAAGCCCGTTGACGCCATTGTCCCCATCGTGCGCCCTGTTCCTGTCGTGGCTCTGATGTGTCGAGGCTGGGACCCTTCTTGTTCGTGTCGTAACGGCCGTGAGTTCCGTGACTGTCGTGGCTGTAGTGACTGTCGTGACTGCCGTGCCTCTAGTAGCATTCACCTCACTACTGCCCGTCGAGCCTCTCATGCCTGTCGAGCCTCTCATGCCTGTCGTGGCTGTTTCGCCTGGCTACCTCGCATACTTTTCAGGGTTCACATACCTGTCGAACCCCGTAGAGTTGTCGTGCCTCCGATGCCTCGCCCTTGTTTGCCGCACTGCGCATCAATGCCAGGACATGTCGCCGTCTGCATTGCATTCAGCGTGCGAGCCAGCGATGGGTGCTGCAGAGTCGAAGTGAAACCCGTGGTGACGCAGCGCCTGGGACTCATTACGTGAAGAGTAGCCGCTCGGGCTTCCTAACAGGGAAGGTGGTGATCGCGAGCCGCGTCCCGCCATGGATCCCGTTTGGTAGGGCAGGGTCGCGGATGCCTGGGGGGGCTAGAGGAACGGCACAACCACGTTTCCACAAAACTTTATGTAGAGTAAATGTAAAATGTATGGGAAGCATTGCGTCATGGCCTCTGGATGACGCGCGGGCGGCAGAGGAGATTCGACAACGACTACACACCCCGCCAGCCGCATTGATGGATCGGCCCTTACGGAGTTGGAGGTAATTTGCCATATCGCGAATTGATGTGCTTATTTCTCGTCGGAAAGAAAGATACCCTAGGCTTCTTCGCAACTAAGAAAGATAGCCTCCGGAAGATCTTGCCAAGAAATGGCTCTTTAAGAGCGCCGTTGGCTCCCTATAGTCATATTTTGCCGCAATTCCACATATATAGGTGAAAGTGCAAGACGAATTTGTTTAGCGCTACGGTAGTGGCGACCGCTTTTCCCCTCGTTGGCCTCGTTGCCGATAGAGACGTAAAGTACTCGAGGGGCTTGTCCTCCTCGCTTCAGAGAAGGGCACGCACGGTTCGGCGTCGTGGCTGCAGCGGCGTGCAGCATGATGGATGGCCGGCCCAGCCTCCGTAGTTTGGCATGGTGCGCCTGTTGAGACACAGGCCCCTCTGTGACGTTGTGACCGTGATAATGCACAGATTCGAGGCGCTGGGCGCGACGACGGCAGCTTCGTGATTGGATTGTTGCGAGAACGCTGGTTCCAACGCAGGAGGGACACCGACAATTTTGCGGGACGCGAGCAGAGCGACCAAGGGGAGAGCATGGAGAGCCAAGAGGAGAGCGAGTATATTCATGGGCGATATAGCACGGACAGACCAGGACCAAAGGCATGAGGTGCATTGGAGGCATAGCATCCACGACGGGGCCGAGAGGCGCGAGAGGCACGATAACAACGATCGGCACGTTCCTCGTCATCGGTCAGGCCTCTTCAAGCCAACCTATATCAAGTAGCTTGGCAGCCGTTCAACACATGAGGGCAATGACCAGTATTTGCGCCTCTAAAAGAGTCGATAAGAGTATATACACTATACATGCAGGAATTATATTATCTCTCTATGTGCTGGTAAGTACTAATCGTGAAGTCGTAAGGGCACCGGCGGCTGGCGTGCCACCGCTCTTCCACTTATAGTCGTTCTCGATGCAAGAGTGTCTGTGCGGCGCGAGTCATGCGAATGCCCACCGCAAAGCACATTCATCTTGCTCCGAGCTTCACCTCCTCTTGGACCTCAAGAGTCCTTCCCAGGTCAACCCGCGTTTCTCGCGTGTCGTGGTTTGGCCAGGGCGCGCGGGCTGCGCTGCCCGGACAGGCCGCGTCGGCTCCACCCAAACTGCTCTCGCTGGTGTCCGCCGACGACTCCGCCGACCACGGGACTCCTCTTCGTCGCGCGCCATGAATCTCTGCAGCATAACATCTTGACTGGGTGGAATCCGCACGTCGCTTCTCGTCCTCAATATCGGGTCGTCCTTCAACGTCTTGGGATGCAGCTCCAAAATGTCCGTCCCAGAAGATCGGCCAAGCTTGGCAGCCTCAATCATCCCTTGCAGATCCACCACCTTTGGCGTCTTCTCCGCAACATCCGTGCCCTCGCTGAGAGTAGTCTGTCCATCCTGAGAGACCTGCGATTGCATTGTCCCTCTGGTCTCTGGAGGCTTGCTGTGCACGGCTCCCATCTCCTGTTGCTGGTCGCCGTCCAGCTTCTGACGTTTGCGCGCCCGAAGTGTAGAGAAACATGAGCAGCAGCAAAGCAGCGGCCGCAACGGCTTGGTGACAAAGAGGAAGGTTCTTTTGCAGAGCCGGAAAAACGCCAGAACATATCGATCGGGAATCTGACGTATCAGTGCGCCAAGGGGGATAGTCAAGACACCAAAGAGTATGCTCCAGCCCCAATTGGCCCCGGTCAGGGGTACTGTGTTGAAGGCTTCACCTCCCTTGAATATGATGATGAACTGCCCCACCACAGTCAGGCATTGCACGCCGATGAACCACGGGTTTTTCAGGACGCCTTGGTACCAGATGTCGAGCTTGTTGTCGACCCGACGGCAGTTGTGCTGGTTGAAAAACTGCATCCAGACGTAGATGTTAAATACCAGTGTCTGCAGCCTATGCTTCTCATTTCGGGTGTCGACGTCGAAGAGATCCCAGCCAGCGTAGTGAATGGTGAAGACGACAGCGAGCTGATAAATCGCCTGTCCAAGAATCATCTTCCACATTGTGATGCTGATGATTGATGCGTTTCGGGGTTCAGGCTTGCGTTTGAGGAAGTCAGGCGAGGGGTGATCCGTGGCAAGACCGAGAGACGCAAAGATATCCATGATAAGGTTGATCCAAAGCAATTGTACAACATCGAAAATGGAGTCGCCGACAAGCTTCGAAATCACCGTAAGCGTACCGGCAGTGATGTTGATGGTGAATTGAAACTTGAGTCGTCATGGTCAGCGCCACCTTTTCTCCAAATCGTTTTGACGGCTCATCTCTTACCTGGCAGAACTTCTTGACGGCATCGTTGACGGTGCGCCCCCAGCTCAATGCTTTGACGATGGAGGCAAAGTTGTCGTCGAGAAGGATGATGGAAGCAGCCTCCTTTGCAACCTCGGTGCCTTGCATTCCCATGGCCAGACCAACATCCGCGGCCTTGAGCGCCAAGGCATCGTTGGTTCCGTCGCCTGTTACGGCGACGGTCTCTTTCATCGACCGCAAGTGAGTCACCAGCAGGAGCTTGTCCTCCGGGCTCGACCTCGCCAGCACCTGTAAGCGCGGGACCACCGCATCCAGTTGCGATGGCGACAGCTTGCGAAAGGTGGGACCATCCATGGCAATGCCACCGGCGGTAAAGATGCCGCACTCGGCAGCGATAGCCTTGGCCGTCAGGAAGTTGTCGCCCGTGACCATGCGCACAAAGACCCCGGCATCCTGGCACTTGCGGACCGACTGGATGACCTCGGGACGGAGGGGGTCGCGGATGCCAAAGACGCCAATGAATATGAGTCCCGATGCAAGCCACTCTAGGTTTACCGCGGCTGGGTCGTCGTCTGGGTTCTCAAAGATCTCAGATGCGTCAAAGTCCTTGTAAGCGATGGCAACCGGTCGCAACATGTTGTTGGCGTAGTTTGTAATGGTCTCGTTGAAGCTGGCTCTGTCGTCCGCAGTGAGGCGGGCGGCTGTGAGGACATATGTTGGATCTCCAATCAAGAAAGCGCAATATTCGAAAACAACCTCGGCGGCACCTTTGACGAGGAGGCGGTATCTACCGTTTGGCAACTTGACCAAAACAGCCATCCACTTCCGCGACGACTCAAAGGGAAGCAAGGTGACGATTGGGGTGTTGGCCCTCTCCACACTCAACAACCCCATACCGAGGTGATCACGGCTGAACTTGAGTAGCGCTGTCTCGGTACTCGAGCCGAAATAGTCGGAATCTGACGACTCGACGCTCTCAAAGGCCGTCGAATTCAGCGCGATGCTATCCTTGATCAATTCCTTGACCTCGTCGGACAATGAGGCAGCCAGCTGGACCGAAGAGTTGGGCCGGGCAGCAGCTGAGCTCGGCATAGGCTGTCCGGCCGCATTGGTAGTCGTCTCCATGTCGTCGAAGCCATCCTCGGCGCCCACGCGGCCGGCCACGATTGTCATCTTGTTTTGCGTCAGCGTGCCTGTCTTGTCGGAGCAGACACAGGTCGCATTCCCCATGATTTCGACGGAGCGAACGAGCCGAACAAGGTTATTGTCCTTGAGCATTCGCTTCGTTGCAAAGGCCAGGGCGACCGAGACATTGAGGGCAAGGCCTTCGGGGACAGTAATGACGACCACAGTGATGGAGAGGATGAGGATGTGAAAGAAGGTTTCGGCCTTGCTTGACGGGCCCTTGCTGGACATGTACTTTAAGCGCGTCAGGTAACGGATGAATAGGATGATGAAAAAGATGGTGCCAGCAGCGGCACCGAAGATGATGAGCTGCTTGCCCAGCCGGCCGAGCTTTTCTTGGAGAGGCGTGACCTGCACGTCCTCCCGCAGGGAAATGAGCGTGCGTCCGTACGTCGAATTTGCTCCAATCGACGTGACGAGGTAGCGGCCGACTCCCCGATTCACCGTCGTGCCACTCAGGATGAAGGGGTCGGCAAGGGATGCGTGCGACGCATCGTGGTCAGCAGGGACCGTCTTTTGGACCATACCGGACTCTCCTGATACGGACGACTCATCAATATGAAGGCCGGAGGCTTGGATGAGGACACCGTCAACGGCGACAACGTCACCGGCTTCGATGTGCATGACGTCGCCGACGAGGACGTCGTGTATCCATATCTTCTGGGCCCTGCCCGAACGCACAACGGTGACCTCGCGCTGCTGGTTTCGTTCATTGAGCTTCTCGAATTTGTGGTTCTGCTGCCAGTCGTTGGCGGCGGTAGCGAGAACAATGATGATGATGGCAATGACGACGGTGACTCCGTCTACCCACTCAATATTGGACGAACCAGCCTCGCCGACGGACTGGTATATGCCAATGGCGAGGGAGATGGTGGCGGAAATCGTAAGCAAGATCAGTAGCTTGTCGTTGAAAGCAATCCACATAAGCCTGAGGAAAGACTTGTGCCGCCGCCGCGGCAGCCGGTTGGTTCCAAAGATGCGCCTGCGGTCGATGAAGTGCGGGTTCGGGCTCTCTCCCAACCGCAATGCATGGTGCGCAGGCGCCGCGGCCACCGGTTCGGCTGCCCGTAACTCAGGCGTGCGGCCCTCGCGGCCGGCGGCGACGGCCTCTTCGAACACAATGGTGTCATCAAGTGTGGTCTCATCGGCACTGAGACCGGCAGCAGTGTCGGTACGGAGTCCGGCCGCGAGACCTCGCAGGCCGCCGAAAGCATCGAGGGCCGGGAGGCTTCGGAAAGTTATGAGAGTGTGTAGCTGGGCCGGGGTGAAGGCGAAGCGATTCGAAGGCGGCGGCGCGTCGTCGCGCAGGTCGGATGCTAGAGGTTTGCCATCGTGGTGGCCACGGACATGTTCGCCATGACGCTGAGGGGTTGTATTGTCGGGCGCGGGCGTGATCGAATCCATAGAGGCGAGGCCCAGTCGCCTTCGGGGATGATTCGGCGTCGACGCAGGGCGTTGGAGGTTTGTCTCGCGAGGTCGGCGGGTGAGGGCGAGGGGATGCAAGCAGAGGAAGAGCAGGTGGCAGAAGACGCCGCGCGACGGCACTGCACTCCGCGATGTCGAGGCCGGGGTTAGGATATTGGGAATCCACACGGCAGGACGTGGCAGCCGGGGTCAGAGTAGGATTGGCGGCGCTGGGTCCTCGGACTGGTCATGTCATCAAGGCAATCGAAGGTCGCGGGTTTGCACGTCAGTCTTGGCAACATGCAAGATTGGGTTGATTCATTGGGTCTCGGCCGGGGTGTTCTTGGAACCTGTCGCGGCGATGACGGCGGGCGGCGGACCGGCGCTGGTCGTCTCTCGGTCGGAATCCCAGGCACGGACAGAGATGGCCCGGGAGCGGTTCACATCGTCGGGTGGTGGACCGTGGCGTCGACACGGGGAGGCAGTGGAAGCCGCCGAGAGCTTGGTGCCACGGGGGAGAGAAGTTTGTCGGTTGGCTGACGGGCTAGGGCGACGCGGATCAGGCTTCGTGGGCGTCGCCGCTTGGCGCGCGGCGGCAACTGGCCCGTTGCGGTCGGGAGGCCCACTGTCGAGCGGTTCCTTTGGAGCCGGGCATCGCAAGTGTCTCGCCCCGGCCCAATGGGTTCGGTGGCCAAGAGCGTTGATGTACGCGGACGGTGGAGACGGTCGGCGTCGCCGATGGGGTAAGAGTGAGAGAGAGCGCGACCGTTCTCGCAGGTATTCTCCGGGCGTGGCGGGGTGGGAAGGGACCAGCCAGCCAAGCAAGCAAGCAGCAAGCCCGGTCGACAAGGCACAGTCATGAAGAAAGCCCCCCCCTGGATGGACCCGTAGTTCCAACCTTGTTGCGCAACAGGGCTGAAGTTGGCACGCCGTGACACGAGCGGCGGCCCCCAAGCCCTCCATCTGTTGTTCCTCCCGCAGCTCGCCTATCGCCTTGTGTCTCCCCGTTTTTCGTAGCGATACTGGACGGCGTCCTACCCACGGGCCTTGGCGGGGTGATTGGGGAGTCTGTGCAATGGAAGGCGCCCGTCTCGTATGTCCGTCCATGAGAGCGGCTGCGACGGGGTTCGCTGACGACCCGCCCTGGGCCGGGCGACGCCATTCCCCATGGGGGGACGCTGCAGGGCGTTGGTACGGCATTTTCCGCGCACGGGCGCCCGATGCTGCGTCGTCAATTGCCGGGCGATGACGACGTTATCGCTCGCCGCAAACATTGGCATGGCGTGTCTGCTGCGTCTCGCGTGTTGAGCCCTTGGGTACGGTGCCTGTCAGAGAACCGCAGCTTCGCGGCCACTTCCATTACCTCGGCGTTGGAATCCTAAGTTGGACGGCGGCCTGAGGAACCAACATGAAGGACAAAGACCTTGGAAAGCACGATGGCACACGCCCGCCACGGCTCCTGCCAAGTGCGTGCAAGGATGCGCACGAATGAGGCAGTTGTCCTCGGCCAGGGCCCACGTTTGCTCCTTCCCAAGAACCGCGGCACTGGCCATACTGCTGAGGGAGAGCAACAGCGGCGCTCACAGCGTTTGCCGGCCAATGCGGACGACGACCCCTGGCGAGGAGCATTGCGCGCCTCCTCGCCACGTCGTTTCCGTCCTCGTTATCGCCAGCGTACAGTCACCCCTCAACTGTCATTGCAGCACATATCGATGCTCGCGTACACCCAGTACGCTGATTCTGATGCGCCTCAGACTGCTGTCTTCCCTTGCTCACGACGGAGACGTGAGCTGGCCCGACCTTCGTCGAGCCGAGGACGATGCTTCGTTTCGACAGGCGCTCACGACGAATGCACACAAGCCTCCATCGTCTAGCTGGTGCCAGGTCAAATAGGGAGCGGTAGGCGAGCCGACGGCACGGCTGGATTAGTATTCATCGCTCTGCGCGCTGCACACACGCCACCCGGCTGCAGCATCAGAGACATGGTGCACAGTCTCGTGCGCCATCGGCCATTTATGCGCGTTCCCGCCTTACCCCGGGTTCAGATAGCTGGGACCTTGTGTGACTGCACTCGCTCGTCTAAACAAGCAAGCCGATTCGACCCTTCGAGGGGCTGACATGCCTGGTGCGCGGGGCTTAGTTTCAACACCACGCACAGAGTGCATGGTTGCGGGAGTCAACTCGCCATGCTCGGCTGAGCGTGTCATCCACGCTCACCACATCTATATAACAAAGAGCAGCAAACCGCGATGCAATTCCATTGTCGTTGCTAAGCACCAGCATGGCTAGCCATGACATGATGCCGTCGGCACCCCTTTCCCACTCAAGATGCGCTTCGTTTGCTCCCTCGCCCTTTTGCTACCGTCATTGGGGCTACCTCGGGCGCTTTCCCAAACAGTGACTGGCAAGATAGCACCCCGCGTCGTAATTGTCTCCATGGTATTCTTGTCCCAGATACTCAAGTCTCGCAGGTTAACTGTCCCATGACTGACCGCGGCACAGTGGGCTCCAGAAGCACAGGTTTGGTACAAGCGATTTCCTGAATCAAACCTCGGCAATCTCACCGCACACTCTGTTCCGCTCCCTGGCCTTTCCATGCTGTTTCCGCACGTCTTTTGTGCCGACGACTTTCGGGTGTGCCAAGTCACGTTAGGCGAGGGCGAGATCAATGCCGCCGCCTCTATGATGGCTCTCGTCCTGTCGCATAGGTTTGACCTTCGCCAGACATATTTCCTTTTATCGGGAATAGCAGGTGTCAATCCAAAATATGCAACGATCGGAAGCGTTGCTCTGGCCCGATTTGCCGTCCAAGTGGCCCTACAGTACGAGATTGATCCACGGTCCTTGCCAGTCGACTGGCCTACAGGATATATCTCGTACGGACGTGACCAGCCGCTCGAGTACCCGGCCATTACGTACGGTACCGAAGTGTTCGAGCTCAACAACAATCTACGAGAAGCGGCCTTCAATCTCGCTTCAATGGCCGTACTTGCGGATGCCGAGACCTCGCGGCAATATCGCGGAAGATACGGCGGCAGCGTTGGTGACTTCCCCGAGGCTTCGCGTCCGCCAAGCGTTGTCAGGTGTGACATGGCAACTAGCGATGTTTACTACTCGGGAACGAAGCTGGCCCAGGCATTCGCAAACACCACCAGTATCTGGACTAACGGGACCGGCACCTATTGCATGAGCGCACAGGAAGAAAACGCAACCCTAGAGGTTTTGGTCCGGGCAACAGTGGAAAACCTGGCAGAGTTTTCGAGGGTGATTGTTATGAGGGCAGGTATGTCGTCCCTTGCCTTTGAAGTTGAATCAATCAAGTGGAATTGGGAGTCGAGGTTGATCTCTGCTCCAAGGCTCGAATTTCGATCGCCCTCCGCCGGGGGTGTCGGACCTGCAACATCTCACCAACGCAGACCAGAACGGTTTCAGCATTGCCATCAACAATACCTTCACAGCTGGCATTGAGATTGTCAAAGGCATCGTCAGGGGATGGAACTGTACGTTTCGCCAAGGCATCTCCCCGACAAACTACATCGGGGACATATTCGGTAGCCTTGGCGGGAACCCGGATTTCGGACTCGGAAGCCTGACAGGAGGTCGACCTGCAGCCCCTGCAGGCCAAAGTGGCGACTTGGCTAAGCTGGAGATGGACCGGCGTGGGCGCTTCGGGCTGCGAGCTCTGATAAAGTCGTAGGTCTGATACTCGGCGGCGGACGACACACTCGACTGGACACAGGACAGACTCCGCCTCTCAAGATCCAATTGTGGCTTGTTACTTGCACTGCATGCACATCGACTTAGTTTCACGTGCAGGTCAGTTAGTTGAAGCTATTTATATCTTCGCCAGAGTCTTCCCGCTCTTGTTCACCAGTCTCAGTGGCAGCTTCCTCGCGCGAACTGCAACCTTGTTGACGGTGCCATCGTTGGCCCATGAAAAGTCAACGCAGCCGCCGCCCCTGAGCCGCAGCCCCTTGACGCTGCCGCCAGCCCATTCCTGGGGGATCGCCGGACCCAGAAGGACAGTCTGGACGCTGTCGTCTCCCCACGCCTGCGGCAGGTCGGTGGCGAGCATGGCGAGAGCTGCAGCCGACTGCCCAAAGTTGGCGTCGATTTGAAAGGGCAACGCCAGCTCGACAGGCTTGCCATCGCTACCGTCCGTGGTGTAGACGGACAAGGCATTGGGAGCAAAGTTTGCGTCGATGGTGTACTTGAACTCCTTGTATGCCTCGTCCACGACACCCAGGCGGCCCCAGCACGCGGCGCGCAGTGTCTTCTCCCATCCCGTGTTGGAGTCAGCCGTGCCATTGCCGCGCGAATACAGCGAGGTGGCAACGGCATCGACGATGGTCTTGTTCTTGCCGTGCACGCCGGAGATGACATAGCCGGGGAACCAGCCGTTGAGGTGGGAGAGATGCCGATGTGTGTTGTTCTTTTCGTCAATGTCGAGCTTCCACTCTGAAGCCGGCTAGGTCAGGACTTGTAAGGGTATGCTAGGGTGTGGGGATGAATATACCTTGAATCTGGCCCCAGTTACCAACTCGAACTCCCTGATCAAGGTCTGCAAATGCAGCCTTGACTCGGGCTAGAAACTTGGTGTCGGCGTCTCCTGACGCATTCCAGTCTCTGATGATGTGGTCGAAGAGCTCCCAAATGACTTGTTGAAACTGAGCACAGCCGAATGTCTACAAGAAGGCGTCAGCATGTTCCCCATAACTCTGCGGCCATCAATAAGCAATCTGCAGTGCGCCTTACCGTCGGGCCTTGCTCTGGCGAGTTACAAGGGTTGGCAACCAGCGTGCCGTCCTTGAAGTACTGATCCTGGACCAGCACATCGAGCCAAAACTCGGCAACGCCTTTCATAAGAGGGTAGCCCACCGACTTGTACCACGCCTTGTCGCGGCTGTAGTCGTATCTATCCCAAACAGTGGCCACTTCATACGGTCAGGACGTGGGCTATCAGTATGCGCGATGAATCGGGGCAACGTACTCATCCAGGCTGGGTCATGGTGGAGGTCGGACCAAGTAGCGTCGTTGCCCTGGCTATATAGTTGTGAGCTTTGAATCATTGCCGGGTTGTCCAATTCACTTGGACTCACGCTGTGTGGCCAAAGATGTTTAGGTTGGTAAAGGCAACCCAACCACTGGCATTGTACCACAGCTTGGCGCTTTCCGTGCCTCGAGGCACCCAGGTATCAGTCATAAAGTCCCACAGCGGGCTCATAAGGTCTCCAAGACCCATTTGCTCCGCATGCCAGTTGTTCCTGTTTAAGAAATTAGATCCCTGTGCGTACCTAGGCCGGTGGGTAGGAGCTTACATCTGGACGTTTACGTCGATGTGGTAGTCTGAACTCCAAGCTGGGTTGACTGAAGGAGCCCATTTGCCCTGTAGGTTCGGCGGCAGGCTTCCAGGGCGCGACGACGCAATGTACATATATTTTCCGTAATCAACGATCAAGTTTTCGACAAAAGGGTCGCCTTTGTCGGTGGTATACTCGGTAAGCAGCTTCGCCGTATCAACATCGGCGGACTTGTTCGGGTCCGGTAGGTCGAGAGCGAATAAGTTGTACCACTCTTGATGATCCCTGATGTGGTCCTTGAGCAGGCTGTCGTAGGTCCGTTTGGATGCCTTCTTGATTGTGTCGATGACCTCTGGGTAAGGCTGCTCGCCGCGGAACGAGTACTTGTTCTCTGCGTTGCCCCGTTTCGGGTCGTACTCTGTGCCCGTCGCAAGAACAAATATCACCGACTTTGTGTGGCCCCCCCGGACGACCATCTTGCCATCCTTTGTGCAAGATCCGCGTACACCGGAGCCTATTGCCTGCACCTGAGCGTCAAATTTCATGCCAATCTCGCCCATTCCCTGGTTTGCCGCGGTGCGGCCACTGAGGTGGACGCCATCGCTCGAGCAAGTGGATTGAGAGGCGGGTGACGTGCGGTAGTCGTCGATGATGCCGACTGTCACATCTGGGAGAGGTTTGTTGGAGGCGATGCGGTACACACAGACGTGGTCGGGGTATGAACAGAACTGCGTTCTTGACGTCGGAGTCAGCGACAGCCGATCTTGGCGGGTTGCTTATACGTACGTAGAATAGTCTGCCCCGTTGGCGGTGTAAGTCACTGTGTGCACTGCGGTCTCGAGATCAAGCGAGCGTTTGTATTTGCTGACGTGGGATTTGTCTACACCTTCAATGGCGACGGTGAGGTTTGCGAGCATCTCGTACGAGCCATAGTCGGCAGTGCTGCCATACAGGGCGCTTTCGTCTGTAATACGTCATTAATCACCCGTTTCGTGCAGACCAGAGCCGAATAACTTGCCTCCAGTACCGTCCTTGAAGATGGCTTTTTGGATACCAGGAACGAAGTGTGCCAGGGATTCTGTCGGATTGCCGCCAGCATAGCTCTGCCAACGGCGTCAGATCTCATCTCGTTTTAGTCTTTTGTCAAGGCGCCTTACGGAGTTGGCAAAAGGACCTCCTCGCCATAGACTGTCGTGGTTCAAAAAGACGATATCATCTCCAGGGACGCCCAAGGGCAAACCTAAAATGAAACGCTTCCGTTAGAATCGGAGAAAGTTGGATTCAATGCCACGTACCAGCTTGTTTGCCGTTGCCGATCGTGTAAGCTGTCATCAAGACATTATCGACGTTTGCTGGTGTCGCTGTCCAGAGCTTTCTCGCCTGGACGGCAATAGGTAGGCCTAGACCCCATGTTGCAATAGTGGCTGCCGTCTTCATGGTGACAATTGAGACTCAGACAGTTCCACTTGTTGTTCCTGCTGTGAATCACATATCGCGGCGTCGTCGCATTGCTTAAGTAGTCGCGCGAACTTGTACGTCAAGCCGCATTGGCATAGGCCAATGCTACCCAGCATAGAGCCAAGTGTCGGCCGCATTGCATTGCGAAAAGCCGAAGACACGAATCAGAGGCTGCAAACGCCCGAAAACAGCTCCCTCAGTCAATGTCCGTCGGGTATTTTGACGATTATCTACTTACCGTTTTGGGACGGAATGCGGAGAAGCTCTGGCGATCTTTGGTCTTTGTCGAAGTGCGGAGACGCGCAAGCAAGTTCACCTAGGAATTAAGTCCACATTCAACAGGCATGATCGCTCCTCAAGCGATCATGGGGCAGGGCTTGAGCAGGAAGTCGGCGTCGATCTACATGCTTCTTCTTTGCACTCAATCGTGGACAGTTCAGCATGTTCCCCCTTCAGATGCTTCAGAGCTAGAGCCGAGAACCAACGGCTGCGATCGCACATCTGCGCTTCGAGTGTCGCCTCCGCATTGACGTCCGGGATCCGGCTGCCGGTGGATAATAGCCGGGAAGATAATCGGAGCTTCACCCGGCGAATCCACTCCTACTCCTTGCACATCTGGTCAGTCTTTTGTCCACACTCTACGAGTATACTCCCAGTCGAGGTAGCCCATGTCCACTGCAACGGCAGACTTGCGGCGCCAAATGAAACGGGCGTCCAAAGCTTGCGTCTGCTGCCGGGCGCGCAAAGTTCGCTGCGACGTGCTGCAGACTGGTCTCCCCTGTACCAAGTGCAGAGCCGACGGCTTCGATTGCAGCGTCCGCGAGAGAAAGAAACGACGCAGAAAGGCGGAAGCAGGTGGCACCTCTTCCTCAGCTATTCCCAATACTATCCCCGGCTCTGGCTCACTTCCGCATCATGTCGCACTTCACCAAATACCTCACTACCCCTTTTTCCGAGACTTCAACAACGGAAACGACCGTGCGAGCCGTATCAGGCCTAAAGGTCAATCGATCCGCCTGCCTCCATCCATTTGCTGCGAATCTAGCGACCGCGAGAGCGATGACCTCCAGTTCCTCAGGCACAGGGGAGCATTGGACTTGCCGCCCAGGCCGTTCCTCGAGGAGTTTGTTTCCACTTATTTTACAGTCTTTCACCCCTTCTTTCCCATCGTTGACAAGCCGGCCTTCCTGAAGCAATACCGGGAGAGCGATGAGGTGGCAATTCTGAGCGGTCGTGGCCCAAGTCTTCTACTCCTGCAGGCCATTGTTTTTACCGCAAGTGCCGTAAGTTTATGGGTCGATTTGGCATTTTACCACTGCCGACTTACCTTTGCCTTGTTGCAGTCGGTGCAGAACGAGGTACTGGATCAACTCAATTTTCCTTCCCGGAAGCAAGCGAGAAAGGTGTTGCACAGGCGAATTCGTGTAAGTAGCGGGAGCCGTGACCCTTTCTATTGATCCATCTTCGGCCGTGGCCACGTTCAAAGGAATAACATTCGACAACTCTCGAACAAGTATCTGTACGACTTCGACTATGAACACGATGGCATCACAACTATACAGGCTCTCCTCCTAATGAGCCACTACTATCCGTCCATGGTCGAACAGAAGCACACCTGGTTTTGGGCGCAACAGGCCACTGGTCTCGCGCAAGGTGCCGGTCTTCACCGTGATCCCGGGCCAGTTCCACAGCGGAAACTCTGGGCGCGTATCTGGTGGGCGTGCCTCTGTCGAGACAGACTCATAGCACTAGGGACCGGTCGCCCAATGCACATCAACAGCCTCGACTGCAGTGTTCCCATGCTCACGACCGCGGACTTGGCGGAGGAAGGTGACGACGACAATGATCGGCAAGTCAAAGCCATCTTCATCGAGTTTGCGAGGTTGTGCCAGTACATGGAGGGCGTGCTATCTCTCCCGAATAATGTGACGGCCGCAGCCAACTCCCTACCGGACCAAATTGCCCTATGTGAGACCACCCTCGACCGCTGGCTTGAAAACCTCGTCCCAGAGGCACAAAGGCGAGATGCGAGAGAGACGCGTGACACCTGCGCTCTGTACAGGGCCGTGTTGCACATGATCTATAAGTACGAACCCCTTCCCTAATCCTCTTCCTGTCCGGAGATGGCTCCATGAGCTTACCGTGGCCGGTCACTGGTGGCTGATGGTTCTTTAGTATCGTCGTGATTACACTACACCAGTCGTATAAGGTTCTCGGTGAGACTAGAACGCAGGTGCCGCTGCCAAGAGTGCAGGCAGCGGCGGAGGACTCGACGGGTTTGGCCATGGACCTGATCCAGCTCGATCTCGTGATGCTGAGTCCGACTATTTGGTACGATGTCTAGCGTTCTTGGGTCTCTTGGTCAACTAAATTGGCAAATCTCTAATCACCTATCACAGTGTTACGGCGATTCTGCCGCCTTTAATCATACACCTCCTCTGTCTACGCTTCAATTCTCAGAGATCCACTGGGCCGCCAGACACATACCATTACGACAATTGCATGGCGTTTCTCCAGCAGCTTGGAGACATTTATTGGCATGCGAGCTTTTATCATGAGTTCTTCGAACTAGCTGCGTCTCCCCAAGGACAGCCCAATTCCACGAGAGACCACGACCCGCTGGTCGCGTTTCTGAGCGACAACTTGCCAGCAAAGCTTCCTTCCAGCAACCGACCAACAGAGCCGCATGTGCGAGAAGAGGGTAGTGTTGTATCGAAGGTATCCAAAGATGGGGCTGCCAATGCGGCCCATCATGTCGCCTCAGAATCACACCTCACGGTAACAGACGCGGCTTCTGGCGCTCCACCGACAGGTGATACGTCGGCTTCAGAGGACGGAAATGGCGATTTTCTGGGTTATCTGGCTGGGCCATTCGAAGACTGGCTGGAAGACCTGGGATACTTTCACAACAGCTTCCCCTCGGCTTGATACATCGCCTTTTCATACAAGGCAACGTATGTATGTATAAACTATCACTATACGGGTCTACATCTATGATTAAGATCTACAACTCTGGGCCATTGCGGATTGCCAGGCCCTCGTCGCTGTTCCAGAAGCTGCCGTCGGGAAAGCTGTACTGGGCGATTGCTTCCGGGGTGTACTCGACACTGTACCCGGCCTCATACGGGGTGACAAAGTGGCCATCCTTGGTTTGCGAGGGCTGCGTGAGTACCTGACTAAACGAGTTTATGTGCTCCAGGAGGCTCTTCTCTCCAGAGACGCAGAGATAATTGATGAGCGCCAGATGCTGCGTATACTCGTTGAGCCCGATGCCGCCGCTGTGTGGTACGATAGGTATGTTGAATCTGCGCATTGTTAGCATCTGTTGACTAACACTGAAAGCTGCGGGCGCTCACTTCTTGGCCATGAGAAGCACTGCGAGGACCTCGTTCACGCCGCCCAGTCGGCAAGCGTCGATCTGGCAGTAGTCGATGGAACCTGCTTGAAGGAGTTGCTTGAACATGACGCGGTTCTGGCAATGCTCCCCGGTCGCTACCCCAACGCCATGAGGCTTCAGCGCCTTTCTAATGGCAGCATGGCCTAGGATATCGTCCGGTGATGTTGGCTCTTCGATGAACCTGCCATTAAGGCACGTTAGACGCTGTGCTGCAGGTTTCGTTTGAGACATACTTGACACTTACACTGGCTTGAACTCTACGAGCTGTAGCATGTACTCGATAGCGTCGGGCACACTCCATACCTGATTGGCATCGACCATGAGCATCCGGTCATACCCTATGATGTCGCGAGCAATCTTTAGGCGACGTTTATCGTCATCCAGGTTTCCGCCAACTTTGAACTTGAACTTGTCCATGCCGACATCGATATTGGACTGGATGAGCTGAACCATCTTGTCATCGGTGAAGCCCAGCCAGCCGGCCTGCGTCGTGTATGCCGGAACGGCTCGGTTGCGCTTGGCTTCGTCCAACCTCGACGACTTGGTCTTTTCATTCTCCCGTAATAGGCCGACGGCTTCTTGAGGGCTAATAGCGTCGAGTATGTAGCGAAAGTCGATGCAATCGACAAACTCCTCGGGCGTCATATCAGACACCAGCTTCCAGACGGGCTTGTTGAGGAACCTGGCCCAGAGATCCCAGAGAGCATTGACGCACGCGCTCAGGCCAAGGTGGACGACTCCCTTCTCGGGACCGACCCAACGCAGCTGCGAGTCGGAAACGAGATGGCGCCAGGTCTTGCCCATGTTGGCAGTCAGGTCGCCGAGGGAGCGGCCGACGAGGCGCTGGGCGATCATCCTGGCCGCCTCGACGCAGAGGTTGTTTCCGCGTCCGATGGTGAAGGAGAAGCCGTGGCCGTGCAGGCTGGTATTGGTCTTGAGTATGAGATAGGCGGCGCTGTAGTTGGGTCCTGGGTTCATGGCGTCGGACCCCGACAGGTCGAGGCTGGTCGGGAAGCGGAGATCTGTTGGCAAAGTTAGTCAGACAAACGGCAGTGAGAAATAGGAAGGGGGGTCTCACCGTGAGCTTCGAAGCCTATGATTTGGACGTCGGAGATGGACACGTCGGCCCGGCCATGGCCATTTGCGTCTGTTCTCGACGGTGCCATTGTGGTGTGTCCTCGGGGGGTTTGTGACGGAGGGTCTTCAGAATACTGAAAGGAACAGGTACGCATATGCAGTTTTGCATCTCCAGGAGGGGTGGATTGCGTGCAAGCAAGATATAGTTCAGCTATTGCTCAGCCAGCAACGCACATCGCCGTCTGCGTGTGTGAGGCGCGCCACGCCGCTCGCGACTTACACAACGACCAATAGGAGCATTTTGGTCGGCTCTTCGGCAGTACACGCATCGGCGTGTGAGAACCTGATCCCCTGGAGAAATAGCGCCGGACAATCGAGGAAGCTGGCTGGATGACAGAGGCATGGCCAAGGGCGGGCAGGGGGAATCATCATTTGCTCCCCAGGACAATTAGCCGTCGCCTATTTCGACACAGTGGGGACGACATCGACGGCCAAAGGGAGTCAATAAGAGGCCTCGTTACTTCGCACTTTACGCTGTATCATTACTTGTATGGGTCGTATGGCACTTACACAACGCCTCCAAGCAACCCCCGCACCTCGTCCGAACCCGCGGGGATGGCACCGGCTCCGCAACACGAAGCCCACAGTCCGGGGCCGTCGCGCGTGGCTTTGCCCCAGGTCAGCCAACTGGAGGCCGTCCGTCGGCTCTTCGGCTCTATCCACGACCGGCAGTCCTGTGCGTGGTGTATTCCGGGGGGAGCACATTGACGACAGACCGTCGCGCTTAAAAAGAAGAGAATATTCACAATGGAGACTGTCGCGCAGCTGGAGAGTCAAAGGATCGTCTCTGTCGTCCTCTATCTGTCGAAATGAGAAAGGTGCGAATCCCCCCGGATCGGTAGAGTCTGTGCTCCCTAACGGCCCCTGATTCGCAGCAAGTCTATCTCTACGGCATCGCGCCGTGCACCGGTGGACTGGCATTTGGCTATGTAGGCACATCCCGCGGTTTGATTGAAGACGAGTAGTGGGAGAAGACTGGACTGACATCTGCCCAGGACACTGGATCAATGAGCAAGTCTCGAGTCATACCCGGCGGGACGCCTCAGCTATTAACTCGCTCCGTGCAGGCGGCATTCTCGCCATGCCCCAGTTTCTTGAATACTTCAACCACCCGAGCAACTTTCTCCAGGGCGGCATCACTGCCTCGATCCTCGCCGGCGCCTTTGCGGGCTCGCTCCTGACGGGCGCCTTTCTCGCCGATCGCCTCGGCCGCCGGTACACCATCCTCCTCGGCTCTGCCGTCTTCACCATCGGCTGCGCCATATCCTGCGCCGCCAACAATGTCGAGGCTCTCATCGCTGGTCGTGTCATCAACGGTCTGGGCAACGGCTGCCTGACCATGATGGTGCGTCGCCCTCGTCCCTCTGTTGTCTATGTCTTGGAGCTAAAGCAAGTGCTGCACAGGTGACCATGTACCAGAGTGAAGTCGCACCTCGCGAGTATGCAAGATTCCTCCTAGTTTCTGCACTCCTCGAGGTGCTCTGTTGACATTGGGCATCTCACTAGAATACGAGGTCGAATCATAAGCTTCTTCCAGTGCTTCGTCAACTTTGGCATCCTCATCGCCTTTTGGATCCAGTACGGCACAAGCCACATCCAGGGCGACGCTTCGTGGAGGCTTCCCATGGGTCTCCAGATGTTTGTGAGCGCTCTCACTTCTGCGTCGTTTTTCGCGCCTCTCTGGAACAAGCGTCCTCACACACACCCAGGCTACTGTCGCGCTGCACATCACCATGTGGTTCATGCCCGAGTCCCCGAGGTGGCTGATCCAAAAGGACCGCCAAGCCGAAGCCCTCGCGGTGCTCGCACAGGTGCACGCGGCAGGCGATGTCAACGACCCTTACGTGCAGGCCGAGTTCGCCGAGATTGTCGCCAAGATCACGTTTGAGAAGACGCATCCGGCCCCGAGCTATTTCGACCTGCTCATCGGCAAACAAAAGAGGCGCATGTGGATCGGCATTGGAGTGGTGAGCTCCTCCTCGCTCCATGTCAGGGGTCTTGACAAGGACGCGCTCTGACATTTACCTCCAGCAATTCTGGCAGTCCATGACGGGCATCAACGTGTAGGTATTGTTTTCACGGTTGAGTCGCTTGCTAACCATTGTCTGCCCAGCATCATGTACTACGCCGTCTTTCTCTTCCAACAAGCCGGCATCAGCGAGACGTCGTCTTCGCTCCTCGCCAACGGTCTGCAGGGCGTGGTGCTCAATCTCTTCACATTCCCAAACATGTACTACATGGATAAATGGGGTAGGAGGTGGCCCATGATCATTGGCGGTGTCGGCATGGGAATCTCCATGCTGATCATTGGGGTCGTCATGAAGACCGCTGGTACGCATTTTAATCGCCACGCCCCGTCCTTGGTCGCGCGTCTAAAACCCCCCCTCTCGCAAAGGAAACCCCGTCTACGACTCCGTCACCAAGAAGACAAATTTCGACTTTGCCTCACCAGCAGCATCACAGGCTGTCATTGCCTTTGTCTACATCTACGTCGCCGTCTTTGCCATCACCTGGGCGTGTGTGGCGTGGGTGTATCCGCCCGAGATATTCTCCATGAGCATGCGTGGTCGGGCCACGTCCATGACGACAGCCACCAACTGGATCATTGTATGTCCTAAGTCTGGTCCGATGCCTGTGCGAGGAGGGCCTTGAGCTCATTGTGAACAGAACTTTTGGTTCGCCCTATACATCCCAACGGCAATGAAGGAGATCAGGTAATGCTGCGCCCCTTGGCTGGCGATGTTCCTCATTCCTTCAGCACTGACAAGCCGTGTATAGCTGGAAGCTGTACATGATCTTCATGAGCCTTTGCTTCCTCATGTCCATTGTCGTCTTCCTTTTCTACCCGGTATCACCCCTAGCCACCCTACTTACCCCTGGCGACGCGAGCTTACAGTCGGCTGCAGGAATCCGCCGGTAAGACGCTCGAAGAGATGGACTTCTTGTTCGCCAAAGGCCGCACTCCCTTCACATTCCTCGATCGAGACGCAATCAGAATCGGCGCGCTATTCGAACGCGACTTGGCCCATGGCGAGGCCTTGACCGCCTTTGACATGGAGAATCTAGACGCAAAGTTGGCCTCGGTAGAACCCGCTGCGGGACACGTCGAGAAAGTGGTTCAGCATCGTCTCCAACAAACTGCAGACCAAGGACCAAAGGAATGACGCGTCCGGGTACCCGTGACGAGACGGTGCCGGGACACTTAGGTCGTGCGGGCCCCGAAGACTGCAAATGCCAGTCATGCATAGGCAATGCTAAGAAGGGCCAAGCCACTCCGTACCGGGTCTCCAGGAATAGGAAAACGGCTAGCCGTACCGAGACCAAAAGCACGTCTTTCCCTAGAGCGACTGACTAGAAGAATACTCCGTTGCGTCTCGTATCTAGCATGAGTTAGTGACGAGTGGCCTTGATCCTCGATGAAGGCACCTACCTCTTCGTGATTCATCCGAGCAACATCATGACAGAGATTTCGTCGTCTTCGTAGATCGGCATGAACTCTGCCGTTGTTCTGCTTGTTGCTGCTCATTGCATCTGGTCTGCTTCACGCACGGCCCAGTGTCGGGACTCTTCTTGTTCGCATAAACCAGGTCGCCAGAAATCCTACCAGTCGGCCCAGTCATCTCCAGGAACGGCAACGCAAAGAGCATTCCACTTTTGCGCTAGCCAGAGGACAGCAAAGTGAAACGCCAGCAGAATCATGCTTGTGCCGAGGCCAGCTGATGGGATATGGGTCGAAACCAAGTCCCCCGTTTGTGAATCTCTGCGAGCCCCGCCAGCGGAAGTGATGGTTGGCAATCCCAGGTCGAGGGCCGCCACGACGACCAGGGGTATGCTTACTTCAAGACTGGCAACATACGGCCAGCATGGGCGCCCTAAAGTTACCATCTTCAGGAGGAAAAGTCCCAGACGACCAATGTAGCTCACGAACTCGGGTCTGATGCCGACAATGCCAAGCATGCGCTCGAACATTACCACTGTTTGGTATCGAACCTCTTCCGCCCGGGTCCGGGGAGGCGCCAGCAACAGTGGTGGCGAAAGCGGGCCGCTGCTATCTACCATCGAGTGAGAATCGTGGTCAGGCCTCGGCGCAAAGTCGATGCTGTCAGGAGCCGCGGCCGAGCTGGCGTTGCGGTGCTGAGCAAGGCCAGGTGGTGGCACCCGGTCCGACTCCCGTTCTGTGGCCTTGCGCCAGGCGCTCGCCTCGTCGTTGGAACTGCCGTTGCTATAAGACCGCTCCTTGCGAGGATCTGTGACTCTTGTCAGACTACGAATAGTGAGTTTTGAGACGCTGAAAGCTCCAGCTTACCTGGCACTGGTGTCCCCGAGGAGACGGGCGAGTCAAGATTCTGGACGCGAATGCCTCGTAGAGGACTCGAGTTGGGGGTCCTGTCTCCCCTGGTGATACCATCAAAGTTCGTCTCGCTCCTCATGGCAGTCAATACCTCATTTGCGCTCGGCCGCTCAGCGGGGTCCAGTGACAGCAACTTCTTAAGAAGCTTGTATAGTCTTGGTGGCAGGTCGGGGCGCTCGCGGCGCTCGTCCTGGAAACCCTTCCAGTCCATGATTTCGTCACGGAGTTGGTCAATGTCCTCCAACTCCTCCTGGATGGCATTGGCTCCGTGGTAGGGAAGGCGGCCGAAGCACATGAAGTAGAGAATCATGCCCAAGGAGAACATGTCTGATTTTGTGGTAAAGTTGCCGTATTGGCCGGTAGCATCCATCTTGAGGACTTCCGGGGCGCAATAGGAGATTGTACCGGTGGAGCCAGTAGACTTGCGAACGACATTCTCGGGCTGCACTTCTCCAAAGTCGCTGATGAGGCATGTCATCTTGCCACCTTCCTTGTGCAGCAGGCAATTGCTGGGTTTGAGGTCGCGATGGATGTAGTTGGCGGCATGGAGATAGGCGACCCCCGAGGTGACGTCCTTGAAAAGGGAGTAGATGTCCTCGAACGACAGCTGCGGCCTGCTGTTGAGGAGATTGCGAGGCAGCTCGGCCTGGCCCTTGGAGCGACGCCGCATCTGGGCCTTGAGCTCCTCCTTGGTGGCCTCTCTGGGGGCGCCTCCCACAACGTACTGGTGGAGGTCACCGCTGTTGCAGTACTGCTGAAGAATAAAGGCACAGGCGACGCTGGGACCAAACCGGGTGAGCTGAACGTCCTCGAGCCAGACGTGACGGTACGACACGAGGTTCGGATGCGACAGCTTGGCGAGCAGCTCGACCTCAATGAGAACCTTTTCGAGCCAGGCGTGGTCGTCGCCGACGGGAACGCGTTTGCAGGCGAAATGGCCGAGCTGACATCCGTCGATTTCGTGCCGGACGAGCAGGACAACGCCTTTGCCTCCACGGCCGAGGACGGTTTCCTCAACGAAGAAGGTCTTGAAGTAGTTGGGGCTGAAGGCTTCGCGGCGGATTCTGCTGCCCTCAGCCTGGCCCACGCCTGGAGCGCTAGAGAGGAACTCGGCGTCGTCACCGACGGACTCGGCGGCCGGCGTCGAGTGCCTGGAGTGGTCGCTCACAAGGGCGGGCTGGGCAAGCCGCCGGACCGGACTGGGAGGGCCGTTTGCGCCGTGGAAGCTGTGGTTTCCGGCGCGGAGCATGCGAAAGTAGTCGGGATTGACATATTCATGATTCATGTCATACTGCCGGTCAAAGGAGCGCTCGGGAGAGGCGGCACGGCCAAGTGGCTGGTGGCATGTCGGGCATTCGGTACGGCGGATCTCGAGGCGCTGGGAATCGGGGTCTCGGACGACGAGGGAGCTGTGGTGGCGGCTTGCGTGGTAGAGATGTGTTAGCTGACCAGCCGCGTGCTGTGGGATCCGATGCGTTTTATTCGCGGGCGACTGTATCTTACAGGACAATCTCACGACCCTCACGAGGATGATAAGGGATCAGCGACATTGCGGGAGCGGGAGCGGCGCGGAAGGGCGGGACATGGCGAGCGAGCGTTTGCCCGGCTGTGATGGTTGGACGAGCCGCCCGTCGCGATCTGAGGCGGTGCGGTGCGGTGCGGTGCGAAGCAGAGCGCGGACGGTCGAGACTGCTGGCCGAGGCTGCTTGTGGGCAAGGCAGACGGTCGCGCTCGAGATGGGGTGCGGGAGTGGCGGTTGAGGAAGGGCGACGGGATCGAGTCGAGGAAGTTGGCCTAGGCCCGTCTCCCTCTCGGCAGCCGCCGTGAAGCTACTATACTCGGAGGAGGGGAGGCGGAGATGATGGAGGACGCAGACGGCCTGGGGCTGCAGGGAAAGACTGGGAGCTCGAATAACGATGCATGAAGTAAGTTACCTCAGCACAGGTATCCATGTGCGCAGCGGCGCAATGAGAGGAGGTGCAACCGCCATTAGCTCGTGGAGGGGTGCTTGCATCTGGTGGCGGCATCTGGTGGCAGCTGCACGCGCTAGGTAACGTTATTAGGTACGCAGTGAGTGGCTACGCGGTACGTCACGCAGTCGGGGATGGAGCCCTGGAGCTCTCGAGCTCGAGCTCTCAGGCCAATGGATGGCGCCTGCCGACCGCGGGATGAAATAGATGCAGCAATGGAACCCAGTGGAAGCGCGCCTCAGGTGCCGATGGGATAGGTAGTGGGAGCCCCTGGAGGCGGCCGCTCGGCCCACTGAAGAAGAACTTGGAAGCTGCAGCGTCCAACCCGCCCGGGCTACTACAGGTACCTAGCAGAGGCACCTGGAGGTCATCAGAACGGGATGCAGGCAATCTCGCCCTCTAATAATCCATGATGGTGCCCGCATGATTGAGCCTCCAGCCATTGCCCCTCCATCCGTTACAACCTTGGAAAGCTGCAGGCAACCTCGTGCCCCGCCCCAGGTCTCCCTCCAACTGGCCGCGCACATCTGTCTGCGCACGCCTCCCCCGAGCCACAACCAAACGAACTGCGAGCGACGCCTGTTCCAAGCCCAGGCCTGGCGATAATATAATTACCTTCGTACCTCAGTAGCGCAGAGCATGGGCGCTTCTGCATAAACCACCACTGCAGCCCCGGCATTGATCGTCGCAAACGAGGTCTCCCGGCTTGCAAAGGCAATGCCCTCATGCTCACTCATTCACACTCGTCATCAGCCGCCGCCGCTCACTCGTTGCCCCCACGGCCCTGAGCCACCTATGGACGAGCTCCGCCAGGCATGCGACCGCTGCCATGACAAGAAACTGAGATGCCCCAAGATGCCCGGGTCGCCCAGTTGCGGCCGCTGCGAGAAAGCCCGCGTCCCCTGCGTCTTCAGCCCCCCCACGCGGCCGCTCCGAGCATCCGTCCACCCAGCCCTGCTCGACTGGGCGCTGTTCCAGGACCCGGAACCGCCTTGCATCCCAAATGAGCTGAATGGAGCTTGTCAAGACAGTCTCCCGTCTCTCTCAACGGCCCTTGCTCCGCCAACCGAGACCACGAGGCTTGCGGAGCTGCTGGTGGCTCTCGACCGCATCTGGCGCTTCTTCTCGGCGGAAAAGCTGCACGACCTCCAAGGCCAGCTGCAGGCACGCGCCGACCTAGTCGGAGGGGATACCGACTTGCGGCGTGCCTTGGAGGAGCTGCTCAGCCATGCCCAGACATTGTCCGGGTTGTACGTCGACGTCTTCCGTCTTGTGGCTACCGCCGACGTGGGCGGCCCCGAGGCTCCTCGAGCTCAGGCACCGCACCCTCCGCTTGATCACGCGACGCTCAATGTCCTCGTCGCCACCCATCTCCGCTACCTGGACGTCCTCGACTGCCTGGTAGTGTTTGCTCGGGTATGCGCCAGCATGGCACCATTGTTGCCAACCGACTACGACCCCGATTTCGATGTGCCCGAGATTCGCGTCGGCTCCTTTGTCGCGCCGAAAAGTGCGGCCGCGTCCATCTTCATCTCCATGCTCGTCGACCTTCAGATCCTTTTGCTGGAGAGAAGTCGGAAACTACAGGGCTCGCTACCGCTGACTGGCCCGGATGCCTCGAGGGAAGTCGAGATACTACGCCTCCAGATGGAAAGCCTGACGGACCGTGCCGACGACAGCCTGGGAGAGATGAAGAAATTAAAGGAGCATTTGATCAGGGCCGGGGCAATCCGGTGAGCCCTCGTTCGCGATGGGCAATGCACTTCGTTTTTACCTAGAGAGGCGACAACGCGTTGCGCACTGCGGAACCGAGTTGCAACAAGTCGCGCGCTATCAATACCGAGCTGCTTTGCAGCGGACGGTAGCGGGTCGTGGCAACGACGGCCATAACTGCGATACTCTTGCCGATGCCACGGCTAAAGAAACGGACGGGGACGCAACCGCGGCGGAATTCGAGTGCAAGTGTCGGAACAGTCGAGGATCCGGCGTACATGACTCATATGTATGCTGGTTGCCGCTCCTGGTCCGCGCATGTTGCGGATATGCGGGCTGGTTATCACGGTTGCGAGAGACAAGACTTGACAAGTTGACAGGGACCCTTGTGGAGCCAACTGGCCCGCCAAACAAAGCCGACGTTGAAGCTTGCTTTGGGAGTCAAGGCCGAGGGTCGTCGATCGGTCTGGCGCGGCTCGCACCCGACCGATGGCCGAGTGGGGCTCCTTCACACTTCCATGGAACACAAAGGGAACGCCGATATTTCCAGAGCCAGGAGCGTTTGTGCATGCCGATGTGCTTTGAGCGAGTTCGAAAGGGGCTTGCAAGGGCTTGCAGTGCCACGTGCCGACGGCGGCAAATGGCGATCCAAGTGCATGGCCTAGCTTGGCAGGCCCCGAGTTTGACAACGCCCGTTGCGCTCGCCTTTGATCACGACCTGCTCTGCCGCATCTCAGTCAACCAGGACGACAGGCAGAGTTGTCCATACAGTGATTCTCGGCGTTGCCGTCCTCGAAAGAGTTCCCGGGCGAGAGTCAGTCGGTGCACACAAGTCTTCGGGTGTGCGGGTTTCACGTATCCAGCTCCGATTCACGCTCACTCAGCCAACCGCGAGACGACAGGGGCGGCGCAACAGTCGATTCAAGCCTACCAATCGGCCCCGGGGCGGGCCGCGGCCAAGTCCGCGTTCCCGTCGCTGAGCAACTTGACAGTTGACAGCACATCACATCTCTTCCGAGCAATCACCGTTGTACAGGGACAATGCCGCCCAGCTCTTCGCATCGGCATGCCCCCCCCCACCCACTGTGGGCGCCCTCCAGACGAGACAGACACACTTGCCTTTTCCACCCTGGCGGCGTGACTTGGTCGAATCGCTTGGCCCCCCTGCCAAGATGGTTGGACGGCCGCCTCACTAGTTCAGTCCGGGGTTTGCCAGATGCGAGAATGGGGGGAAGCGGGGCACATTACCCTCGTCCTTCATTCGGGTCCGCGATGCGCCGGGGTGTTCTGTGCATAAGTCGACCACATACATTTTGCTGTATGTTGGTGCGCCGGCAAAATGAAAATGAAAGCCGGCCCCGTCCCTCTCGCGTCTCTTTCTTGGCTCTGGTTCTGCCATGGACAGACGACTTGCATGCAGCTTCTTGGGGGCGACTCTTGCTTTCCATCTGTTGAAGAGACGGACGTACCGCCAGTAAAAGACTGCGGTTGGCCATTTCGTGCAACAACACCGGATTGTGTGTGCGAATTCGCATTCGCAAGCCGTCATGGCGGTCGATGCCGACGCGAAGAGCCCCCTTGACGGGGACGTCGAGAAGCAAGCCGCTGCTGTCCGAACATCTGCGGATGGCGAGGGCTACGATGCAGTCAACGATGGCTCTCCCGATGCTGTCCACACCGACGAGGCAAGCGAAGAGGAGAACATGGTTTGGTGGGATGGCGAAGACGACTTGGCCAACCCGTACAACTGGCCGCGATGGAACAAGGTGCTCAACTGCGTCCTCATCAGCTCGCTGACGTTTGTCACGCCGCTAGCTTCGTGTAAGTCGACGAGACACCTGTTGCTGCACCTGCTCGTGGAGAGGGTCTCTCGCTGACACGGGGGAAATACCACAGCCATGTTCGCGCCCGGCGTGCCGCAGCTCATGGCCGAATTCAAAAGCACGAGCTCCGAGCTCGCGTCGTTTTGCGTGTCCGTCTACGTCCTGGGCTACGCGACGGGCCCGATGCTATTTGCGCCGCTGTCGGAGCTGTACGGGCGGGCCATTGTCTACCACGGGTGCAACGTGGGCTTTGTAGGTGAGTGGGCTCGCTCCCGAGTGGCAGTGGTGATGGCTTTTTGCTGTTTGAAGCCGCTGACGCCTGTCTTGGCAGCCTTCATCATCGCCTGCGCCAAGGCGCCCTCGCTGTCCGCCCTCATCGTCTTCCGCTTCCTGTCGGGCGTCTTCGGGTCGGCGCCCATCACCAACGGCGGCGGCACCATCGCCGACATGATCGTTCAGGAGAAGCGCGGCGCGGCCATGGCCAGCTTCGCCATCGGCCCCTTGCTGGGCCCCATCATCGGTCCTGTCGTGGGCGGCGTCGTCTCCGACGCCCTCAGCTGGCGCTGGGTCTTCTGGATCATCGCCATCATCTCCGCCGTCATCTCCCTCGCCTTCCTCGCCTTTGGCCGCGAGACGTACGCTCCCGTCATCCTCGAGCAGCGCGCCGCCCGCCTGCGCAAGGAGACGGGCAACCCGCGCCTGCGCTCCAAGCTCGACCCGGGCCTCTCGCCCGCCGACTACTTCAAGCGCGGCATCCTGCGCCCCTTCAAGTTGCTCACCCTGTCGCCCGTCTGCATCATCTGCAACATCTACGTCGGCCTCGCCTACGCCTACCTCTACCTCATGTTCACCAGCCTCACCCCGCTCTTCATGCGCATCTACCACTTCGACACCGTCCACGCCGGCCTCGTCTTCCTCGGGCTCGGTGTCGGCAGCCTGCTGGGCGTTGCCTACTTTTCCGTCTCGAGCGACGCGTACATCAAGAAGAAGGCTGCCACTGATGCCGCCGCCGCTGCCGCCGCCGCCTCGCCGCCCACCCCTGGAGCGGAAGAGGCACAGAGCGGCACGGCTGCCGCCGCCACGCCGTCGGCACCTGCGAGCCAGCTTGGCAAGCCCGGCATCAAGCCCGAGTATCGCCTCCCCCCGCTCAAGATCGGTGCCTTCCTCCTCCCCGCCGGCCTCTTCATCTACGGCTGGACCGCCGACTTTCGCGTCCACTGGATCGCCCCCATCATCGGCACCGCCGTCATTGGAGTGGGCAACCTCGTCATCTTCATGAGCCTCCAGATGTACCTCGTCGACTCCTTCACCATCTACGCCGCCTCGGCCCTCGCAGCCAACGCCGTCGTCCGCTCCGTTGCCGGCGCCGTGCTGCCCCTTGCGGGCATCGCAATGTACGACCGTCTCGGCCTCGGCTGGGGCAACTCGCTTCTCGGCTTCATCGCCATGCTCATGCTGCCGGCCCCGTGGCTGTTTATACGCTACGGCGAGTACCTGCGCCACAGATTCGAGATCAAGGACCTCTAGGCATGGGTTGGAGGCGCAAGCGGCTCGTAGACCTCATCACAATTGACAATAGCAACCGCCTGGCTGACGTCGCCCCTGTCCACTTGGAAGGCCCGTACCACTAGTTTGTCTGTGCTTGAAATCATTTTCTCCTTTTAATTTTGGGCTACCAATTCGTACGCACTCATACTTATAGCCAAGCCCTTGGCTATTCTAAACCCGCTGTGCCGGTCTCCATCTTGCAAACCTGTAGCAACCTAACCCCTCTCTATGTCAACCGACGTCTCTTTTCGTCCATCATCCATAAACACGCGACACCATGCTCACGCAGCTTCCTCTGCTGGAGCCTCCCGAAGATCACAACAAGCTACTCACAGCTGGCCGATGCCAAGGTGCTCGGGGTCAGCCCGGACAATGCGAAGCGTGTTGGTGTTGCCCATGCCACCCTTCCAGCCCTGTACCACGACGACGGTATCGCCAATGGTCAGGGTGCCGAGCTCCAGGGCGTGGTTGACAGCCCACTTGATACGTCTGTCGACGTCCTCCTGCCAGTTCACCTTGTCGAAGTCGGGCTTGGCCTCGGGGAACAGGAACGGGTAGACGCCTCGGAACAGGTGGCTGAACCGCGAAGTCGTGGCATTGCGCGTCACCATGAAGATGGGGCACACGGGGCGGTACTTGGAGAGCAGCCGCGCCGACTCGCCAGAGGTGGACAGCACGATGATGCCGCCGGCGCCGAGGTCGAGCGAGGCGCGGACCGCGGCCATGGCGCACGACTCCACGGTCTGGACAGGGCGCTTGACGAGGGTGCACATCTCCTCAAAGTGGGAGACGTAGGGGATGGAGTTCTCGGCCTTGAGGCAGGCCTCGTGCATCTCGCGCACGGCCTCGACGGGGTAGTTGCCCTTGGCCGTCTCGCCCGAAAGCATCACGCAGTCGGCGCCGTCGGTGATGGCGTTGCCCACATCGCTGATCTCGGCGCGGGTCGGGCGGGGGTTCTTAATCATGGACTCGAGCATCTGTGTGGCGCAGATGACGGGCTTGCCGGCAATGTTGCACATGGCAATCAGCTTCTTCTGCGCGGCGAACACCTCGGCAGCGGGGATCTCGATGCCCAGATCGCCACGGGCGACCATGACGCCGTCGGTCTCGTCGAGGATCTCCTTGAAGTTGTTGAGACCCTGTCGGTTCTCGATCTTGGCAATGATCTGGATCTGCTTGCCCTCCTCGCCGAGAACGGCGCGGATGTCCTTGATGTCCTGGGCACGGCGGATAAAGGAGGCAAAGACCATGTCGACATTGTTCTTGACACCGAACTTGAGGTCGGCCTTGTCCTTTTCGGAGAGGGCGGGAAGGTCGACGTCGGTGTTGGGCAGGTTGACGCCCTTGCGGGAGGAGATGAAGCCGTTGTTGCGGGCACGGACCTCAATCGTCTTCTCGTCCTTGATGGCAAGCACGTCGAAGGCGAGGACGCCATCGTCAACGTAAATGATGCGGCCAGGCTGGATGACCTTTGTGATGTTCTTGTAGTCGACGTACCTGGAACGGCAGTCAGTAACGCTGGCCAACGCTGCAAAAGAGCAGAGGGGCACTTGAACTCACATGTTGTCGGTGTCGCACGCCGTGGCATACTTGTCGTCGGTGGTGATGTTCAGGACCTTGCCGACGGCGATGGGGATGTCCTCATCGTTCTTGGTGTTGCCAGTGCGGATCTCGGGGCCCTTGGTGTCGAGAGCAATGGCAACGGGGCGGCCGGGGTGGGTGTCGACGGCCTTGCGGGCATTGTCGATGACGGACTGATGGTACTCGTAGGAGCCGTGGGAAAAGTTCATGCGGACGACGTTAAGTCCAGCATCGCGGAGGCGGTTGATGGCCTCGACCGAGTTGGTCTTGGGCCCAATGGTGCAAATGATGGAGGAGCGGCGGTAGTTGTGCTCGGGGCTGTAGGCGGTGTTGAGCGAGGCCAGCCAGTTGATGCGGCCACCAACGTCGAGGTGGTCCTGTTGCGCAGCGGCCATGATGCTAAATGAGCGCGAGCGGGTGGGGTTGGGAGCGGCCATGATGGTGAAGGGAAGAGAGGGCGGCAGGAATGTGCGAGGCGTTGCAGTTGGGGACGCGGGCGGTCGGTGCCGTGGTTTGTCTCAGGTCGAGCGCAAGGCGAGGCGAGGCAGGACAAGAGGCGGCAGCTCCGGAAGGGACAGGGCTTCTAGGAGTGGCAATTGGGTGTCAGCGCCGGCGGGTATTCTGAATCGATCGACTGCTGGCGGAAGATCGGGATAGGAGGGGGAGGACGAGAGGAGGGAAGGGAAGAGGGAGGAGAAAAAGAGTTGAGGTGTTGTGGAGGGACGGGAGGCAGGGAAGCAGGGTTGGCGGCGGCGGCGGCGGCGGCGGCAGTGGGTGGTGGTGGTGGTTCCAGCGCGAGAAAAAGGGTGGTGGTGGTGGTGGTGGTGCAGGTGGTGTGTTAGTGGTGTTAGTGGTGGGGGTTCCGCTGGATTCATGGAGGCACCCACCTCTGGTTTGAGCTGCTGGAGCTGTCTGCCGATGACGGATCAGACAACTGGAAGTACCACGATACGCAGGACCGGTGTAGACTTGACGCCCCAACTATCTGCACACGCTGCCGGGATGAAAGAGCTCGGTGGTTCAGATTCTAGGCCAAGACGTGGGCACTCGGACAAGTCAAAGCGCTCGAAATTGCACGTCGGTATAGAGCTGGAGTCGGGGCGGCGTCGAATCGCAACAGACTGAGGGTACCTGGTCGAGGTGAGGCGTGTGGGATGCAGTGGAGGGGGAGGTGAGCGCTCGCAGGGACTTCCACCTAGGTAACCTATGGAGGGGCAGCGTCCAGCGGGCGAGCGAGTGGCGCGATGCGGTGCACCCTGAAAGTGGCAGGGCAGCACCCAGAAAAAAAAGGTCAGCCCCGCCGTTGGGGTGCGCGTCGGGCCAAGCTGCGAGAGGCGCTTGGTCTGATTTGGCCGGATGCGGTGAGGCCAAAAAAAAGTTATGAATAATAAGTGGTGTCCGTTATCTCTGGATATTTTTGTTAGTCGCGATACGGAGGGGCGGACGGCAGCCCTTTGTTGTCAGGGCACGGCGAGGACGCCAGTCATAAACAAGTCAACCGGACTCCATTACCAATGCCAATGCAATGCTGGCGACGACCCGAGTTTCGTCTGCCGCGATGAGGCGAAGGAACAGGCAGGCAGGGACGTGGGAGTGAAACTCACCAGAAACGCCATCTGCATCGCACCCAGCAGCGGCAACGGCAGTAGCTGTGGCAGCAGCAGCAGCAGCAGCGTACCTAGTCGGCCCGGCGTCCGACTGACTCGTCCAAGGACTGCAGCGTCCATCGCCGAACCCAAACCTCACTCACGTCTCGACCCGTGCCGTTGATGCGTTGCGGGATTTGCTGGACGGCCCGCCGCCGGGCTGCGCTGCACTTGGCTGCACCGCTGCACTTTGTGCCGTCAGGCTCCCCCCCCCCCCGATGCAGACGGAGGGAGCTCCGTTTCGTCCGCCTCTCAACAAAACGGACCCAATCCAGTGCGAGCATCGCGAGGCTTGGATGGATCCCAAGATTAGTACATGATGCGTACGTAGTCCATGGACCCCGTCCTGTTCGTGTCGCAGCGCGGCGCCCCAAGCAGGCCAGGCAGGGCTCATCTCCCCGTCTAGTCCCTGCAGCGCGCGGCGGATAGATACCCGACCTCAGGTGTGGACTTTGCACGACGGCCCCTCCCTGGCGGGATGCAGCCCGCCGCAATTGCCAGTCGAAAGATTGGCGCCGGCTGAATTGCGCCGAGCGTCGCGCCATTTGCCGCTGCTCCCAATGGACGCGCCGCCTTGGATCGGGCAATGTTCGGTCTTTTCTGACCCACCGCCGCTGCGCTCCGGTGCGGGTGCGGGTTCCGGTGCGGCGCGGTGCCGTGCGGTGCTCTGCCAGGTGCTCTGTCTGCCTGGGAATTGTTAGCGAGCAATCCGACACTGCTGACAGGTGCCAATGCCCATTTTGGTGGTGTCAATGACCTTACCTAACCCAAGCAAGCCAAGGTCATCCGCGCCAGCCACAATGCCGTGGCCATGTGGCTGGGTTGCCCGCTGCCGCACATGTGGCTGTGATGTCCAAGTACCTGCCGCTGAGTCAGCCTCGTGCCTCAAGTACCTTTCTTCACGTGATGTCGTACCTCGCCTGCCGCGTCCCACCAGCCCGCAGGCAAGGGTACCAAGTTGGTGCCCGCCGTGGCTGGGCAACGGCTCGTGGCAGCTGATGCCCATCCTCGGGGCACTAACACCTTGCGCTGCATCCCATCATCGTCACACCCTCAGCTCTCTCCAACCACGCACCTGTCCAACATCGCCGCAGCGACCCGCGACCACATCCGCGACTTCGACCCTTCGCCTGTTGTCGATCACCCTCTCTGGCCATCATGGTGGTACGTGGACCCATCTCCCCCGCGCGCCGCAAGCTATCCAGGAGCTCCGGCCCGGCGTCGTCATTGCGAACGCCGTCGTGCCCAGATCCTGTCAAAGCGCAGTGGCTCGCCCGCTGCTCCAGACGCAACACCGTCTAAGAAGTCGTTTTGCAGCTCCTCAACCTGCTGACGCTGGGGCTCTGGTCAAAGGTTGGACGACTGACGCATTACGCCTTCGACGCCGTTCTCAGTATGTGCCGTGCCGCCCCAGGATGAGTTCGAGCTGGGGGGCTGAACTGGAGGTTGAGTTGCCCTGGATGCGATGCTGACCGACGCCCCGTTCAGTTTCTGCGTTTCTCGCAGGGATGAAGCGGTCAACGGGCCTGACGTGAGTAACCCTCCTGCCCTTCACGCCGCGCGGGATGCTCGCCGCCGACGACAAATGCGATGCGGCTGACACGTGCCCCTGCTGCGGGATGTCCTAGGCCCAGTTTCAAGACCGACAAAGTCGCCGGCGACAACAAGGAAGTTTCGAAATGGATTGACAAGTACTTGGGCGTCGGCGAGTGGGTGATGGATCAGTCGGTCGCCATCGCCGGCTCCAGCGGCTTCTTTGAGCGCACTCGATGAGGAGCGTCGGGACAGCTTTCGCTGCCTCTGGCGTCTGCCTCTCGGTTGGGCCGCCACTTTCTAGGCGTCGTCGAAACTCCTCCCTCCATCTCACCGCCGTACTCTGTGTCTCGATTCGTGGCCGCGGCTCGTTGGAATAGTCGTGCTGGGAGGGACGTCCGCATCGGGTGCTATCGGAGACGTCATGCTCGCAGGCCCCTGGCTGCGGGGGCGACGAGCTCAGTGTTACGTATCTTTACCGGGGCGTTTTGGGGGCTGGTTCATGGGTTTGTCGATTTTTGGGTCAATCTCGTCGTTAACAATCAAAGCAATGCTTTATGAAGGAGGGAGGGTGCCCGGCGCGGTTGACGAATCTCGAAAATCGGTGCTGGTCACGTCGCGGCCTGCTCTCGTGCCCTCTCCACAGCCGGCTCATAGCCGAGGTTACCCGTGACTCGCTGCCTGCCTGCGCATCCCAGCAATTGCAGGATGCTGCCATTCTGCTCAATCAATGCTACGAATTTGATCAACGAGGAAGAATGTCGATTAATACGGCAGGTGTATTATCCTAGAATAATTGCTTCTGGAAGGCCGGCGCGGGCGCCTGTACAGCTACTCTGATCCCGCGCCGTCGTGCGTCGACCCAACGACCCTGCCGTGTAGACGCAATACATGTCCTTATATAATTCAATCGCTCGCATGCATGCATAGATATGCGGTCAAGTACGCCCGGTCATTAGTGCGTGATCATCATCGTCGTATAGCCGACTTCACCTCAGTCGCGCTTGTCATGCTCCGCCAGAAACTCAGGTGGTACCTCGTTCTCGCTGTCCACCCTCTGCGACGGGTTGCTGTTGGCGTCGCTGTCGTGGCTTGCAAAGGACTGCCGGCCGCTGTGATCCGCTGGCGATACAAAGAGATCCGCCGGGACCTCGTTGTCGCTCTCTTCCCTGCCAAGGCTGCCGCGATCCTTCCCTCCTTGCTCTTCAGCAAGCATATCGCGCTCGTCGAGGTCGTCAGGTGCCGATCCGCTGCCAGTGTCGACCAGGCCCTTGAGCATGTTCTGAGCTTCCCGGAACGCCTCCAACTCGGCTCCGATGGCGCAGATGAGAAGGTTCCAACCGTTGCGCTCTGCCAGCTTTGCTCGTTGCTCGAGTTCCGATACAATATCGTCCATCCGCGGGAGCTGGCCGAGAATCATGTCCTCTTTGGACGGCTGCTTCTCCTTGCCCTTGGAAGAGGGCGGCACGGACGGGTCTGTCCCAGATCTCAGAATGCCGCGTAGGCTCGATTCGAAATCCGACACCAGGGCCATGACCTCGTACCAAGTGGCACCGCCGTCCTCCAGGGCCAGCTGTTCTTCATGGACCTGGGCCTTTCGCTTCTCCAAAAGCGCCATTTCCGCTTCCCACCATGCCTTCGCCATCTCCATGGTTCGCCGCTCCGGAATCAGGCGCATGAACTCATGGCCCCCGGTTGAGGCGGTTCCAGCCCGGCCGGCCATGTCGCCGTCCAGCGGCTGGACCGGAGGGGCACGCATCAGTGCCCTGACCTTGCCGTCTACATCCCTCAGCGCACCTCGGTAACCGCTAAGTCCGGCGTCTCTCTTGCTCTTAACATCGTCCATCTTGTCGCGCAGCCAACGACGTCGGTTGCGCATACCCACCAACTTCTCCTCGAGAGCTCGAATGTCGCGATCCAGCACGTCATGCTTCTTCTCAAGCTCTCGTAATTCCTTCCCAAGTGGTTCCTCTTCGTCACCCTCGAGAATCTCGAGCTCGTTTACTATGCCGGCTCGCGTGGTTCCCAGTTTGTTCAGCCGTGTGAGGGCCAGATTTCTGTCTGAAATGGCTGCATCGATGTGGATCTCCTCCTCCTTCTTTAGGTCTGCAAGTGCCTTGATCGATTTGCGCAGCCCATTTCGCGCACCCCGCAGGCCAACTGAGCGGGCCTTGGCTGGTTGACGGACCGGGATCACGTTCCCCTCCGAAGTGGCCCGAGGAGGCAGGTACAGGCTTTTTGGCATCCTGGACCTGGAGCTGGCCGTGGAGTAGAAGGTGCCGGTGGGAGTGCTGCTCCCAGCATCGCTGTGTCCATCGGCATCGCTGCTGGAGGTCACATCGAGGGTTCCGGCGGTGCCCGCGAGCAGGCCCGCGGCCTGCAAATCGAGAAGATGCTGTACATCTAGCTCTAGGGCTTGTTCCCGGCGGCGAAGCGCCAGCCACGCCGAGTCAGGGCCTCGCACCGGGGAATCTTGCCGTTGGTCGAAGAGAACGCTGCCTATGGTGGCGCGACTAGCGGCCATGAAGCCCCGGCGCTGCTCGTCATCGTCGTGTCTCGATCGAGACCGACCGGGTCCGTTGGCCACGAGCATCGAGGCAGCGATGGGCGGTGGAGGGCCGGCAAACATTGCCGGGGGATGTACGAGCCTGGACGACGAGCTCGAGGAGCTTGGCCTGTCGAGCCAGGAGCTCGGCGATGCTTCCCTGTCCATTCCCAGAGCAGCGGGTTTCCGCAGGCGAGGTCGCGACGGCTCGGCGTCAAAAGTCGGGGCATCGTAGGGTCGGGGATCGAGTTCGTCGAGTTGGTACTCGCTTGGGGACCTCCCTGGGGAGCGGCTCTGAGACGTGGTCGAGGGTCGTTTCGAGACACTGCCGAGCAATTCGGACATGCGCGGTGACGTCGGGCCCATGGCCAAGGAGTGCGACCAGGCGCGACGTGAACGAGGCAGGCCGATATGATTCTATCGACGTGCGACGCAGCCTACATTCCCGAGCATTGCCTCGGTGGCAGAGGCGGGGACGTCGTCGTAAGGGAAGCGGGCCTAGTAGGTTGTTCTGCGGGGATCACGTTCACGGGGACGCTTTCCAGGCTCGCATGTACGATGGCGGAGGTGGTGTGACGCGGTGCTGCCGTGGTGCGGGTGTGACCCGTGACAGAGGTGGACGGGTAGGGTGAGACTCTCTGCAGGAAGAAGGTAGCTCGTGCAGCGGTGTTGGTGTAGGTGGGTGGTTGGTAGGTGGCGACGGGGCTCTCATGTTATGGAAGCCAGCCCAGAGCTTCAGGTGTGGTGCCCAGCTGGAACGCCCTGCCAAAAGCGCCTGAGTGCCAATCGCCCAGCTACCTACCTACTGTACCTAGTTCAGTGGTCGGGTCTCTCCGGTCAGCACGCCAGGGACATGGAGTGGATGGCCGGGCTGTTAAGGTAGGACAGGTTGGAACTGGGCAGCCTCGGGGGGCACTGACTTAAAATTACAGTGCCGCCATGGCCGCCTTCCTGGTTCAGTGCCTGCCCGCCCTGCGCAACATCGGCCCGCCCCCGTGCCACTCCACTGTCTGGGCGATGCACGCCCTGGCACCCGTCTTTTAGGTAAGATTAAGAATGAGACGATCTGCCGCTGCCTCACGCGGCGCCTGCACGTCGTAAATTTTATTATCGCAGAGCTTCAACCCGCACCCAACCGACCAACCAACCGACGGACCCTGACACGAGTCGTCTTGCACGTCATCAACACCGGCGACGGCTGCGCCAAACGGGGCTCCTGGGCCGATTCGCACCCTGGCACCACCCAGCCTCGCCGCCCGGCCTTGACTCCACGCCGTCTTTTCATCACCAGCAGGCGCAAGGCGGGGGACCTGCGCGCCTTCGAGCCCGCAGCCTCAGTGTCCTCTCAGTGTGGTGGCTGACCGCAAGGTTCCCACGGCATTCCGGGTTGGCGTGGCACTGGATCTCTGCTCTCCTCGCCCCTGAGCCCGACGGCCTCGCGCGCGCGTGGACGACGGGAGCAGCAGAGCCGCTGCCTCCCAGTGCGACTTGAAGACGACGCTGCCATGAGCCAATCACAACAGCAGTCCCTGGCGCGACGGCCGGTGGGAGCCGCGCCTGGTGTTGCCCCAGGCGGCGGTGCCCATGCGGGCGGCGTCTTGTACGGCGGCGCCGGCGCGGGTGGAGGTGTAGGTGGTGGTGGTGTTGCTGCTGCTGGCAGTGCTGGAAGTGCTGGCGCTGCGGTTGGCGGTGCGGGTGCTGCTGCTTCTGCCGTGGTTGCTGCTGGCACTGGCACTGGCACTGGCGCTGGCACCGGTGCTGCTGTCTCAGCCCCAGCGTCGGTCGTTCCAGCTGGCATTAGCGCGGCGGCTGCTATTCCAGTTGCAACGCCCGCTGACGGTGGCAGGCAGGACGAGCTACACATGTCTGCGGCGACACCCACCGGCACCACCAGCACCACCACCTGCACCACCACGGCCTCCAGCCCCCACGGCGGCCAAATGCAGCATCAGATGGCATCGTCGTCGGCCTCGTCGCGCGACTACGCGCCGCACATCAAGCTCGACCACCCTCCCGCGCCCGCAATCGCCCACGGCCAGCACCACCCGCAGAGCCCCCCGAGCTCCGCCGTGCCCAACATCCTCCAGCCCGGCGGCATGTCGCGCCAATCCGCAATGTCGCCCAATGCGGCGCCGGCCATGCACGGCTCCATGCCTCCGCCCTCGGCCGCCGCGCCCGCGTCGTCCTCGTCGCAGCAGCCAGCCTCTTCGCACGACTACCACCACCAGACGCCGTCGAAGCCGTCCCTGACCATGCCGCACTCTCACTCATACTCACGCTCCAGCCCCGCCGCCGCCGCCTACGACACGCCGCCGTCTGCCTCCTACCATGCCTACACGCCCACCACGCCCGGCGGCTCCTCCTCGCAGTTCATGTCCCCCGGCGACGGCGCCAAATACAATGCCCCGGGCTCCCAGCGCAACTTCTCCAACACGCCGCTTGGCCTCGCCGACATCCGGCCACGCGCCGACTCGAGCATGTCTGACGGCGCCCCCGGGTCTGTGGGCCACGACCTGGTCAACACCCAGCCGGGGCCCAGCAACTACTTGGCTCCCTGGGCCGTATATGCCTTCGACTGGTGCAAGTGGCGGCCCCAAGGCAACAGCGCCGGCAAGCTTGCCGTTGGCAGCTACCTCGAGGACGGTCACAACTTCGTAAGTCCCTGCTCGCCGCTGACTCGCGCGGCCCATCGCCCTTCTGACCCCCCCGTCCAGATCCAGATCCTCGACAGCCAGGTCGTTCACTCTCCGCCAGAGGTATACACGCCGGGCGCCTCCAAATACAGCCTCGAGTTCAACAAGGTGGCCGAGGCGACGCATTCGTACCCCGTCACCCGCCTGCTCTGGGAACCCCCATCCTCCCAGAAGCAGTCCACTGACCTCCTCGCCACCTCTGGCGATCATCTCCGACTGTGGTCGCTGCCTTCAGAGACTCCGGCAAACCCCGGCAACAACATCACTCGCGCATCGCGAGACGCCGCAGTCACCAAGCTGACTCCCCTCGCTTTGCTCTCCAACTCCAAGACGCCCGACCACACTGCTCCACTCACATCGCTCGACTGGAACACGGTCTCGCCGAGCTTGATCATCACGTCCAGCATCGACACGACATGCACCATTTGGGATATCCCCTCGCTCACAGCCAAGACGCAACTCATTGCCCACGACAAGGAGGTGTACGACGTGCGTTTCTGCGCAAACAGTGTCGATGTGTTCGTCAGCTGCGGCCAGGACGGCAGTGTCCGCATGTTTGACTTGCGCAGCCTGGAGCACTCGACCATCATCTACGAGCCCACGGGCAAGGAAGACAGAGGTATGCTCCCGCCTGTCGGCCCTTGGGAGGCCATGTGCTAACCACGCCTCACCATAGACAACGCCGGACGAGTGAGCCCGACGACAGCGCAGCAGTCCATGACGACGCCTCCGCCACTGCTACGCCTTGCGACGTCCCCTCACGATACCCACCTACTGGCGACGTTTGCGCAGGATTCCAATATCATTCGCATCCTGGACGTCAGGCAGCCCGGCCAGGCGCTACTTGAGCTTCGCGGGCATACCAATTCCATCAACTGCCTCGAGTGGTCACCGCTGCGACGGGGCACGCTCGCCTCGGGAGGTGACGATTGCCAGGTTCTTGTATGGGACCTCTTGTCATCGAACTCGTCGATAGGCGGCCCGCCCATCAATGGCACACCGCAGCAAGACAATCATCGCAATCCGGTTGCATGCTGGGACTGCGAGTACGAGGTTGGCAACCTCGGCTGGGTACCACAACTTCCAAACTCTGATTACGGTGAGTGGCTCGGCGTAAGCGCCGGGCGCGGGGTCTGGGCTACACGGTTGATGTGATGCGTCGCCTGGGGCACGTTCGCGATGGGTGGCTATACTGTTGCGGATGGTAGTCGACCGGGCAGGGCCAGTATGCTCACGCGGTTCTGTCGTAGAATACGAGTGCGGGTCGGCCGAAGGGCACACACTGGGCGTGCTGCGGCGTCGTGTATGTCGGGGACTTCAAGGCGATGGGCGGTCTCCCTGCACGCGGGCTCGACCTGCAGGTGGTTGGTCGAAAGGGGGCAAAGCCACCCGCCTTGTTCGTTCCACTCTGCCCGGCGTTGGTACAAGGCGGTAGCAGCTGTGGTGACGATGTTGGTGGACGCACCGGGGGGGGAGGGGGGTTCAGAAACCATGGCGATTTCAATGGCGCATCCTTCTGCGCCAACTTAGCATACGACTCAAGAATAGAACAGAGTTCCAGGGCGGTGACATGCCCTCCAGCGGGCATCCCTCCCCCGGCCCAGTCATGCCACGATACGCCCGTTGACTGATCCACCAGCGTGGGATAGTTATATCAACGGCGCAGAGCTGTCAATCGCGTGTCTGAAGCCCGAACGGCTCGACATAGAACTGACCGGGGAGTCCGACGCTATAGGGTAAGCGAGAGCACCCAGGTGTTGCACGACGCGCCACGAAGTTAAGCGGGTGTGAGCCTCAGCGCCAAAGAAAGCCAATCTGCCGACGATTAGCCGGGCCGGCGCCAACCTTGCCTGACACGCTCAATAACTTAGTACATAGTTTCCTAGCCTGCCAGCCTGAGCAGCGCGACAACTCTTCCTCCATCAACAAACATTCAACTCCGGCTTCCTCTACACCCGAAAAGCTCAGTGCCGTATCTGACACGTCTGTGCCACGGAGATCTGCCGTACTTCGCTTCCAAGAAGAGCCCCAGCCTCGTGCAACGGCCAGCTCGGCACAAACGATGGCCTCCAACGAGCTTCCTCGATTCGATGATTCCGAGGACGAGGAGGATTTCAACCCAGCTCCCGCCGACTTGTCCGAAGACGAGGGCGCCGAAAGAGAAGAGGAGGACGAGCGGCCGAACCGAAATGCCCCGGCCAGACGCAGCGATGCGGTAGATGACGACGATGATGTTCCACGCCGCAGGTCGCGGGCCAGCGGCTCTGGTGACCGCGAAGAGGAGGACGATGGCGACGTACGCGCCCGAGACGGTGATGACGACGATGACGAGAACGCCAGAAGTAATGGAGAAGACGAGGGCCGCGGCGACGACGAGGAAGGCGAGGGGGCGGACGACGATGACGAGGAGGATGACGAAGACGAGGATGATGTGCAACAGGTCAGTGCATTGCCAAATCTCTCCCTGGAGCATCACCCGCCCTAACCACGCACGCAGGGCCATCGCAGGAAAAGACGTCGTGACAGACGCAATGCCTTCTTCGATATCGAGGCCGAAGTCGACGACGAGGACGAAGGCGAAGACGAAGAGAAAGACGGCGAGGAGATTGAGGACTTCATCGACAACGCACACCCCGACGATGTGGCCGAAAGTGCGCGTCTCGATGACGACAGACGACATCGTGAGCTTGACCGCCGTCGCGAGATGGAGGCAAGCATGGACGCCGAGAAGCAGGCCGAGATCCTGAGGCAGAGGTACGGCAAGCGCGGTCCGTCAAAGGGATTTGGCGACTCGGCAGTGGTGCCGAAACGACTGCTTCTTCCTAGCGTCGATGACCCCAGCATCTGGGCCGTCCGCTGCAAGGAAGGCAAGGAACGCGAAGTCGTCATGTCAATCACCAAGCGCATTGAGGAGCGGGTTGGAACCAAGGGCGAGCTTGCAATCACCGCCGCCTTTGAGCGAGGAGGTGCCCAGTCTGTAATGAAGGGCTTCATCTACGTCGAGGCTCAGCGCCAAACCGACATCCTCGTCGCCCTCGATGGCATGCTCAATGTTTACCCGCGGTCGAAGATGACGCTCGTCGACATCAAAGACATGCCCGAGCTGCTCCGCGTCACCAAGACGCCGACGCTTGAGCCGGGAGCGTGGGTTCGTCTCCGTCGTCCCGCCAAACACGCCGGGGATCTGGCCCAGGTCCTCGACGTTACGGAGAACGGTCTCGAAGCACGGGTTCGCTTCATTCCGAGGCTGGACTACGGCATGCGAGACGATGCCCTGGCGTCCCTCACCACAGACGGCAAGAGGAAGAGGCCCGGCGGTATGGCAGGTCCACGCCCGCCTCAGAGGCTATTCAGCGAAGTGGAGGCTCGAAAGCGTCACCCTCGCCATATTCAAGGCAATCCCACAACCAACACCTGGTCATACATGGGGGACGAGTTCGAAAACGGATTTCAGGTCAGAGACGTCAAAATCCAGCAGCTTGTGGTCACCGACGTCAACCCGTCATTGGAGGAGGTAACGCGGTTCGCGTCCGGCGCCGAGGACGGCACCGAGAATCTCGACCTCAAGGCCCTAGCCGCCAGCCTGAAAGACAGCAACACCCTGGTCACCTACCTGCCGGGCGATATCGTCGAGGTTTACTCGGGCGAGCAAAGGGGAGTCGTCGGCAAGGCGACCAACGTCCAGGGCGACATCGTCACCATGAGCGTTACCGAAGGCGACTTGAACGGCCAAACCATCGAAGTGCCCATCAAAGCCCTCCGGAAACGCTTCAAGATCGGCGACCACGTCAAGGTCATTGGTGGCAGCAAGTTCCGAGACGAAGTTGGCACTGTGGTGAAGATCTCGGAAGATCGTGTCACCCTCTTGACGGACCAGACAAATACCGAGGTCACTGTCTTCAGCAAAGACCTCCGTGAGGCGAGCGACATCGGCGGCCAGGGATCTCTCGGACAGTACACACTCCATGATCTCGTTCAGCTCGACCCCACCACCGTCGGTTGTGTCGTCAAGGTTGATCGCGAGTCGCTCGTCGTGCTTGACCAGTACGGGGACACTCGCCAGGTTATGCCGTCGCAGATATCTAACAAGCTGCCCAAGCGAAAGCAGGCTGTTGCGGCCGACCGCGATGGGTCGGAGATCCGACTAGATGACAAGGTCAAGGAATTCACTGGCCAGCAACGACAGGGCAAGATTATACACATTCACCGCTCGTACATCTTCCTTCACACCAACGACAGCACGGAGAACGCGGGAGTGTTCGTGACAAAGGCTAGTATGGTCAATACGGTCGCGGCGAAAGGAGGCCGTGTCAGCTCGGCTTCGTCGGGCCCCGACCTGGATGCCATGAATCCAGCTCTCAAGATACACAAGAACGGAGCCGAGAACAAACCCCTTCAGCAGCCCGTCAAAACATTCGGCCGTGACCGTGCTATCAACCAGACCGCCATCATCAAGAAAGGCCCCTACAAGGGACTGTTGGGCATCGTCAAAGACACCACCGACACGCACGCGAGAGTGGAACTGCACACCAAGGGAAAGACCATTACTGTCCCACGAGAGTCGCTTAGCTTCAGGGACAAGACCACGGGCGCCACCATTGATATCAACGGAAGGGGTCGTGGTCCACCTGGAGGAGGGCTTGGCCGCGGAGGCGGCGACAGGGTGCCTGGCTGGCAGGGGGGATCGCGTACGCCGATGGGGGCGGGAGGGTCTGATAGAGTGCCGGCCTGGGGATCACGAAGTAAGCCATTTGCCCCTACCCGTTGTGATCTTGCACGTCAATTATGCTGACACATAATCTAGCACCAGCCGCAGCGGGGGGGAGGACGCCCGCGTGGAAGGCGCAGGACTACTCGGGATCTCGCACGCCGGCCTGGGCGGACGGTTCGCGGACAGTCAACCCCTATGACGGCAGCCGGACTGCGTACGGGTCTGGGTCGCGGACCCCGGCTTGGCAGTCGGGTGCCTGCACGCCAGCAGTGGGCGACGCGTTCGGCGCCGGATCCCGCACGCCGGCATACGGAGGCTCGGGCGGCATGGACAGCTGGGGATCAGGGTCCAAAACGCCTGCGTGGGGAGCTTCTGCGCCCACGCCCGGCGCCAGCGGCAACGATTCGTGGGGATACACGCCCGGCGCAAGCGGATCCGGACCGTACGACGCACCGACGCCGGGCGCTGCGATGGGTGCTCCTACTCCGGGGGCATTGAACGCTCCAACACCGGGGGCATACTCGGCACCAACGCCCGCGGCGAGCGCGCCGACTCCGGGTGGCGGCTGGCAGGGTGGATGGGGTGCAGACGCAGCACCGACTCCGGCAGCGGGAGCGCCAACGCCGGGAGCCAGTGGGTACTACGGAGCGCCTACACCGGCTGCATACGGCGGACTGCCGGAGACGCCGGCTGCCAGCGGGCCCCGATACACCGACGATGACTGATGCGAGACGGTAGTGCCAGCATCATCCCAGGGGAGAGGGTGGTGGGGATGACTCGGACGGAGGGCCGGGGGGCTTGGGGATGCGGCGTTTTGGTATCTTTGGGCTCATTGTGGTTATAATTTGTAAAAAGTCGGCGGATGCAACGGGCATCATGCGCGGAAGCACGGCGGCAAGGGGGGTGACAGGCCGCTACAGCCGCGGATTGTAAATGCATTATATCGACGGGGCTTCTCTTGGTAGCATCGAGAGACGGTGGCCATGCATGCATTGAGCTCGGCGGCATTGCATTGAAAGGGAGAATTGGCCAATGTTACAGCACATACAGCTTAAAAAAATCATCTCGGTGCTGCAAAGCACGAACTAGCAAGTGTCTCGTGCCGCCCATGTCGATACGTGGTGGTGTCGATGATGCGAGGTGTGGAGCTCGGGGAGAGCACGGCGACGTAGCAAGGTCACGCGGCAGGGTAGGTTGGAGATTTGCCTCTTGCAAGCTCCGTGCACCCCCGACGCCTCGCGACGGCCATCCGCCGCAACAACAACCACGATGACGCGAATACGATATAGGCCTGATTGGATTGTTGGCAGGGTCTGGACGCGCCCTCATGGCCAACAACGGTCTGCCAGCGGCTCGGCAAGACCGCCGGCTCGTGGTTCCGGCTCGGCTGGTTCGAGCTCGTCGACCAGCGCAACGGCACAACCCAAGGACGGGAACGGGGTTCGCACGGCCGAGGCGAGGGAAGCTGCGCTACGCGCCGCACGCATGAGGCGGGCGTCGGAGCGGGAGGATCGAGACAAGGAGGACGCCCACCGGAGGCAGGAGCACGACGACTACCAGAAGCGCTACAACACAGCCGCGAGGAAGTGGGTGTCGTCCATCATCGCGCTGCCCATCCTTCTGGTGACGAGCTACTACCTCTTTGACCGATGTGAGTGCACTATAAACAGGCATGGGCAGCGTAGCATGGCATGGCCAAGATGGAGCAGCTGCTGACCAGGGCGGCTTTGCAGTGGCGCTTGGGCACGCCCAGAAAGTGATGCCGAAGAAACCAGTGGCCGAGTCACTCGACGACAAAAAAGCATGATCACGACCACGACGTCGAACGGCTTGACCCATAGCACCGTCACGCGCGAGTAGCTTGGCGAATCGTCGCGGGCACGACGCCATAGTCCGGGAACCTGCAGCGCACCCTCCACGGAAAACCCGCGACGATGCCGAACGTGGACGGCGAGCAAGGATGCGTCCAGCGTCAGGACTTGTACCGCAGGCTTGCAACATAATCACCATTCTGCGATGATCTCGAGTTCGTTGGCGAAATGCTGTCACGATGCAGAGTTCGAGCGCGCATGCACCCACGACACGGGGCAGACCCCAAGCAGAGGCAGGGGGTGCGATACGACTCTGACAGGCGCACGCAGCCGCAGCAAGAATTGAAATCTATTGTTGCGCCTTGATATAGATATATACACCGCCTCCTGCGGGTCTTGACATTGTGTGAATGGGCACGTCGACGGCTTGTGCTGGCCTCCTCCGGTCGCCAACGGAGGGATCGACCGAGTGGCATCTAGACAGGGACCGACGTCATGCCAAGGACGTGGAACAGCTCCATCATGTCCTGGGCGATGTTGACCTCCTTGATGAGGTTGCTGTCGTTGATGACGAGGAAGTCGGTGCCGTTCCAGGTCACCGGGTCACCGGGCTTGAGCGTCCTGCAGGTAGTCAGTCGGAGCGGCTCAGCGATTTTGGTCAAGTCGATAGCATCAACAGCACCTCGCGACAGGGGCACTCACGTCGGCGCAGAATAGTCCTTGCCCATGATGGCTTCGGCCTTCCAGCGGACGGCAATATTATGTCCCTCGGCCACCCAATGGATCACCTTGAACTCGAATGTCTCCCAGCCCGCACGCGCGAACTTGACGAACTCGAGGAAGGCCTTGATGTCGTTGACGACGACCGGAGCGCTGCCGTTGGCCGACGGATGGCGGTCGATGTTGAGCTTGACGTCCTGGGCGACGACCTTGTCTGCCAGCGAGAGATCACCGCCCCAGAGTGCCAGGTAGTTGTCCCGGATCCGGGTGAGTTCTTCGCGAGAAGGCATCTTGCGGGGTCCGCGGCAGCGAGACGATGGGTTGGCAAGAGCGAAGAATGGAAACAGAAGCGCGAGGCAGAGCACACTGTACAAGAGGCGTGAGGCGACGGCGATGTGCATGGGGGCCGGCCGATGGTTTAGGGAGCGCTACGAGCTGGATTGGCCTTGAGGAAGCCAGCAGAGGCTCTTCTTGTTATAAGGCATCGCGGATGATGCATGCGGCCTGCCTGACTTGCGTGTCCGCTCTGCGACGGAACTCACGCCGTGGAACACGGTGAGCGCCAGCCAGCATCGGTCGCTGCCCGCAACCTGGTGAAAGCGACCCGATGACAAGTACAGTAGGTGTAAGCTGACGTAGATCTCCCGCCACTTGCATGAGCCGACATGCCATCCGGTAGATGGCGTTGCGTGCTCCGCTCCGTCACGGGGCGTCCCCGGAGAGCCTTTCTCGGCCGCCCTCGGTGTCAACCGCATGTTCGGTTGGCTGTCACAAGCATTGGGGACTCGCCATGGCTGCGGACGCCAGCCGATGACGCGTGGTTCACACATTGCCGGCCTCACCGGTAGCCCTTGGCCCAATACACTCTTGACTTGATTGATCACGGTTTGCTAAGCGCCACCTGCTATACAGACAGATGCAACCTGAGAGAACGAGACAAACATGACAACGACGGGCAGCCCGTGCAGACTGCAACGTCATCCGCCCTGCACCGCAACCACCAGTCGCTCGTTAGTTGCTGGTGAACCCCCCGTCGACAACGAGGGCCGCGCCATGCATGAAGCTGCTCATGGGCGAGGCCAGGAAGACGATGCTGTCGGCGACCTCCTCGGGGGTTGCCATGCGCTTCATGGGCGTCTGCGCGACATGATGGTGCAGGGGGCTCTCGGGCTGCGCGTCCATGTGAGTCACGGTGAGGGGCGTGGCGACGTAGCCGGGGCAGATGGCATTGATCCGGATCTTGTCTGGGGCGTAGGCATTGGCGTCCGCCTTTGTGAGGCCGAGAATGCCTGTCAGGGCGAGCGCTGTCTGTCAGCCACGGACCGTCGAGGAGAACAAGAGGTGCACATGGCGGGGATTTCCGCACCGTGCTTGGTCGTCGCGTAGGCGCTCTGGTAGAGAGGGCTCTTGGGCCCGACGACGCCGTACATGGAGGCTACGTTGACGATGACGCCGCGGCCGCGGCGATGACCCAGGTCTCTGGAGTGCCGCACGGCATTGCTCATCAGCAAAGGGGCCCGGTGAAAGAAGGAGACGCGCTCAGGGGGAGAGAGCAAGGCGAGCAGGGAAACAGGAGAAGGGGCCGCTCACTCCTGACCGACCATGGCGGCCAGCTCCTCCTTCTGGCAGCGGTACACACCATTGAGGTTGATGTCGATGACGCGCTGCCACTCGTCCTCGTCGATCTGGTGGGTGCGCATGCCCCTGCCGCCGACGCCGGCGTTGTTGACGGCGACGTCGAGGCGGCCGAAGCGGGCGACGGCCTGGGCCACGCCGGCCCTGACCTCGTCGGGCTTGCGGACGTCGAGGTGCAGTGGCAGCACCTCGACGTGCGGGCAGCTCTCGCGGAGGGTCTGGATGGAGGCGTTGAGGGCGTCGAGGTTGATGTCGGCCAGCGCCAGCTGCGCGATGCCGTGCTGGGCGAAGGCGAGGGCCGTCGCGTACCCGATGCCTGTTGGGCCCGGAGCGGACCGGTCAGGTTAGCCCTCGACGCAACCATGGCCCGGCCGGTGAACAGGCCGACTCACCGGACGCGGCCCCGGTGACGAGAGCGGAGCCCCGGAGCAGTGGTTCGGCAGTGGGCATGAGGGGCAGATGCGATGGGTCGTGTCAGGCCGAGGGAGGGGCGGGCGGGTGGCGCAGAGTCCTACGAGTATACGACCGACCGTCTCAGGGCGTCTCGAGGATCCCGTCAGCTCGCCGCCGAGTGAGCAGGCAACTGCGAGAGTGGCGCCCGCGCGTAATTAAGGCACTTGATCAACCTTGGCGAGTCGCCGGGTGGGCCGGCCGGCGGCACTTTGCGCAGATGGTGACTTAGTGCATTGAAGGATGGATCCATAGGTAGGGCGGGTGAGGGGCCAATGCCCACAGTCGTAGTCGTGCGGGTCAATGGGCCGAGGCGACTGCAGCGAGCGAACGGGTGTGACGACACATGTCGATGGTGAGGCCACTGGCGACGCGCTGTTTGGCCAGTCCGACAGGGTCCCATGCGCAGGGAGCTCTTGGATGCCACGGAGCATGGCCCGTCAAGGGGACAAGAATATGCCGCATCGCCTCCGTCACTCACAACTGGGCCACACGGTGCCCGGTCGCCATCTAGCTGACGCTCGAGGCGGCGCGGACAACTCACGACGGTAAGAGCCGTGTCGAACAACAGCACCGGTTGTGCGAGCACACCGTACATGGCAGGCCAGCTCAGGCATTTCTGGATGTGTATATTCATGTATTGGCTGACGACTTGCCGGCCGCGTAGCCTTCCAGAGATCCTCCCAGCGCCTCCCAGAAACGAAACCAGGGACCAAGCAGTATGAGGACGACAGTTCTGTACGTCTCCAACGCCCCCCCCCCATGGTGGTGATGAAAAGGACAAATAAAACCGCGCAGCGACATGTACAGGTAGATGTGTTCAACTCTACTCAACAGTGCGCACCAATGCCAGGACATTTCATGGCAAAGGAGCGTGACAAAGGACGCGTCGACATCTTGCAGCATCCTGTCCGACTCATGATGAGGGTGACGAGGGCCCAGACTTGGGGCCAAAGCGGTCGATGCCGCTGCGGATGCCGCTGTCAACGCGCTTGGCCATCTTTTCGAGCGGCAGTCGGCTCTCAACGCGCTGAACCGCCCTGGAGATGGGAGGCTCCATACGCTGGACAGTGCGCTCGACGGGAGGGGCAAAGTAGGTGATGTTGCGCTCCCATCGGGGCGCCCACTTTGTCGTCTGGCGTGCAAGGCGCTCCTCGGCGCCAGGCATGACGAGGTAAAGCGGCGTCAGGACGCCGACGCCAGCGGCGCCCATGCAGAGGACCTCGGAGGTCTTGGCTCGCGGCAGCTTTGGGACGCGGTGAAGAGGCATGATGGATGGTGGGTGATGATGGCTTGAGATGAGGTTGACTGCGAAGGTCAGCAACGAGTGTGTGTCTTGCGGGTGGCGAATCCGGAGCATGAAACTGACCTGGAGTGGCAGCCGACGGCGGTGGTGTCAGCGTCAAAAAGCCCAGGAAGTGACGGGCGAGAGGCTGACGACAGTGATGGTCAGGAAGATGACGAGACTGTTGAAGAAGGCGAGTGACTGTTGATGACGACGAGTTGAGGACGATGCAGGGAAGGAAGGCTTGTGAGGGGAAGCAGCACAAGATGGTGTGCTGCAGGAGGGACGGCCAGTCTTATACCGTCGCACGAGGCGAACGGGAGGGGGGGGAGGGAGTGCGTGAGGGAGGGAGGGGGAGGCGCTCCTACCTTGCCTCATGCCTGCCTTCCAGCCGTGCTACAACTGCCTGACATTGGGTATACGTAGGCGATTGGTACTAGGTAAGGTATTGGTATTTGCTTGTGCTGGCAGTACTCGCTGGGTACCTCGTCACCCGCCTGCCACCTCCTCGTTGGAGCAGCACACACACACACACACACACAGTCAGGCGGACTACCCCTGCACGGTGCAGGCACAGGGTTCCATTTCCATGGCGTTGCCGACAGTCATAGGCGCTTCGCCATTCCATTCACCAGCCCCGACCAGCCATTGATGCCCCTTGAGGACCTTTCCGTCTCGCCGGATGGTCGGCCTCATCAGTGTCGCGCGACGCACGTATACGAACAGGGGCCGTCGGTCCAGCGTATCCTCCTTGATGCAGCAGCACTGGTACTGTGTGCGTTGCGTCCATTCGCACCGCCGTCCAGGTTGTGGCGTGCGCTGCTTGCGGCCAGTCAAAACTCAATGGCTCCGTCGGGCAGGCAGGGTACTGGCGCCGCGCGGTGCCACCGTAACACTGCGACGTTCCAGCCTCAGCGGGGGGGGCGACCGGCGCGGATGATGACAGGAGTGCAGGTAGACGACATGTACCTGGCGTCCGTGGCGTGTTCCCCTCTCCCCTCCCTCTCGGTCAAGGCAAGCCTTTTTGCATGCGTCTGCTTCACGCAGGCGAACCTGCGTTCCCCTCACCGGGCAAGGCGCGCACTGCACGTGCGCGGCTTTCCCCTCACCGGCAGTCTCCAACGCCGCCGCAGACCGACGAGCGGCCGCCCGTACCACGGAGTGCTGTACAGGCACTGTCCATTGCATTGCGACGGTAGTCGTCAATTGGGGCAGTCGCGACACAAACAGTCTTGTCACGGCAGGGGCCCTTGCCGCTGGGGCCCTCCTTCCCCGCACACAGGCTCCGCCCCCAGGATCGAGCGAGACCCACCTTCCCCGGACTCTGACTGGGTCCAGCCCCGGTCAGTCAATCAGCCGATCCCTGCTCCTCCTCGACTCGCCCTCGTCCCCGCCTGTCCTCCTCGACTCGCGGGGGCAAAGCAGATTTAATTAAAGAGGAGTGTCGCATAGATAAAAGTGCTCGCCGTATAGATAGCTCTATATTTAAATTTCGCTAGCTATAATAGGGCCGGCTTTAATAAGTAAAGGTTAGTACGCTTATTAATATTAGATATATTATAAGGAGGTAATATAAGGTTATATAGCTTTATTACCTTTATATTTATAGTGCTCCTTTCTTTTTTAATACCCTTTTTTACTTTATAATATTATATATTATTTATAAGGTATTATACTTCTATTTATAAGATAACCTTATTATTTACCTTACTCTTTATATTACTGGCTTATATTACTTAATTTTAATATAGAGTAGTGCTATTCGCAAAGGATAAAAACCCTCGCCGCATAAGTGTTCCATAAAATTCTAGGTCCGCGCCTTACCCCCATGCCGCCATAGCCATTTTTAGTGTACAGGTATAGGACGGCAGCGGCGCGCTAGAATGCATCCCAAAATCTCAATCGAATCGTGTTTTCATAACGTAGCCGCCGCGCCGCGAGGCCAGCAAGGCGCCGGCAGGGCTCAATTCGCTCAAAAAACGCATTTCCGTAGTTTCCCTATAATGTCATTACATTCAGATATATATTATTCCGTTCCGGATCCCTCCGCCGGGCCGGCCGGCGCGCCCGTAACTATGCCCTTACTACTACCGACTGTGTCTGCCGCCCCTGACCTCGTCTGCCCCGGCCGCGGCGCCGGCAGGGCCTAAATCGCCTAAAAAACGCATTTCCGAGGTTTCCTTATAATATCATGATATCGGGGGCATGTTCTTCCGCTCCGAGGTCCGTATATCGGGTCCCTTAACCGTGCCGGGCTCCAGGCGTAACTAGGGTTATAGCTACGTAGCTGGGATAACCTCGTCTTGCGAGGCTGAGGCAGATGTAGCCTATAATGCCGTTAAGGTAGCCTATGATGCCGTTAAGGTAGCCTATAATGCTATTGCCGTAGTTTGTAATGCCGTTGACGTAGTTCGTAATGTTATAGACCGGCTACGAGCTGTAGCGCTACCGCGAGCCTAGCTATAGCTACCTCGTAATCCCCTTACGGTCTGTAACCCCTCCGAGGGCGGCTATAACGCCCTTAAAGCTAGCTATAATGCCCGTAATGCCCGTGATGGCTGCGAGAGCTCGTCTTCGAGCTCGAACTATAAGCGGTTACGGTAGACGCTTGGGTTTAAGGGTCGGGTCCCTTAGCCGGTAGCCTAACTAGGCTAATAGCCTCGAGCCCTGCCTCTACCCCTACCCCTACCTCGGGTCTCTTCCGAGCCCTATATATATATATATATCTGCCTCGAGGCCTAGCTTCATTATATAAAATCGGCTTTAGCGTCGTTATCGTCGGTATCGTTAGCGGCATTATCGTTATTAGCGATTTTAAGGTATCGAGGGATCTTAAGCTTCTTATTAGCTATATCGAAGCGCGGCTAGCCATAGCTATTAGTTATAACGGTAGGGTTACGGATATTGAGGTAGCTATTTTCGAGGTTTTATAGATAGTTAGTAAATAGGCCTAAAAATAAGGTATTTAATAATAATATAAAGAGACGAACTAATGGCTTTTTAAGCTACTAATAGATAGTAATTTAACTCTAATGAAGTAGCGTCTCCTCTATAAGGTATTTAAAGATTATATAACTATAAGGCAGGCTATATTAACGCTTAAAGTTACCTATATAAGCCCTTAACGGCTAAGGCTTATATTAGTTAGGTATTATAGTAAAGGTAAAGTAATACTACTTAGCGAGAAGGTTAATAGCGGGATAAATAAGCTATTAATTTAATTTACCTAGCTAAGCTTATTAAGTATATTAAAGCCACTACTTTTAAAGCTATCGAGTAGCCTCTTAAGTATATAAGCGAGCCTTATTTTCGATTATAGTCTATAGCGTCTCGTAAAGGCAATAAAGGTTTAATATACTTATTACGAGATAAGATTTAACGTCTATATAAGTAGTCTTAACCGGGCTATTAACTCTTTAATTAAAGTTATAATAGCGGTTAATATAGTACTTTACCTATTACTTACGCTATAGTATATATTAATCCTATAAGTATTAAAGGATATACCCTTAACGATAACTAAAGGTCTAAATAAGGTATTTCTATAAGTCTTCGAAGGTATTATAATCGGTAGTATAGATAATAGCTTAAAAGGCTTTAAATATACCCTTATAGCTATATTCTTAGGTATTTAAGCTCGAGATGCCCTCTTCTATCTCTTATTATATATACTTACGGCCCTTAAGATCGAGGTCGAGCTAGGGGTCTAATAGCTCTATAAACGGGTTATCGCTATCGCTAGTAATAGCGATATTAAAGTCATTATCGCTAGTTTCTTTATCCTTCTAATAAGAGTTAATTTTAGCCTAGGCGTTAGCTAGGAGGTAATATATATATAATTACTATTATATATTAAGAAAGACCCTTATAAGCGCTATTTAAAGAGTTTATTCTTTATTAGTTATTATAACTTCTAGGGCAATAATAACGAGGCTCTTATAAAGCTTATTAAGCCTCTTATAAAGCTACTAAAAATAATACTCTTTTTTGCTATTAATAAGGCTAAAGGTAAAGTTAGCGATAATCTTCTAGTCTATAACGCTTATAGCCTAAAAAAACGGTATCTTAAAGTAATTAATTTAATAAGTATTATTAAGGCTAAGGACTTCTAGGAACTTCTTCTATATCTTATAATACTAAAGGTAAGTCTAGAAGAGGGCTTTAAGGTAGCCTTTATTATTAAGTAACTTACTAACCTTAATCTCGGCTTCCTCGAGCTCTTTAATAAACGCTTAAGTCGCTATTAAGCTATTAAGGCGCTCTCTTTTTATAATCTATCTATCGTTATAGATATCCTTCTTTCGAAAGAAGCTATAGGCTAGGTCGGCCTTATAGATAATGCTTACTATCTCTTAGGCTTATATACTATACTCGCTTACGAGCTCCCTCTCTTTCTCTCGTTATATTATTATATAGTAGCGAAATTAGGTATAAGTAGATAGATCGAGAGACTAGCCGTAATTATAACGACCTTTAGCTACCTTATATACTTATTTCTAGCTAGAAGACTTAGTAGCCGAGGTAGTAACTTTAATAAGGTAGTTAAGCTTTTAAGATGCCGTTTTCTAGATACCTATACTCTTAGAGGCTCGCTTAGGGCTATAATCGTACTAGAAGACGATATATATAAGTTAAGAGATACCGTTAATCTTACGCTTATCGGTAAATAAGGCCTTAACGAGATAGGCGCTATTTTCGCGGTAAAAATTAGTTAAGAAGCTAAAGAGATTTTCGTATATATCGAAAAGAGGTAATGGCGGTAGAAACGGGATCGGTACGGTAGTAAAATTATCGTAAGATACCTTATTAATATTAAGACTTACTATAGGCTTATTAGGCTCGTCTATAGTAGGTTACGCTATAGGAGGAGGGTTAGATAGGTTAAGAAAGAGGTTAAGATCTATCTCTCGAGCTACGAGCCCGCGATATAGCTATTTAGCTACGTTATAGGCTATAATATAGTATTAAGAGGCGTTAGCTATGATATATTACGTTTCGTAGGTATTTATTATATCGTGCTAAAATAGTAGCTATATAACTAAGTGCTTACACTAACCTATACTTACGTGCCTTATTCGTCTATAGTAGGCTAGATAGTACGCAATTAGTTAGAAAAAGATATAGGTTTAGGGCACCTATATAATAAGGGTTTTTATCCTTTACGAATAGTATTACTCTTAATATATATATATATATATATATATATATATATATATATAAGGAATATAAAAAGTATTATAATATCTTAATTATATTAAATAATTATAATATAATAGCTATATTATAGCGTTAATAAAGCTTAGATCGCTTAAAATATATTTTTATAGTTCTTTATAATATTATTATATTTAAATATATATTATTTATTTTAGATCCCTTTATTAAGCTAGCTAGCTATACCTTTATTATTATTAATTATATCTATACCCCTAACCTTATTTACCCTAGCTATAATATTAATAAAGCTTAATTTACTTAAAAATATATTTTTATAGTTTCTTTATAATATTATAATATTAAGGGTATATTCTTTTACTTTAAGAATTATTTATTAAGTCCTATAACTATATTAAGCTTTAAGTATAATTATAATTATAGCTATATAACTAAGATAACTTTATTTTATAAGGCTAAGATAAATATAGCTTATAATATTATTAAGGTAGTTAATATTACTATTAAGATTATTTATAATATTATAGACTAGCCTTAAGTAATAGCGCTATTATAGGCGTAGCTATATATAAAAGGGAGGGATAAAGGCAGTAAAAAATAGAGAAAATAAGGAAATAAAGATATAAGAAATAAAAAGGGTAATAATAAAATAAGATAAAAGAGATAATATAGGTATTAAATTATTTAGTTTTCTATCTTATTTAAACTAAGAGAGAATAGTTATATATATAATAAAATAGACCTAGCCTTTAATTTAATAATCTCTTTATTAATTTAATACTAGCTTATATAACTAAATTTAGCTAAATTTAGTATAGTTATAATTAAATTTAATTATATTTAATATAGCTATAGCTAAATATAGCTTTATATAGCTTAGCTAACTTTATATTTAAATTAAAGACTTTAAGTTTAGCTAGAAATAATTAAAGTTAGTTTAATAAACTATTTAATAATATAATAAATTACTTACTAGCTTAATAAACTATTTACTATAATAAAGTTTTTAGATAAATATTTATTTAATATATATAAAAATCATAATATATTAAATAAATATTTATATATATAGATTTTATAATAGTATTTTTTTACTATATTTTATATAGTTTATATAGCTATATATTAACTATATATTATATTTTAAGAATAGAAGAGGCTTTTATAGACTTTTTTTATTATATATAAAGGTAATATTTTTAAATAAATAGCTATATTTATTTATTTAATATAATATATAATATATTTATATATAT